TTTTTTACAGAATTAAGTACCAAATAATTTTAATCAAATACTCTTTGTTTAAAAGCTGTTCTGCCATTTTCTAACATTCCTTTGATTGTTCTTGCAGAAATCTTCGTCTAGTTACGAACGCTTTCCTTTTTAGAGATCCCCATAAAAAAGGTATAATAGGGTTAAATCTATAGACCGCGCGGGACATTCAATCGCTCCCTTGTTTCAATCGACTGCCCGGGATTATTTAAAAATTCTCTCACAAACACAATTGATGTTATCGTGGGCATCATCTTCAACCGCTTTCAACACTTTGATTTCTTTTAGGTTCAACATGACTCAGGTAACCACTTCTCTAGCTGTTACTTAACGGCCGCATTGTTTTGTAACCTACCATTGTCGCAGGATTTAATGGGTCTATCATTTAAAATTTGAGCAGCTTTCTAACACAATTATTATTGTGATAATAAGTGAAAACAAGTTCGATTTTATGTTTTGATAACCTGCCGAAGATGAAAATAATATACCTACCTACATGTTAATAATGACCTTTTTTTTGACTCAATGTTTGTTATCTGCAACTAATCTTACTAACCAGATAGCTACCCACCTGCAACAAACCTGCAACCACACAACAAAGAATACCGGTCTAATTAATTAAAATAAACAAAATAGCGAAATAAATGTATGTTTAAGACAGCTGTCTCGGTATATTTTTAAAATTTTAACAGAATTATAAAAGCCTTTTCAATACCTTCAACACAAGGTGTCACTTGGACCACATTTTCTACTGAAAGGTTATGTGTGAATGTCACCCCGTGAAGAAATATCCAAATTGTGCTTTAATAAATAGTGCTTAAATAAATTGACGTATTTCAGGATTTTGCAAAAATTTCAACATATGGATAATTATCGAACGGGATATCTCAAAAATTAATGGACAAAATTTTAACTTCGTAAATGTATAACAAAATACTTTTAAATTAAGTTTGCACTTAACTGGCCTTCTCTATTTAAGTTGTAAGAGTTAATCTGATCTATGAAACTTTCAAAATAACCAAAATATGCCACCTTTAGCTAAACTCACACGCCCGTCACATTGGTAAAATGTATGATGACGACATATATTGGTAAATAAGTCTCATTGATAAGATTTACTCAGGGTTTTGGGATTTTAAAACTAATATCTCTCTGCGATAAAATGGCAATTAGAATTTGTTTTTCGTTTAAGTAATATTTTTATTCTACTACATATTAAGCTAGAAGTGACTGTAATGCCGTGATTGAGCAATGCTACAGTTTGCAGAACAGAGTAGCTATATACATCTGCGGTTGAAGTCATGATCGAGGAGTTTTAGTTAGTATGAATCCGCAAATATACGGTTCTATTGTTCTTTTTGGCAAGATGTTTCTGTTACCACTTTTATTTTCGATTGCTTTATTTTTGTTAACACAAAAATCGGCAGATATTGCAAATTGTTCTAATTTAACAAATAAATGTGGTTGACATTTCTTGCCCTTTTTGAACGCACCGATCTCGACTTTACATTGTTCGCTTGAAAGTTTTTTTAGAAATCAATTGATTAATTGAAAAAGTTTACAAATAAGGAAAACTAATACATATTTCTTTACTAATATATAAACTGTTCTTTAATTTAATAAGAATATAGCTACATCTAATTAATCATATTTTAAATGGACCTTAAACTATGATTAATTCGTTGTTTGTTGAAGTGGGTGTGATTGATTTGCTGAAATAATTTAATAGCCTAATTAGCCTTAAAGCTATCGACCGTTACACATTTCATACAGGTCATTTGGCTGTATTGCTGCTTACCTGTTGCTTGAAATTAGTACATATTTTGGCAAAAATAGCGGCTATATAATATGTGCTAATATAATAGCTACATTTTACTTCCCACTAGTATCGTCACTAGTATCAGGCGTTTCCGGTACTTCAGCTACGGGTTGCGGTCGGATGTCGTTTACCACACTTGTTACACAATAATAATAATTTTATTCTCTTATAGAACAAGATTTATAAAGGACACATTTGGTCACTAATGTCTGAAGAACACTATTGAATAAATAATATATATCCAACAAAAACCTTGTATACAAATTTCGTTTTTTCTTTAAACTTTAAATCTATTTGATACCATTTGTCTTCGGATATTTTCAAATTCATTTAGATGCCTTATCAATTTCGCCATTTTTATTATTTTTATTATTTTTTTTGTTGTATCATTAGTTTTCTTTTACCTTTACTTCTTTACTAGAATTCAAATTCACATCAGGATAGGATAAATGTTTTCTATATATATACATTCTACTTATACTCGGGTTAGTAAAAACTACCGGAATGCTTAAATATCTCCAAAACTGCCAAAGCTGGAACGATAAAATTCAATACGTGGAGGTTTTTGAACATATTTACAGAATTCAAAAATGCTAACAGCAGTGTTGTCAGGAAGGTTACCAGAAACAATATTGTAGCCTTTTTAAATTCTGCATGTCCAAGCTTAGGCAGTTTTGGAAATATTTAAGCGTTTTTACTAACCCGACATATTCATACATCCTTAAGGTAGGATGCATGATATAGACACACGTCTGTAGTAAATTGAATAGAGAATTTTTGCAAAATTAACAGTGAGAGACTCATGGCTCTATAGAATTTTAATAACTCTTGAACATGTATTTCTATTTCCAACAATATTCCTACAAAGAAGGATATTTTGGGTAATTTTCAAAATGTTTCCGATACAAATGTGTAGAGAGACATATCAACGATATAAAATACTAACAGTGCTCTACATGTTCTTATTTAAAATTCATTTGATGACATATCAAAATAAAGGTTAAAAAATGCTTATTGTACCCGCAAAAGCCGAAGGTCATTCACATGTCCTGTAAAGGATCGCTAGTTATGTGGGGCTCTTCTTAAACTTAAAAAAGCTGAAAAAGTGTAAAATCGCTTAAACATTTTCTGTCGTCCAACGTCTTCTATAGCCCAGACGAATACCAAGCAATTATGAAAATTTGGTTGTCCCTTTCTTTAAATTGATGTTTGTTCTTGTATTAATACATTTAGCATGTATGTATTCTATTTGAATTTTGCGATTATTATTATATAGTCTATTAATAAATATTGGTTTTATGATTTAATTGAATAAACAGAAAGAACCTACTAGCATGAGATTTTTTAGGAATTGGACTCAGCTATTTACTCAGCTCAGCTCAGCTATACAAAACTATGTCTAATTTCATGTTACCTAAGATGCAGGTTATAAATTAGTTGATTTTTTGAAGTTTTTGAAGATTACTGAGATTTTTCTAGTGATTTTGAATAATTTCAGTGATGTAAGGATAATATGCAGATAAAAATTAATTTATTAATTTTAATGTTTCTACAACTAATTGAGTTGATCGAAACGGAATAATTTTGAAGTAGTTTAAACTTTTTTTGCAGAGACTGTATTTTTAACACGACCATTTTTTATTTCAGGTATGATAATTTCCATGCCGTTTCTGCTGGCGACTTTCTTAGTCTACGCACTGCTGCCCGACAGAAATCTGCATCAGAAGGCGTTGATGTTCTACGTATTGACCCTATTCGTCTCCTATGTTTTATTAGTGACCATTAATTTGTCGGACTCGTTAGTGGAACCAGGATGTACACTCATAGGTAAGCGTATATACACGCTGTCCGACCGGCCATTTCATTGATCTGTTACATGAACACCATAACTAGCAAAAATGTTGAATAAAATAAAGCCGTTCGGCGAAAATATATATTTAATTTGGCGGCTATACCGTATCAACTTATTTTAAAATTAAACACACGGTATTTTATTGACTTTTTTAAGTCTTCGGAAAATTCTTAAGATATGCAATCCTAAAACTATCAATCGAGTAACATTGTAGAAAGGGGCCTGTAAAATTTTTGATCATTAGTAATATAGATTGATGAAAAACAATAACAATAAAAATAAAAGACTAGTAAAATTTGAACAGCGTTTCTGGGCGGTCATTTGAGTTATTTCTAGATTCAAATGTTGTTGCAGTTGTTTTTTCATTTGCGGCCAACAAGTTGATAGGAAACTGTAATCTTTTGAACAGAAACCTAAACGCTATTTTTGAAGTTTCTAAGTCCCCCTCTCTGCTTTTAAATTCCAATAAATGTCAGTCCTTACTATTTGCCAGTAAAAACAACTTGTCTGTCATAAATAGTACGGTGCTTAGTCTTTCAAAATAAATAAGAACTAAAAGTTCAGATTTTCATGAAATTATGTATTTTGCAATGACAATTGTTTCGACAACACCGTGTCGTGTTATCAAATGTAATATTTACAAACTACCTGCTACTATATATACCGAAAAATGACCATAAAACCTTAATTAATGTTGTTGTGAGAATTAGTCTTTACATAAACAATACAAAATCAGACCCTTGTAATGTAGCTAAAAATCTGGGACTTTGGTGAGATGTTGATCTACGATTTCAAAAAGCACGTTTCTGAGTGTATTAAAAAAGCACTTTTTAATGGTCTTTAAATGTCTAAAATTCTGATGTTAGGAGGATGCTGTGTGGCTTATTCTCTCTGTGCATGGCCCTTGTTTAACAGCTAAGAATGCACAGAGAATTTAGAAAATTCCATGAGCCACAAATTAATGTATTAATGCATTAATGTATTACAAAATAATTTCATTTTAAAATCCACCGTACCTTTATACCGATGTTTACAATTTGAACATAACATATAACGGAGTTATAACTTTATTAATATTATTTATGATTTACAATATATTAGGACTTGTGTCGATTTTTAGCATTTGAATATTCATAGTTTCATCGTGATAGCAGAATGCTGGTTTCTAAATATTGAATCCAGAGGCGGTCTATCTCATTCAGAGTTTCTTTTCTTGCTCATCGCTTTTTTCTTATACTTTAAGCTGCCTGCTATACTTCATTGCTCGGTTATTATAAATTGGCTTATATGCTCCTCATAATTTCTTGGAATTTCCACGCTGTTGCAAGATTTTTCTAATTTGTTTTATTCTAATAGAATTACAAATTTATATTGCCACCATCAAAATAACTTCCTCTTAAAGCGACACAGCGCTGGACACTGTTCTTCCACTCCTCAAAGCAGTGCTGGAACTCCAAAACTAGAATAGCTCTGAACTGGCAGATGTTTTTGTCTGTCTAAAAATGACGCCTCTCAGTTCTTACCAAAAACTCATTTATTGATATTGCTGTGTGAATAACACTCAGTTGTTCTTGACGTTCTTGACGAATTCAAACGGTCTTCTAAAGATGTGAATCCACAAAATCCTGCATTCTGCCTTCTTTCTGAAAATACTTTAAACCAAGGAAAAGCGTGAACTCTTGACAAAACACTACTCCGTAGGCTCATTTTCAATTTAAACAAAATTTCAAAAAACAGTTTCACAAAAAAAATCGCTACGCTTCAAACCCGTACTGTAGGCGAACCACATGTACCTCCAGTGTGGACAACTAAAACCCCTGATAAAACGCTATAATACTTTACTTGATTACCGATTACTTAATTCACAGACTATATTTAATTTTATATTGCAAGTTTATTTCTAATTTGTTTTAAAATTAAATAAAAAGTTGTTTTTAATTGCTATCTGCAAATGATCTGGATTCATCCTGCGTCAATTTTTTATAAATCAAACTTGCTGATGGTTCGCCAATCATCCTGATGGCTTCCTCAGAGCTTAAGTGAACTTAACAGGATGATTGGTCAAATGTCAGCAAGTTTGATTTATAAACAACCGACGCAAGAGGAATCCAGAAGATTTGTACATAGTATTACGGTAGTCTTTGGAAAGTTGTTATTAACTACTTCAGCATTTTTAAAATGTTTTTGCAGAAATTTGAGGAAATTGTCTTCATTGTTTTTCTGGCCTAGCAAGGGTTTGGCATATTTTACACACTGACTGAAAAATCTCATTAGTTTGCTTAAAAAACAGGCCTCTATTTTTGCAACAAATTGTAGTAGTAAAAAAAATATCTTCAATTGTTCCCTAACATGTCGACGAAATTCCCATTCAATTTTTTTGCCAATTTAAGTTGTACTTCTTGGACTAAAAATGGTCACGTAAACGACTGTGTGAAATAGGGGGAAAAACCTCGTTGTTGTATAAAATGTACTTCCGGCAAAAACTCTTGATTGGGTTTTTAATAGATGACTTGAATTTTCAACGACGCCATAGTGAATGGAATCTTGCCGTAAAAACCCAATTAGGCGACTCGATCATATTTCATTCCCTAATCTCGATTAGATTGACTTAGCCGATCCGGATAAACGCATTTTAAAATGCTCTCTGTCTACTCAATTAAACAATAATACCCATACGCGCGCGAGTAAGGCCGTCTATCGCGTGTTCTATTTTTAAACAAATTAAGCATCGGAATAAATATGTGTTAATTGGGCAATAAACCCATGCCTTAATGTCCAAAAATATAGCAACTCATAAAATCAGAGATCAGCCAACCTCCAATACTTGTACAGTGTGTCCGATTTTTGATATTAAACCACATCTCCGTTATTAATAAATCCAGCGTTTGAAGGCTTTCGTAACCCAGGGTTGTTTTTTTAATGGAAGGTGACACAAACTGAAATGTCATCTTGGATTTTTAGATATAGGACACCCTTTGCTGTTCGTGAAAACTAGTCTGGGGAAGATTTTTTATGTAAAATCTAGTTACAAATGTTAATAAACATATTAAACTCGTGTGTTTTTTTTTTTAATAGAACAATAACATATTTTTTAGATTATTTATATTTATAAACGTATACAGTGATATTTATGGTTGTTGTCTCGCTAAATTGTTTCATTTGAAGCTCGTTTACTACATTATCAATTTGCGAAGGAAGGATTCCATTTTTATCTTGACTTTTTTCCAATTAGAAAAAACCCAAGATATTCCAGAAATGTCCTCATTCCAGAAAGATGATGCGGCAACTATATCTTAATTTTAATATTTTTATGAAGAACCCTTAGGAAACAGCTGTCCGTTTTCCTATAATTTACTTCCTTCAGCTATTTTAACCCATAATATGGTAATTATGAGAAGTCACTACTTCTAATAAAAATTAAAAAAAAAGATATAGAATACAATATATTTACTAGTTAATTTTACTTATGTGATTTTCAAGAGCCTACAAGAATCTAGATAACTTAAAATAGTCTCTTAGATAAATTAAAACTAAATAGTTATATTTCTACTAGTTATGTATCCTTATATCTGCACGCAACTCCAGGCACACAATAAATACAATAAGAAAAATGAATAACGTATTTTGAAGATTTCCAGACGACTATTAACTTTTTGTCTGAACCTGTTGATGTATACAATGACTAAATAGATGCATGTGAGGAAGCTAATTAAGTTTTCCCTACATACCAAATGTACATATTATAGCAGCTGATTAAATGATGTGTACCTAGGGAAATTAGATGCCCATTATGTGGTTCACTGAGACAGTGTGAGTTTTTGTCGAATGTGCTAATGTATTTTCTTTCTTATTTTTCTAATTAGTTCCTCAAACTGTACACATTGTGCCAAATAAAACGTTCCACTATACGGTCTGGAAACCCGTAGGAGATACGAAAAAATGTTTCCTACAAAAGATTCTTGGACTCTCCCGAAAATTTAAAATATTATAATTTTGTTGGCACAGGCTGTTCCAAAAATGTCTCCCCGACATCACCTTTGTTAATTTAAGTGGTACACCCTGTATATTTCGACATTTTTTTTATCCTTGGTTAAAATGAAGGTCACTTTCTTAAGAAATTGAAGTTGTTAAGTGTTGTGACGCTGCTGTCCTAGATATTGCAACGAAAATTTAACCACAGACTAAAGAGATGATGTACTACTCAAACAGTTTGACAGATGTGCCTCAGCTTATACAGGTGGTGCCGTTTTGGTGAATATCAATTCTAGGACAAAAAATAAGGTAAGTATGTAATTTATCTTATATTTAATTTTTACTTAATTTTTCAGATATTCGAGGTTAAGATAACACCCGTATAAATTCTTGTTGAATTTAAAGCCCACATTAGGTCACATGCTGGCAATATTAGATATTTTTTAAATAGCAAAGACATGATACTACTTCTTTTAAAGACAATATATTGAAAATATATTACGGTATCGCCAGTATCATAAGTTTTTTTTTGTTATTTTTTTCTGTTTTTGTTTCATAGATTTATTTATTCAAATTTGTTACCTTGTTTAAACTTTAATTATTTATTTTTGTTATTAGATATTTTGTATAATGTTTCTTTAAATATGAATTCTGAAGTTTTATTAAATCTGTTAAAGTGTGTAGTGTAGTGTCGATTTTTTTCAAAATTTCTATGTATTAATGAAGTATAATATCTTTTAAAGAGGTAGTATCATGTCTTTGCTATTTAAAAAATGGCTAATATTGTCAACAAGTGCCCTAATGTGGACAGCTTTAAATTCAACAAGTGTTTATACGAGTGTTATCTTAAACCTCTAATATCTCAAAAAGGAAGTAAAATTTAAATATAAGATAAATTACAGACTTACCTTATAAATAATAATAATAATAATAATCATATAATAAAAATATAGTGTGTTCCATTTTAAAATTTCAAGATTTTGTTAACTGAATTCGTCAAAACGGCAGCACCTATTTCGGACACCCTGAGGCGTATCTGTCAAACGGATTGAGTAGTGCATCATCTCCTTAGTCTGTGGTTAAATTTTCGTTGGAATACCTGGATCAGTAGCGTCACAACACAATTTAATATGGGGCAAAGTATGACAAAAAACACATAACCTCAAATTCCGCCTAAACTATGCAAAAGTTGGATAGAAATTTCTTAAGAAAGCGACCTTTGTTTTAACCAAGGATTCCAAAAATTTATAAATATACAGGGTGTTCCGTTTAAAATAACAAAGTTGAAGTCAGGGGGGACACTTTTAGGACACCTTGTATCAAGGAACTTTTGTACGAAACTTTTTTTCGTACTCCTACGGGTTTCCAGATCGTATAGTGGATAGTTTTATTTGGCACCCGGTGTACATTATGGAAAATATCAATTTTTTTTAATAATATTTTAATTTTAATTTAATATATTTTTTCTATAAAGTGACGAATATAAGGTAACTAATACTGCACACAGACAAGTTCCTACTGATAAAAAAATTTGACATCCTTTGTATTTGGAATAGCTCTGCCATATACTTTTGAAAAGCTAATAACAGGCCTAATAAAATTATTAAAAGGCATACTGGAATGTCCCTTAAAGAAAAACACAAGTTCAGTTAATATATCAACATTTTGTAGGTTTCAGGCGAAAACTAAGTACACCACTCGATCCTATGTAAAAACCCTCTCATTTGAAAGCCGATTAACTAAACATTTGGATTTTTAATTTAATTCATATCTCACATATTTCTTCAAAATTGTGCCTAAAAACTAGTGTTTTTACACTAAAGCAAAACATTATTAACAGTACAAGAATTGTCAAGAACTGCTTTTAGTTATCCAACTAAATTAAAAAACGTATATTTATACCAAATCTAATAGCGAAATTATTATCTTTCAGGATACTTGACTTTGTTTTTCTTCATGGTATCGTTTTTCTGGATGAACGTGATATGCTTGGACATTTGGTTTACGTTCAGGTAAGTTTGTCTTTTAAACACATCTTATTTCTGTTAAAATGATGCATACCCAATAATAATAAAATAATGTTATATGATTGATGTAGATATAGAGTGTAGCTTGCTACTTCCGGGTTCTTTCTTATCTCAGCAATATATTTTAATTGCAAAAGTTTACATGAATGGGCTGCGTGCATTCAAAATTGCTATTATTAAAAAAATATTTTAGAAATATAGTAATCTAACATCAAATGTTGACCATCCTGTTTAGAATAAATCATCATCAATCAGTATGACACAGGCGTTTATCAACAGTGAAAAATTGAAAAGGGCTTTGTGTCGCAAATAATCTTAGATCATTCAAAATTTTCACGCCACGGGATGTACAGAAATATTAATTCATCTGTTACAATAAATAAAATAAGAAAAAAATAAGTGTCTCACAGAATTTTCAATGGAACGCCCTGTATGATTTCACTTTGAGAAAAATTTATGTTACGGTAGTTCAGTTTTCGCTGTACTTAATCCGATTCGTTTATTAATAGTTATGGTTTTAAACAATGCACCTTTTCACCATTTTTAATTCATGGTAATCGTTTGTATGGTAAACGGAGATCAAAGTATCGTGCTTTAAAAATTGGTAATGAAAATTGATTTATCGCTCTGGGTCCAAAATTTCGTTTTTTGCATACGACACACCGATTGACTATGCCAACGGTTTTCTTGCTACTTTTTTTGTTTGCCATGTTGTTTCTTGTTTTTATTCACTTCAAAAGAGTTAAGGAACTCTGGAATTGGCCATTGAGACCACTCGATTTGTAGTCCTAAAAGAACGAATGCGCTCTTTCTAGCACTAAACAAAATAGAGATGAATTAATAAATTGTGTTTATATCCATGCAAACATCGAAGCTTCATTACGAATAATATTGGACTTGGTTGAGTGCTTAAACAAAAATGTCATGTAAAAGTTATTATTTATTCTAATCCTTTAGTTTTCTTTCATTTTGTCCTTTTTTTACGTTTTTATTTTCCCTAATTTGATTTCGTGTGCTAATTAAACTGCATCTTTGGCGTCTGTCGTGTTTATTTTGTTTCTTAAAGCAAAATTGTTTGTCAACGTCTACCAAACATCAAATTAAAATAGGACATATAGAATAACAAGAAAACCGTTAAAAATAGGTACAGACAAAAACAGAGCCAATAAATGCAGTACTATTCTGCAACGGATCACAAATAATATACACTATTTTACTAAAAATTAAAAAATAATCTTTAAACGTAAATTAATCTAGCATCAAATTTTGCGCATCCTATTTAGTATAAATCAATTGCCCTTACATCCTTCAAAATTTACGTTCTAGAGGTGAAAATCCAAAGACCTTAATCAGATTATCGGATCAGTTCTAATTAACTTTTAATAGAAAATATGAAATAACAAATAGTGGTTGAAAATACGCAAAGAGATGAATAATATAAAATAATTTACATATTCAGTAAATGTTCGACACCTTCAAATCTTCTCTTATGACTTATTTCGTTTAATAAATCTCTGACTTTTTCCCTTGTGTATTGATTGGTTGATAACAATGGGCATTAATTAATGAACTAAAAATTAAACAATTACCATTAGAAAATTTAGGTAGGAGGTAGGGGGTGAGAGAGGGGTGGGGTTGGGGGGGAGGGGAGAGACGGGTGGTGGGAGGTAGGGTGGAGGGGGAAGGTAGAGAGTGAGAGGGGTGGGAGGGTGAAGGGGGGAGGTAGAGAGTGAGAGAGGGGGAGGGGGTGGTAGAGGGAGAAAGGGGGAGGGGTGGTAGCGGGAGAGAGGAGGAGGGGGTGGTAGAGGGAGAGAGGGGGAGAGGGGGAGGGGGTGGTAGAGGGGGAGAGGGAGAGAGAGAGAGAGAGAGTACCCGTGCGTAAAGATTCTGCATGAATATTTTCTTTTATTTTAACGTCCACTGTAACGACTACTGTAATACTTTTTACAAAACTTCTGAATTCCTCCTGCGTGAGTTTTTGCTGAGTCGAACTTAATGACGCTTCGCCAATTATCATGTTGGCTTTTTCAGAGCTTGACTGAAACAGTTCAGTTTCAGCAAGTTCGACTGAGCAAAAACCGACGCAGGAGGAATCCAGAAGTTTTGTAAAAAGTAAAAACCTGATTACTTTCAATCATGTAAAGGCAAAAACCAGAAAATATAATAGAGAGCAAAAAAGAGAAAAAAAAACGAAAAACCACAGAACGCAGGAAAAGTCAAACCACTGCTAGAATTCTTTAAAAATGTCCTGTACTTGCATACTTAACCATTAGTTTTGGTTACAGAGGTTTGGGTTCTTTTTTTCTCTATATATTTATGGCGTGATATGTTTTTTGTTATTTGTAAAGACTAGTGTACAAATCAGCAATGTCTATGCGCTGCACTCTTGTCTTTCCTGTTAGTTTTCCTTTTGTAGAAATTACCTGAATAAAGTATACATGTATTTTTACGATAAGTTTTGTTTTATGCGGACATTGGCTTTTAGCGGCAGCAGAGGCTTCGTAGGTAGCAAGAGATCATCGGAAAGAAAAAGGCTTTTGATTTATTGCGGCTACGCCTGGGGAGTGCCTTTACTGCTCACGTTCACGGTGCTGCTCATTCAAACTTACTCAGATCCCGAATCTCAATTCAATCCCGCAATCGGATCCACCAAATGTTTCTTGGGAGGTAAGGTCTTTTGTTAAATTTTGCTTTGACGTTAAACACCCGCCCTTGTTTGTAGACGGGCTTCCAAATTTACTGTATTTCTACGGAGAGACGGCCATTTTGATCATAATAAATGTAACCCTGTTTGGACTAACGGCGTACAAAATCAGGAAAGTTAAGAAAGAAACGTCGATGCTTAAGCAGAACGACAGCAAGAGGCATAGCTACGAAAAAGACAAGCAAAAGTGAGCAATATTTACAAATGTGTACAAAACTAATTAAGTTTGTGGCAATTCCAAATTCATTCATCCATTTTCTTAACAGTTGTAGACACTGAAATTCTCTCGGAGTTTCATTTGCCCATGTACTAAATTACTGAAAAAAAAGGCATTATGGCACTATATATAACCTATACAGAAAACTAAAATATTTTTTAGCCAAATGACGGCCATTATCCTAAAATGAGTGTGTTTCGAGTAACATTTGGAGAAAAAATGCTTTTGATGTTTAGTTTAGATTTTTCCGAGTGGTTAAAGGCAAAAAATAAACTACTCTAAAACATCCTAAGCGTATGGAAGTAAAGCAAAAAAATCAAAACCCAAATACAAACTAAACTACTTTATTAAAAAACTTACGTGATAAAAAAATTTTTTATTGATATTTAGTTAGTGTTCCAATATCAAAACAACTTGTTTGGACCACCCTGTACAGTTACCAATACACCACCTTATATACCGAAGTGACTGTCACTACGAATCACTCAAATAAAATTCAGCGATCAGTAATACATTTGAAACGATCCTGAAGTTTTTATACTGAATCATAATCTGCAGATATCGGCGAATAACAAATTAACATCCATATAAATAAATCTCAAAAATGTGAATAACTATTTCAACTTATGAAGTGATATTCATATTTAACTTGCGAATCAAAAAAATAATAACAGAGAGTTTTTTCAGATCGTCATTCGCGTTATTGTAAATAGTAACCGATTTTTACACGAAACTTCTGCTAAACATAAGAAAAGAGAAAATTTATTTATAATTCTTAAATTTGCAGTATCTTGACTGTACCTGAAAATAAGTATACTTCTGTTATTATTATTTAATTTTACAAAGTGTTTGTTACAACAACATATCTTTAATAATAAGAATAAAATAACTTTTTTCCTCGCAGATTCAACCTTTTCTTAAAATTGTTGTTCGCCATGGGAGTGAACTGGAGTATGGAGATTATATCATGGGCTGTGAACTGGTCAACTGGTAATACTTACACCGCCGTTTGGTATCTCACCGATTTTTGCAACGCCGCTTACGGTGTCTTCATTTTCTTCATATTCGTTTTCAAAAAGAAGATATGGAACCTGCTTCAAAAGCGGTAAGTTTTATTTTAAAGAACGAACACATCATCCTCCATTTTCCTTTTTGTTTTGTTAATATTGTTAATATTGATAGAGTTGACCATGTAAACCGTCCTCGCATTTATTTGTGTAAAACGTTATTCCCATATTTTTTTCTGTGTACTGCATTTTTGAAGCGCTGTTTTTTGCAATTAATTCGAACGGTTTAGTTTCGTAAAAGTGTTGCTTCAAATAAATAGCTTTTGGAAGCTTTTGGCATACCTAAAACTTCAAGAAAAAACTGTGTAACAAAAATGGACCTGAGAATATTCTGGAAATTATTTTTTTTACTGCAAAGAGTAAATCACTAATTCGAAAGTTTCTAAGCAAATTTCGGGATTAAGAAATAACTTTAATAACATTGTTAGAAAGCCTGAAAAATTCAGGTTTATTGACCGTCGGATCTTCTTTAAATTCATGGAAATTAAGTTGTTAAAAAGCTTGCAAAGTTAGCAAATTCTACCTAAATTCTCTTGATGAAATCATAAAAAAAAACGGTTTATTGCGAATTGCTCACTTTAGCAATTTTGTCTCAAAGTATCGAGTGCCAGCAGATACGGTATTGGAAAACAGCTGCAATAGGATTAGTTGTTTAGGTAATAAACATTCAGGTGTGGATTTCCCCATTCTTATTCAAATCGGAATGTTTCATCCTATCCATTGTAGAAATAGAAGTAAAAATTTATTTAACAACATTTTGTAAAATAGTTACAATTGTAGGAAGTCAAATAACAAATTATCTCAGCAAAGAGAAAATATTAATTAAATTAATGGTATAAATTTTTTTATGACAAACACGTAGGTTGAAAATATAAATTAAATTGGCAAATGGAATCAAGTGCAAGTCTTATTAATATTGTTGTTATTTTCGACTTCGAAAATCAATCTAATTTGGTTATACCAGTTTTAAACGTAGATTCGTCAAGCTCCTGAAAATACTAATTTACAGCTTGTGTAATTTCTTCGTTGCTCTTAAATCTTTTTCCGCCAAATCATTTTTGGAGGTTAGGAAACAGGTAATAGTCGCTGGGGGCTAAGTCTGGAGAGTAAGGATGTTGCAGCATCAATTCAAGCTTCAATTCGTGCATTTTGGCCATGTCCAATCGACGAATGCGCTGGTGCGTTGCCGTGATGAAATAAAAAATTTTTCTTGACATTATTTGCCAATAAAATTATTTTAGTTTAGTCTATTTTGTGGAGTGTAGTCTTCTTCTTAAAGTGCCTATCCGTTACGGATGTTGGCGATCATCACGGCAATTCTTATCTTGTCAGAAGCAATACGGAAAAGTTGTGGTGTTGTCTTATTAAACCAGGATCTGAGATTCTTCAACCAGGACGTTCTTCTTCCTGGGCCTCTTTTTCCAAAAATTTTTCCCTGCAAGATGGATTGAAGCAAGGTGTATCTTGGTTCGTTTCTCATTATGTGGCCGAAGTACTGTAGCTTGCGTATTTTGATGGTGTTGATTATTTCACGATCTTTTTTCATTCGTCGAAGTACTTCTTCATTAGTAACACGATCAGTCCACGGGATTTTTAATATTCGCCTGTATAGCCACATTTCGAACGCTTCTTATTGCTATACATATCTTCATTATCTTCATTTACGGTCCATGATTCTACACCATAGAAGAGGATGGAAAAGACGTAGCAACTCAACATTCTTATTTTGGTCTCAAGAGACAAGTTGTGGCTCTTAAAGAATGGACTCATTCGGTTGAATGTGGACTTAGCTTTTGCAATGCGTGCTCTGATTTGTTGATTGTTGTTCCATTCTTCGTTTATAATAGTATAAGGTATTTGTACTGTTTTACTCTTTCTATGGGAATTTGGTTTATGTAGAATTGTCTTCCTGTTATCTTATTCTATGATGGGTGATGCTGTCCATTAAGGTTTGCAGATCCTTTAAGTTGTTGGCAAATACAATTGTATCGTCTGCATACCTTATGTTGTTTAATCGGAGTCCATTTAGTAATATGCCCTTTTCCATATCATACAGAACTTCGTTAAACATCCCTGCCGCAGAACTCTCATAATTTTGACGTTTTCTGTATATTCTCCTTCCATCCTTAGGTTTGCCGTCTGGTTCCAGTAGAGGTTTTCAATTAGTCTGAGGTCTTTGGTGTTAATCCCGGATTCCTTAAGTATGACCATCATTTTCTCATGTTTCATTCTATCGAACGCCTTTTCATAGTCAACTAAACATGCATACACATCGCAATTTACGTCTCTGCACCTTTGTATCAGGACCTGTATTGAAAATAAGGCTTGGCTTCTCTTGTTCCAACCGCTTCTATGAAGCGAAACTGTCCGTCAGAAGTGCTCACATGATCTATTTTTAAATTCAGAAACCCTCTGCTTAATAGTTGAATATGATCGCGATGGAGTCCCCTAGTGTTAAATCCATCCCTTCTTTAAAATACGTAGCGATTAGGCTGAAACTGTACATACCAGCTCGGTATTAGGTCGTAAATATTCATATTCTCAAAGACGCTAAAGTCGAGTTTTTTAAGTGTTAAAAAGTCAAGTTAGGTTTTTTGATACTTTCGTATATGTTCTTAGTAGGTAGGTAGGTAGGGTGTCCCATTTGAAAAAAAGAGTTTAGCGACTTTGAAAATGTGAATGTTTGCAGCCTAATTTTGGACACTCTGTATAAAATTAGGCAACAAAAATGAAAAAAAAGTCAACTTACGACTCGTTTTTAACATTTGCCAAATATGAGGATCAAATTTTCGAAATCAACAAAATTACGTATTTTTAAGGTTGGTTAAGCTGGAGACACAATTTGTTTTTCTTTAAACTAGACCCCAAAATATTATGAATTGACTGAATATACTACATGTCTCACCATGATATGCGAGTTTGACACAAGCCTACTTAAAAGAAAATAGCATCATCATAAATTTGAGTATATTGTAAAATTTATTGAGGTGGTTAATTCGAACATTGAAAGTTTTTTATTACTATTACCAAAATTGTTAAATATTGGTTTTTCATTGCTCCCCGAAAAAATACTTTGAATTTATATTCAAATGAGTCAAAAACTGACAGAGTAGACTGCGTAAAAAAAGTACCCCTTCTATGAAAAATTGAATATTTTTAATTATTTTCTACATGTCTGATGGTTTATTTAAATAACACGGGAAACTGACGCCCTTTAGGAGCAGCATACTACAAAAACTTTTCAATTCAGAAGAAAAATTAAACTTTGAACGCCCTGTATCTTTGAAATCAGAGATTTGTATGAGGCATGTTGAAATATTTTGGTCTCTAGTTTCCAGCCTAGAGATTGCCCATCCTTTATTAATTACCCTGTATACCGTATATGTGCAAATTGAAAAGTACATAATAAATTGTTCCAAAGATATTTTTATCCAGAACACCCCGTAGGCTTCTTTTTCTGAATGTAATATACTACCACCAAACCACCGTCCAATGCTTTTCCCGATAATAAATAAAATATAATATTTTGAGTTTTGTCTAAGCTTAATTTTAGCTTATTTTGAATAAACCACGTGTTGGCATAACCAGTAAACAACGAATTTTGTTCTTATACAATATCTAATCTTTCAGCACTTGCCACTGAAATCATTCGCGTATATAATGAATAGCAAAAGGTCCCCCCCTCTTGCGGTGAAATGCAATCATAATTTCTAGAAATTTCTCATGTCGAATTTAGCAATTTTTTTTCCTGAAGCTTTGGGTTCACTTTTTTTGGTGACACTTTTATTTGACTGTTAGTGTCGTCCATTCCATCCCATTGAGCCTTTCGAAACCATCGCATTAATTTTTTTGTGGCCACGTTTTTTTATAGTTGCGTGGGTCAACTCTACTCAGTAAGTGTGTAGAAGAACGTCTAAAAGTCCGCTGTTCCTATCCTTGTGTTGTCCGAATTTTAGATACTTGTCGCAAAAAACAAGCGAGACGGTGGTCACAGGCACCTCGCAGCTTCCAAGTAGCGGTAACGCGTCTTAAGTGACGCGTTACCAGCTATATAGAAGGACACCAGTAAGTTTTTGTGAAATGGCGTTTTCTTCTTTGGTGGTACTTGGATGAACTATATATATAAGGCGATTCGCAGTAGATGGTAGGTTAGACGTTTAAGGTGAACGAGACATGGGACCGTTCTGGAAATTTGCTCGTTTACGTAAGCGAGGATGATCTAATATATTATCAGCTATGCGTTTCGAAAAAGTAGCATCGACTTTGATATTTTAAATAGGACGCCGTCTAAATTATTGGATTTTCCGTTCCGCCATCAATTTTTAGTAATTTTGTATAATATTCAGTAATTAATAAAGTTGATCAGTCTTCAACCATTGATTAATCGACTAAACATAATAATTAATGAAAGAATAATACTAAACATTTGAAAACGGCCAAGTATGTAGATACGTAGCGATGTTAGCGACGGGGTAATTTGGTACCTTCGAGATAAGTTAGGCAAATAAAATTAGATAAATTCGAGATAATTGGACATTAGGCCCGTAAAGTCAAAATTTTTCTCAAAACCATCTTTTTTTAAGCTTGTTTTATTCATATTTTAGTTTAGAATAAAGTTATTGAGATGCGTTCTTTACTGGGTTGTTGGTCAGTTGTTCGACTATTTAATTACAAAAAAAAGTTATACTGGAAACGCCTTTTTAACGGCTAAAAGACTAACAAACTTCGTTAAGTCTTTTAGGACACTTGAATATTGATTTAAGAAAATGTTCGAACGCTCCCATCACTATCTTTTTAGAGATAGAGCAAAAGGCATTAAACAAATAAAATATGATTTTTTTCCCGGTTTGAAATACAACGCTCTTTAACTATCGTTTACAGTAGACATTTTTTTCCGACTTTAAAAATTCACAATAACAACAAGTTGCCGGTTCTATATAAAGTTAGTTAATTTCATTACTTTGGTAGCCCATTCTATGAAAGAAATTAAACAGATATTGTGGATATTATCGAAATAAAAAATAATAATAGTTCCGTCCTTGAACTAAACGAAAAGTCGAACTTTCCCAGGCACTTCCTAGAAGGTATTCTTTTCAAAAACAATATTTTGTACGGATTTCTAGGAACACGGTTGATTGAGTTGATTTAAATACACAGAGTACACAGTACACCCTGTATATTCATTCATTTTGGAATTCTAGCAAAGAAACTAACCCAAATCTGAACTTGAACACTGTAATTTTGAAGGAAGTTTCGAACATAGATAGAATAAACTTCGCAAAACCTCATTTTCATTTATTCTTAGTTTCTTTCGAACTATATTGCCCTTTTTCGAAAATCAATAATCAATCAATCAAGACAGAAGATTCATTCCTCCCAACTTCTAGAGCCTTTTTTGTGAACATGAAAACAATTTAAAAGGTCATACTTTATTAGGAAAAGTAGTTGCAAATAATCTAAAATTAAGTAAAAATGAGCTTTTACGAAGTTTATTCTGTCTATGTGCGAAACTTTTCCTTTCTTTTTTTTTTTCAAAGACGGTAAAATGTATTCGGGACTTCGGGACCTACTTCTAGTCCTCGGTATTTGTCCCGAAAGTCCCGATACATTTTAATTCGAAATTATGCCATAAAAGCATTATCAAGAATCTCTCCACAACTAGCATTTTTATCCATTAATTAATTATTTAATTAATAAGAGATGAGCTTTAGGATCGGACATTAAATCTTATTCGATAAAACTAAAATTGTTGCATGTAAACAATCTTAACCGCGAATCAGGTTTTTACCTTTCACCAATATGGGAATCAGTCATCCGAGACTATGTTCATTTCCCTCCTTTAGCTCCATCACCCCCAAAAAGTATATAGTCAGGTACACCATAGAATGCGAGCCAGTGTCAGTTAAGCACTTAAAAAGCACAAGCTGCAGGCTTCAATAACATTTTAATCGGCAAACACTAGTAAATTCGCAAAATTTTATTCAGCACAATGAATAACACATATATAAAACTTTACGAGCAATCGGTGATTCCTCTAAACTGATTAAGGTGTATACCCGGTACTACCACAAGCTACGTCATTGTAGTTTTGTTTATTCGCAGGGCCGACGGGACGCGACGTTGCCAGCTTGTTATGATTATTTGGGAAGTTCGGGACTTTCCTGTCCTCCCGAGACCAAAATTTATGATTAAATCCAAAGACTATATGCCTTGCCTGGAAATACTAATAGGACTAAGGAAACTTGAACAAAATTAGACTAGTTTTTTCCCTATAATTCGAAATTTTAAAGAATATCTTATTTTTTAAACACCTACCCTATACCTGAGGTCCTCCAGGAACTGTCTGGAAATGTTCGACTTAAGATTTTTTCCAATGGTCCAAATTGCTTAAAAATCTAGGAAATTAGAACATCTACTTTGTTTCTTACGTAGAATTTAAACTAAGCAATATGTTGCCACATTTATACAGAAGAACACTGCTTACTTAAAAATATTTTGAGCGATAGAGCACATCAATCTGTATCATTTAAAGTGGATCCGTTCGCCAGATACTTCTAATAGGCCATCCACCTACTGTGCGGTATATAGTGTGACTCCAGGGTAATATACAAAAATAACCAGAAATTGATTAAAGAAACCAGAAAATCCAATATTATACAGGGTGTCGTATATAAAACATAATGGTCATGCTACTTTTTGAAAGAAGCGCTAACATCGCATCGCTGAAAATATAATGGACCAAATTTCCACAATGTTTCATTCACCATAAACGTCTAACTGCCATCTACCGTTAATCACACTATATAGACCGCTTCGATTTTTCCGATTTTTAACAGTACTTTTCATGTTTTCTTCTTTTGTGCGAGGTTTTTTTGGCTACTAACAAATGCATGTGTATCTTGAACGATTTGAATAAATAAAGTTACCACTTTCGGGCGCTGATGGTGATGGACTTTAGCATGCCTTTTGTAATTCACGAAGCACCCGTTAATTAGATTAAGCAGCAATTTGAAAGCGGGTAAACATTTTATGAATTTCACTGTCACCTCACATGCCCTTCAAATCCACATTTATTACCAACGGATGCACATGTCCGTGATTATATTAACATAAAATTTATAGGGAAGTTTAAAACGTAAATTGTAAAGCACTAAAAGTGGCATACTGGGGATCAAATCTGAATTGCCCTATATACAGGTATGGCTAAGGTTCAGTTTGCTATTAGCTTTTAATAAATAATTTTTGCAATAACTTATCTGAGTTACGTTGGATCTAAAATAATACTCTTATTGTCTACCGTCGTTTATAGCAGCCATTTCTGATGTTCACGTAACTATTTAATTAAATTATATATTAACTACACTTTGTTTAATGAAATCTATAAAATTATTTAAATTCTATTATTTTCTAAATTTATTTGGGGTTTATTAGTTTAATGTGAAAATTCTTCAATCACATAAAAGGTGTTTCAAAAATAGATTCCTTTTACCAGCATGATTTTTTCATTCTAATGCAAAATTTTAAATAGAACGTCTATTTTATACTCAAAATAATAGGCTAATGATAACTCAAATCCTATTACCATGTTCTTATACCTAGTAGAGTTTTGCAGATATTATGAAAGAATAAATTCTCAATAAATTTTCGTATTAAGCTAATAAAGTTTGATATCTTTGGATGGACCTGACAAAATGTGGCTTACAGCCCTTTTTGTTAAGACAAAATTTATTTACTTGTGAGCCATCTTTATCAACAATTTTTTTAGAAATTCATTTATGGTTAAATAAAAATTGCATATTATGCGACAAGTTTGATAAAAAAATACGTAATATGAAATGGATGACCCAACTAACTACTCTAACAGTAAAGTAAAAGTCGCTTTGGTATTGGGGCCGATGGATGAATCGTTCGTTTTCTGTACTCTAAAATTTTTACTGCTTACTGCAAACGAAGCAAAAGTCAATATAAAAGTGTACTGCGCAGTAGACCAAAAAGGCTTATAAATTAATTCTATTTAAAAAATATTATTTGATTTAATTTGTTAAAATAACAAAAACTTCTTTGCGAAAAAGAAACAGAACCTTTTATAGGCAAAATTAATAGTATTTAAATTGAAAGTGTCGACATGCTTCTATTTTTTAATTCGGAACCGAAAGGAGCTAAAAAGATACAGAAGTTAGATTAAATCTAATTTAAAGAGGGATTCGTATCTAGATTCAGCTAGCTCACCCAAATTTACGTGGAAAACGTCTTTTAAAATTTGAAAATAACAAATAAGAAAGATCCTATTACAATCTTATATGTTTAAATTCAGAATAGAAAGATCTATTCATAAAGCTAAAAGCATATAGGGATTCATTAACATCGAAAACTAACATGGTGTCGTAACTTTGACATTGGCAAGACAGCAAAAGGAAAGAAAGATTCTATTTCGAGTGAGATACTTAAAATGATGTCCATGTACAATGGACGAATTTTTTGAATATCCATCACATCACATACCATGGACGTCCATGAAATAGTCATGACATAAGTGATTCATGCAACGAAGATTATATTAATTCATTATTTGTAGTTTTGAGATAAACAATTTTAAAGTATTTGCTTTATTACTATTCATTGATATTTTTTCTATTAGACAAAATATAGCAATTTTGTTTATCTTTTTCTTCTAGACAAGTAGATGGATAAAGGGACTTTCAGCCGAATCTAACCTCACATTTTGGCTTCCCGGCCACGGGCCCCCGCCCCCGGGCCACTCGGCCATAGGCTTTGGGTCTTCTTCTTTTTGCGTCCTGGCCCTTCGCCGTTAGATTCGGCTGAAAGTCCCTTTATCCATCTACTTAGACAAACTAGATTTTTAATCGTAAAAGTTGTTGGTATTTGCGCTGCATAATAGTAACTCAAAAACCGTTACTATACACTTCGTTGCATGATCGATGATGAACCGAAAGTGAACGTCAATCTGGCTGTTTTGTACTACATGGTATGACAGTATGAAGTTTATCAACGTGTTGAATACGCTCACGTAATTGATAGACAGAACTAATAAACATCAAAATGCCATAGGGAAAATCTATTGAAAACATCCGATTTCTCCCAAACCCGTCACGAAAATATCGGAAACATTCGAAGTTTGTAATTTTGACTATTTATGTATTATTAAGTTTTCTTTGAAAAGTCGATATAGTTTCTGATATAATAATAATAATAATAAATATTAATAATAATAATAATAATAATAATAGTCTTTATTGAGATATTTTAAATTATTGCACAAGATTTAGACAAAATTACTTAATACAAACTAATACAGTTACACATCTCAAACGGTGAAGTCTAGCTTAAGGTCTCGATCTCAGCTACTCAACATTAAGCGAATATTACAATAATAATGAAACAATAAGCTATAATAATAATAATAAGTCTAAAAATGTATTATTGGTAAAATAGTAACTTGTTTAGGACAGAGACTTTTGTAATTCATTCAAAATATTTATTATAATTATTATAAAGCTTAATGGCAATATAGCTAAAGCAACGTTCAAATTTACAAGAAATATGCATATCCAGAATGTTTTTCGTTCTTCGTCCTGCATTGTGAATTTCATACCAAAACAATAGACAATGTTCCAGGTACGTTGGTAAATAATATTTCATAACCTTAAATACAAAAAATGCGAGTAACAAATTGAAACAGGTATTTAGTTTTAAGCCAACGTATATACTGATATACGATTTAAACTTTTTAAAACCATAAACGAATCGGGCACAGCTGCCCTGTATTTTTTGTAATCTGGATTTATCAACAACGGTTAGGAAAGGATGCATGGCCCAGAGAATTTTTTTCGTACTTTAAAATTCAATATATGTTTATTTGGATATATAAGTCTTTTACTTCTTTGGTTCATTTGTGAATAAATTTAAGATCTTCATTTTCAAGTCAATTTTAATATGATCACACAAAAACGCATATAGCATAATTAGTATTTTTTTAGAGTTTAGCTTAAGATATTGAGAAAGACTTTTAAGATCAAAACTAAGATTAGCTTCGACATTATCATAGAGGTCTAAGAATTGAAGCCTGTGGCACTCCTGAAGTAACGTTACCCAAATCTGATATACCGATATTAGTTCTTTAGTCAAGTAAGACCAGTATCGTTAAAACATTTTTATCTAATTTTTTTATTATTATACCATTGATATGCAGAAAAGCAGTAGATATCAGGTTCACAATCAAACACTGAAAATACATAAATTTTTTGCTGCCATTCAAATTGCAATGCTGGTGATAAAATTGTGCCATTTTAAATTCGTAAGCGTCCTTCTCAATTTTTCAGATACTACACGTTCATCGGAAAACCTCATTTGGCACGTACCATGACAACAACCCAATCTCAAACCACAAGGACCAGCAACTATTCCTCGGCCACTTATTCCACCGCCGACACTCACATCGCTCCGGATAGAAACAATACCAACGGTACGATACCTGAAGAAGTTGCCTTACATCGAATGCGTTAATACGCTGGGGTCACACGTTTAGTTCAGTTTCAAGTGTTGTTTTGCTTAGAGCTTGCATGAGTTATCAACAACTCGTATAAAGCGTGAACGCTTTTTCAGAGTAAAATGTTTTACTGCTATTTATAACGCATCGGTGGTTTCTAGTCAAAATACCTGCAAGTGGAATTTTCGGTACTTAAGTTAGTTTTTAGAATCGTTCGTTGATTTATGTTTAAATCATCTCACTTGTGTACGACAACGCGGGCGCACTTTTTCTTGGGCAGTGACAACTTATTTGCTATTTATTTTAACCAAAAATCATTTCGCATTCCAGGCGCTTTCAATGTAAATATCTTTATTTGACAATTATGTGCGAGTGTTTTACACCATGTTTTAAAATACTACTTCCTTTGCCATATATTATTAGTAATTATTTTTATATGATAATAATCATGACAATGTAGCCTTAGAAGTGTCTTTAATAGTCGCGGTGCTGGGATGGTGCTCATAAAAATGAACGAACGAAACCTTTACACGTAGCAAATATAATTTTATTATACATTATATGACGTCAGAGAAACACATATTCTTGACTGAGGCATGTGACCAAGCTTTTTAGCGTGGCTTAGGTACAAAACTGTTATTCTGAGATCATTGAGGTTATAATGTTTTGGCGCCCAAGTGGGGTTTTGTTTACTCGTGGTTGTTCTGGGTTTTGCTCATAGTATGGAGACTATTAAAATTAAAATAAATTTTTTGTCACACTAAAAATATTATCGATCATACTTAATGGTCTATTTTATTTTGTATCCTATATATTGCAAGTGAGGTTATGTTCCCACAACTTGCAATAATAAGTTGTTACTAAGGTTTTAAATTTCTGGGTTTAATACTTACATTACATCACGTCTTCTACCTCTTTCCGTTTGGCGTCATTTATAGGTGTCCCTATGCAATTAACAATTGGTGAAAGAAAAACCATTCTCTCACATTTATGAGCACCATTGCCGCCCAATTTTTTATAGAGTATTGAAGAAACTTTTTTTTGTCCGACTCACGCTTAGATACCCACGCTTCCCACACCACACGTCAAATAAATATTTTTTTTCTATGTTGAAACTCGTTTATTGTTGTTCCGCGACAATACAAAAACGAAACTATATACATAAATGAAAAAAAAAAAGCTTACTTAAGCAAAAGAATTCTCCCCGTCCGCTCCCGCGCCGTCACCGTCTTCTAAGGAGGAGAAATTTAAGAAATGTGCGGGTCTATGAACCTCGTGATAAAACTCTTTGGGGTTCGCTAACTGAAGCTCGTACTTCATACTGGGATCGTGTCTCACACCTTGAAAAATATTTTTTTAGACAAGTTGTTTATATACAAGGTGGCGCAACATTGTGGTATTTAGAACAATTTCGAAAAATTGTTATAATGAGTTTACATAAACCAAAAGACACATTAAACATATTTTCACTTATGCAGGGCAATCCGTAAAATCTGGAAAAATATATTTATCTATTTATTTATTGAAAAACTTTGCAAAAACAAAAAAAAAATAATTTAATTCAATTTAAAAACATTCAGTCATTCTTTCAGATACTGAGTTTAAATATAGGTAAACCAAGAAACTCACGAAATCAACAGCATCAATTCAATTTATAAAACAGGTGATACAAGTTTCGCCTAAAATGACAATATCAAACCAATACAAATCAACAAATTTAAAACAAGTCAAGTTGTTGATGTCGTGAGTTTCTTGTGTTAAGCATAATTAAAATTGAGAAGATCTACCTAGACCTCACTACAGACTACCTAAATCGGTACTAATAACTTTAATAATTTTAGATTTTATTATTTTATTATTATTAATTTATTAAGTTTACTTCAGACCATTTATAGAGAGAGAGAATCATGAATTCGTTTTTCTAGTAAAACATTCAGGCACTTTTTATTACTTTACTTTATGTTAGCTTGAAGCCTCGCAACAAATTTTTGTATTAATATTGACTTCATGGACCCTTAACAATATCAGATATGAACCATAAGATAATCAAGCGTTCAATAAATATAGGTAATTATTGAATAAAAGGTTTCTATTGAATGTAAAATAAAAGTAGTATATTTACATTTTAAATTTCAATAACCGAATTAATTTCCTGTTTCCTCAAAAATGCGTTTTTATTATGAATATTATAACTACGCTACATAAAATCGAAAATTATTCAATTTGTTTTTGTAAATTATTAATAAAAACGAATATTAACGAAAAGCTTAAACAGGGAAATATTAACAAAGGTGATAGAAGTGCAATTTGTTTGATGTATTAATAAATAATTCCTTAGATTTACATTTGCATTCTCAAGCGCGGACAAGCGCTTGTCCAGCAAAAATTTAATTAGTTCGCAGACAATTTTTATCTTATAAATTTATAAAATTGCGAAATACCAAAAATGTTACAATTAGCTTATTACATTGCAGAAGTTCTTTAATAACTAGTAAAATTTTGTTGGTAACAACATAAGTCCGGTGATTTTTTTTTACACATTGTACACTAGTCCGTGAGCCAAAAAAGGTTGACAAATGCTAAATTACATCATAATATGCAAAACAAATATAAAAATATATTTTTGCACAACTGAAAATATTTTTAAAAGATATGCTTTCGATTTTATGTAACAACTATTTGTCACATTGTAAGTAGTTCTGATTATAAGAGAACTTGAGGTAATGAATTGCAAGTAGTTCAAATGGCCTAATTTAATGCCCAGATCTATCTTACCCATGAAGTTGTAATTCCAAGGTCCCTGGGACGGAACCATAAAGAATCCTGTAAACCTATCTGACAGCAACATCTGCACCTTCTCGTAGTGACTGGGCAAATAACCCTTGGGATTGTTGCCCTTGTCTGTATTCTGCCTGCCCCACTCAAAACCGGACGGTGTCAGTTTGTAGGCCGTCAACGAACAAGAACCTAAAATAAAAATTGCGGACGTTAAAAACGGCGGGCGTCATACGCTATCAAGCTTTCTACTTACCTGGAGTAAATGAGCAGGTTATTATAATAGTTTTCTCTCCGTCCCATGCGGGATTGTCTGTCATCAGCTTGGCGTGGGTAGTGATATCTTGCGGGCTGAGCTGAGGCAATTCGTTAGGTTGAGTGTGGATCCAACCCAGCGGCTCCATGTCTTTCAGAAACGGATGGTTTGGCGGGGTGTTTGGCAAGTGTACCGTTTGGTGGGTACCCCACTGCGGCGGCAGCACCAAACACCGAAGCTCCTTGACTTGCGGATTGTCCGACGGGCTTACCCCATAAAGGAAAGCACAAATCTACAATTCATATATGAAAAGTTAACATTCACACTTCAGTAATCTTCATTTGCTTAGGATCAAGGTACTCACTTGGGCGCGCAAATCCGAAATTGTGACGAATTTCTTCAAGACATTCTTTGGTAAAATGTAGGTGTAGCCTGTTTCCTTGATATCGTCAGAGCTGACATAAATATGGTTTGTCCTAAAAAAAAATACCGTGCATTTATGAGGGCACATTCAAATTTAAGCTTTTACATAAACGACCTGTCATCAGCCGCCCAAGGTCAACTTTAAGCATTTCACTAACAAAAATTGTGAAAATCCAAAAATATATCTAAATCCAACAGTGGCTTATTCACAATAAAATAATTCTGCAGAAAAGATCCATAATATATTTTCTACAAAACTAAACAATCATGTAGTTCTAGACAGTTTTATTAACCATCTCCCATGTCCCAAACACACTGGACATCGAGATGCAAGATTTCCCCAAAAATTCTAAAATGAAGCTGATTTCAACAAAGTCAGGTATGTAGTATATATAACTCGGAAGAACATACAGAACAACTTGAACATTATACATATGCGAATTGCGCCCTCTGGCAATTTGACTTGAAATTGTAATAGTAGTAATAGTGGTGGAAGCAATAGTAACAGAAACCATGCTTTAGTGTATCCTAGTCTGCTCATTATCACAGAAAAAAGTACTTATTATATTATATGATCATAAAAATTACCAAATTGTGTGAATCATCGACAGTGTGCCAACTTGAAAGGAAGTCTGAGAAAGAAACTGAGATTGAGCCATATTTATTGTGGGAGTGTTCAACTGTTCAACTCACTCATTTTATTTTAGATATACTTTTGGTATAAGACACTTTGAAATGAAGAAGTATTATTACTATTAATTTTATTGAGCGCCAATAGCAACGAATAAGTTATGTAGTTTCTAAACGCAAATCTCTTTCATCTCTCATTAATTTTAGTTTTAGATCTCACGAATCTTATTGTTTTTCTTCGAGATATTGTTCGAGTTATGTTTTTTTGTTCCTTCTTTATTTAGTGGGGTATTGTCTGCATAGCAAGGAAACTGTTGTTACAGAAAATGTGTTATTTACTCAGAAACAATAAACGTATTTCTCTTTCAAAAAAACCTGAGTTTGCTGAAAATACGTACACCATAATATTGTGAAAGTTTGTTAAAATTTGGAATTTTATAATTTAACCCATCAATTACCGTCTCTTGCGGTTCATGGGCATTTTAGTAGTAAGTATTGTGTTTCTTGAAGCTATAGGTTCAGTAATTTTCCACATATGTGAATGAATTACCATGTACAACTGGAGGATAAAAATATCAGACTAAATACAAGCAGAAGTTTCTCAATCAGCCTAGACTGACTCTGTACAAACGGTGCTCCTCTACGACCAACCATTATCGAGTAATAAAATTTTATACAGATATAGATTATATAGATTATTATAGATAGCACTAACTGCGACTGCGATTTGTTTGTCACTTTAGAATGAAATTTTGTGAAGTTCAAAATTACTAGGAGAAGGTCTCACCTAAGATGTAAGTTGGTGGCGGAAATGGCTCTGACCCTCCATTCGGTCTTGGAACTGAACGTCTGGGTTTCATAGTTGCTAGTAGTGCTTGTTATTATCTCGTCGCCGTGCTTGTTGACAGTTCGGGTGGTGGTGGCAGTCAGCTGTGATTGCTCTTTCGTCTGCTTTTCAATTTCCGCAATCTGCTGTCTCTGAGCGGACGGCGCGCTTATCTCCATTCCCAGAATAATGTCTCTTATTTCCGACTGAGTCAGAGAGGCGACATTGACGCTGAAAAAGAAAATTGAACGTTTAATCGATATTTTTATGAATATTTATTTATATCGACCTGGACACAGTAACATTAGGTACTTACACTTGGTGGAAAACTATTTTGAATGTAAGAACTACACTACTAATTTATACAGAGTGTTTTTGAAATGATATGGTATAATTTGATAAGTGAATGTGGACGCCGCTCTGATGCCGAATCGACATTTTGTTTGGTTCCAATCAAATAAAAAAAGCTAGTTAAACTTATCTGGCCCAACAGGATGACTATGGCAGTAACCGGGCATCTCACTGTCAAATATGTGTGAAAATATGATATTGATTTCTATAAATAAGCCGCAAAGTATTTGGTTAATATTTTGTTTACAAAGAGCACAGATTTCAATTAATTACATAGATACTTTCTAGAAACTCGATTTCATCGGTTTCGCGAAAGTAACAAGATTGGTTTCGAAAAATCGTCACTGAGCGGGGCAAGTTCGTAGCGCGTAGCAGCTTTTTATTATTAAAGGAAGAACATCGAGGTTTCGTGTGGTAAAGGGACGTATTGTTTTTCTATCGCGCTCCTGCGGACCATTATGGAACTTTCGCAAAATCGATGTAATTTAATTGTGCATGCACCCTGTAACTTCAAAGTTACAGCAAATATCGGTAAATATCAAAATTTGCACAAATAATAGCGTTGTCGAATGATATTTTTTCAAATATCTCGCGCCCTGTATAATTGACCTGAAACTTGAAACTTTCACGACACGGTTTACGATACTGTTCAAATAAAATTATCCTATCTTTAACGATTTTTCATTTATAGCCAATAATTTTGCCACAAAAACGGACATTTTTAGGATATTTTAGATTTTTTGCCCATAAACGACACACCCTGTATATGATACAATCATTGTTCGAAGTAGAGGTTATAGCCCTGGATTTTCCACGCGTCCTGGTTCAAGAATTTTTTGAGAATAGTAAATGGTTTTCGAGAAAATAAGTTTTTTCTGAAACCATGCAGTGCGCCGTAATAATCAATGACGTCATGGCGTCTTGACAGCCACCGAAATAGCGATTTTACTATGGATTTTTTCAAATATCCCGAGCAGCGTATGTCATAGACGAAAACCGCAAATACAAAAATTGTAGCTCTTGATGGGGCCTATGACACCATTTAAACCAATTAGCCATAGTTTTTACGATATTTGATTTGCGGCCAATAATTTACTCTGTAAAAAACAATTTTCTAGGTCTTTTAGATTTTTGCCTATAATTTGAATATATAATCGAAAAAATGCCTGAAATAAATGTTACTGCACTGGATCTTCTGCGTCTGTCGGTTAAAGAATTTTGCCAATCGGAATAACGATTATGGAGGAAAACATATTTTTCTGGAAGCTAAAATTATCAAAAAAAAAATTGAAATATATTTAAAAAATACTTGGTAATATTTTATTGCGTCCAATTTCTACAGTTTAAAGTTGATATCTGCAAATTTAAGACAGTTAATACATTTCTCATTTAGCACGGAATATCGGGAACACCCTGTACAATAGGTGAAAACCTTAAATACTATGCGCGCTATATCAGTTATAACCAATATTTTTGAAAAATTGTCAAAAATAAAAGTTTATAGAGACGTATTTGCTGCTTCTTCTGGTTCAAGAATCTTTTTGATCACGTAAACAGTTTTTGAAAAATGATGTTTTTTGTAGACCCTTGCACGTGTGATTTTTTATTTTTTTAGAATACTTCCCGACCCCCCAGCCCTCATTTTCAATAGGTTCCGTCACGGGGTAAAGCTGCATATATATGCCAAATATGAAGTCGATTGCTTCAAATTTCGGACACTTATCGTATTTCATAGCAAGGTCCAAAAAACAGTCGAAAATCGCGAAAAAAAGATGGATACCGGCGTCGGATCAGAGCCATTTCCTATAAGCTTCTGTGCCTCGTGGCAAATTTGATCCGCACTGGTTAGTTTTCTCTATCTAACGAATAAAATTAAAATATCTTTGGTTGCGTTATTTAAAAATAGAAAATTTAATTCAATATGAGTTAATAACAGGAAAACTCATACATTGGTTTAAAACCACTGTTATTATTTATTATCATTTTTCGGAGCGATACTTCCCGTCACCATCTACGTTCTAAAGAACGAATCATAATCGAGTAAAGTGAAAACAGACACCAACAGCAAAACACCGTCATCTGAGACTATGCTAGTAATCTGATGCGCATGACTAAATTGATAGCCATCGAAAAACACTTGTTCAGAAGCCCAACAGGGTGGACCGTTTTGGTTGTAAGTAAAATTTTGTGTGAAATTTTGTTTGTTTTAACTCAACAAATAAGTCAAACAAGTTTGAGATTTATAACGATACACTACCACTATTTTGAATGGAGTCCAATCTAAAATAATGGGCATTTTCGTAGCTGCTGTGGGAAAGAAAATCACCACGTTAAACTGCAGCTTCGATACGATTGTGAATTGTGTATAATACGAAAATAGTAAATTCTCACGTGAGTTGGCGATTTTACTAAAAGGAAAAACATTTTGGAGGGTTAAAAGAAAAAGTAGTAGTAGTGAGTCATTTTCTTTTGTAATTTGGTTTAAGTAAAGTATCAAAAATTAATCAGGAACCTTTTGTTATGCTACTAGACAAGATTACTTAATCATATTTGGACGTATTAAAACGATGGTGGAGAAATTTTGTTATTTATTGAACGAATTATCTTTTTAGGTTTTGTTTTATGATTTTCGAAAGTTTGTACCATGGTTTGTACCAAAAATGATTCAGAAATCCTTCGCAGTTTTATTAGACAAAATAATAAGACCGATTAATCAGTTTTTCTTGCTTTTTTTCATATTTATATCTATTAAACTGATGGTGCCGAAATCTTGTTACCAACAATAAAACAAGGATAAAATAGTAAGTCCGCTGAAAAAAATTTTTTTTCATATTTGAACCTATTAAATGCAGGGTTGGAAGACTTGGCAACACGACACGACAAGCATTTTTTACGAATTTTTTTAAACAAATGTTCTGGAATACCAGGCTCTTAAATTATGTCATTTCAATAACACCCTGTATATTGACTGTCACATGCGCTAAAAAACACGCCTTAAAGTAGATTTAAACTATGAAATATGTAAACTCACTTGTTTTTCTTTCCATAATCGGCTAAAATTAAATCTTTTAGCTGAACTTCCACTTTGATCCACTCGTCGTCGGATAAAGTCGGCCAGATGTGATGAGGCTCCGTGATGGTGGTTTTGTCGGGTTTTAGTATGACCTTGGTCCTTTCTGTGTTGACGTGCAGGGCTCTCAATATCAAAATCAACCTCGAAAACGCCTGAAACGCATTCCTCGTCCATGTCGAACCAAAAGGGGCTTAAACTAATTTACTCACGGTGTAGGACGAGATCGTTTTTAACCAATCATCGTACAAATTGAACAAAACCATCTGAGGCTCTGTGGCCTTTAGAATGAGATCGCCGAATTTTTCGATCTTCAAGCACGCTTGGAACGGCAATTGCAACTCGGAACCTTTAATCACTATATTTGGAAAGTCAAGAAGATGTACTTCCAGGGGATCCAGCATGCCCTTTCGCGTCACGATAATTTGTTTCGGCTGCTCTTCTACCGGAAGCGAACGGATCAAAGCCGCCACTTCCTCGGCGGTTTTCCATTTGGCGAGCTAAAATGAATAAAGATCACTTCAAAAATTCCATAGAATAATTACCTAGAAATCTTCTTCTTCAAAAATTTTTTCGATCGGACATACGGTTTTCGAGAAACCCGAGTCCTTCCGGTGCCGAAAAAAAAATTCTAAACAAAAAAAATACTTCGAGACTTTCGATCCTGTCCATTTTAAATATAAAGGCAACTCCAGCCGAATTTCCACTCGATAGCTCGAAATTGCAGACACTTTCCCATCCCACAGCGATATTTGAAACAAAAACCAAAAACTGCCAATAAAAGAGCTGAAGATCCGCGAATTATAATGACGACGGAAAAATTGACGCCCGTCGCTCGAACAGTCCGAAAGTGGTATATAAATTATATTTATAACAGTATGTGTATAAAAGTTAAGTTGTCATGACATAAATGTGACAATTATAAACAAGATATAATAGTGTAGAGTAGGGTTAATTTATATTGACCAACTAATTGTAACAAATATTATGTAAAAAATATTAAAAAAGCTCTCAATAAACCTAATAAAATTATTAAGATAAACAGAAAAGACGCAACTTTAGTTTATATATCAATATTTATGAGTTTCTGATTACCCCACCCTATCCCGACCAGTTTTCATTCACAAAGGGTGTCTAGAAATACAAAAATTTCCAAAGTCACTCTGCCCCTGAAAATAGAAGATAGATATGGCTTTCATAAAAAAATTGGATTATTAAAGTCGCAACACGCTAGGGAAAGATATGCCGTACACCCATCAAAAATAAGATACTGGTATGCAGGCAAAGAAATGCAATAAAAACATTATAACCCATGTTGGTGTTGGAACCAATTGTCCTATTTTTCATATTTCTTTAGTTACCGCTAATTAGTTTTCACCCGAAAAGGCAATTTTTAGAGCTTTTAGTGTTTTGTCAATAACCAATACATCCCCTATAAAAATTATAGCCTCAGACGTCCCGCTTCAAATAGTTTTCTTGAGCTAAAAATAACCTCAAAAAATTTTTTCACACATTTTCAAAAAATACTAAATTTGTCATTACCCAACGAATAGCTAAACAAAGACTAACCAAATAAATAAAAACGATTTAGCTCTCAATACGAGTAATATTGAGCTAAGTGAAAGAAACTGACAATTGGGACATTATAGCTGACTTTTATTCCAAGAAGTAAATTGCGAACATACCCAGTACATATCAGTATACCCAGTACAATATCAAAAAAACAAGCGAAAAATTAGATTTCAAGGATTTTTCGAAAGTAACAAGTCACAGAAGACAAACTTACTTGTCCCAAACGTTTCTGTCCCGCCCACACAGAAGTGTGAATTATTTTCAAAAACAGCTGTCCGGTACGGGGATTGAATATAAAAATAGCACCGTTTATAGGTTTGGTCGTCAAATTGCCCTCAAACGTTTTGTGTATGGTGACCCGGTACACGTTTGTGTCGTCCACGAACCAAATAATTTGGTTGGAAAATAGTTCGCCGTAATTCTGACTGGAGAGGTAAGGTTCAGTAGGTTCGCTCGAGTACAGCTGCAAAGCCTTTCGGATACGTTCCCTCAACACGTATAAAGCAGGATTGGCCTTCATTATTTTTGCCATGGCTTGCTGAATAAGAGGCTTGCATCCCGGGAACCAGTTGCCATAAGCACTTAAAAAAAAATGATGGGATTAAAGTCATATCTAATAATTCTTAAGCATAAAATTGTTTTACACTTACACAATTAAGGATCAAAAATGTAGAAGCTATATAATATTAGCTCGACAAATATACCACATGATCTCAAAAATCCCAGGATAAATAATTCATGGATGAAAAAAAAAAAGAAATGCTGGAAAATTTTGTTGTAGACCGAAAAAATAAATAAATATGTATATTAATGCAAATAAAAGCTCCTAGATTTAATTACATATGAGAGTGGCTAAATCCCCCACACCCCCAGTTTTAATTAATTTAAATAATAAAAATAATAGGTATACCAAAAATTCATCGCAATTGTGTTAATTAATTGAGGTACCTTGATCAATTCTAAATAAAAATAGTATCTTCAGTTTTTCACTAAAACGTAGATTTTCGATTTCTTTCGACATATTTCAACACCTATGTTTATATGAACTTTTTACTTATTTTAATTTGGCGGATAAGTTGTTTCTCCATTATAATTCACACGTATGTATAGTATTATCCTTAATTAGGTGATATATAAATTTACTGGTGATTACATTAAATTTGAATTCTCTAATAAAAAAGGATATGAGTAACACAATAATATTCAATGGTTAAAATATGGATTTCTGCTTTTGAATAACGGAAACTAGTGATCAGCCACGCTCCGGACCTCCCATGGAAATGAAAATATCTGAAATTGTCTAAGATAGGGAAGACTATAAAAATTTCAAAAGTGCGCGTTGGAAATATTTTAAATAATACTTTGCAGTAGAGGAAACCCTGCACAAGATATGGGCAGCGCTTCCTAACGTATGAACAAAATTCAAAAAGGAAATCTATTTCAAGTGGCACTCTATAAAGAAAATCCTGATGAATTTTTGAGTCGATTTATAACCATCCAACATCCAATGAAGGCAAAGGCAATTTTGTGCCCAGTTTTAACTAGCGTTTTTTGGGATACAAAGGGGATAATTTTTATTGATTACCTTGAATTCATGATTGAGTAAAGAAATTAAAAAAAAAACTGACAACATGAGGCGTAAAAATCTTATGTCACTGTGATAAAGAACCTGCACATTCGAAGCTATTGTATGTAATTGGATATTAATAACAACCTGCAAAATTAAAATGCTTACCAAAATTCTTTTTTTTTTTAGTTTAAGGTTCTTTTATTAATATTTTACGTTAGGATAAAGGTATTGAGATCAGGTTTTCTTTCGATTGTGAGACCCTTTTGTTCCCTTTTTTTTTACAAAACGCCACCAACGCGTCACTCATAGCACAATTGAAGACCTGGGAAATGCCTTTTTAACAACTACAGGTTTATTTTGAAAATATCAACATATATTTCCCCCACCACTTTCCTTACAGAGATGGAGGAAAGAGTATTAATCAAAAAAAGTTTGAATAGTCAATTTGAATAGTTAAAAAATTTTTAGAATCCAGGTTATACAAATTGAAATAGCAAATACACCTGGTGGCAATTTCAGAAACTCTACAATAATTTTCAGCATTTTTCTCTTGGATGACTTACTAATTTTTTTCCATAACTGGTAGCCTTTACTGAGAAACCTTACATGTAAAGTGAAAACTTGTAAACAAGTTATTATTAATAAGTACCTGTGCAGATTATAAGCTAAATCGATAGCTATCAACACTCCAGTTGGAGAGGGATAGATAGACATATTGTCGGTAGTGTAGTCCAGAAACTTCGACCTCGCATATCGTTCAACATCGTGGGAATCGTAGTCTCCCCACCTTAATTGGACATCGATCCAGTATTTTTGTGTGGTTGTGTTGTCCATCGTGTCCCTGGCGACATAAAGCTTTATAAATCATCTAAAAGAAAAAAAAGAAAGGAAACAACGTACTTTGTGTCTGCAAGGAGCGAGGGTCTGGACACGTTCCACTTATAAGCTGAGAAAAGTAAGATGTCGGCACAGGAAGAGTTCATCTTATACGACTTCCTGGGATGGATAGTTTCTTTTTGCACCGTTTCAATTTCCAGAGCGTCTAACTCTTGATCGAATACCTAAGAAAACACTGTCATATGAAAAAACCACAAAAATGTATTCGCATTTGAACTACTGACCTGACAAAGGTCCATAACGATAGACTCGTGCACCTTTTGCCACAAATGAGCTCTGAAGATTTGAATCAGGGAAATTTTCAAAGTGGGAATTTTGCCGTGCATAAAAATACCGGTCAAGTCGAGTTGTACTTGGAAACCGACGTACACGTTCGCTCTGTTTATAGTCGGGGACCACCACAACGTAAATCGACGGTTCGGAATTTGGTTCAGACCTGATCTCTGGGCGTTCGTCAGCTTCTTGTATTTCATCGATTCTTCGAAACCAGATGCCTTCTCCCTAAACACACGAGATATATATATCATTATATCAGATTTAAAGGACATTTTAGAGTCAGCAGTGTTAGCAAAATTGAAACTCTATGAGATCGGCAGTAGGGATCTTCAGAGATCAGTACTTGGTCCCGTATTCTTCCGGCAATTTTATGCACCAGGGGGACAATGGCATTTCAAACATCTCTAGTACGAAATCGGTACCATAAACGCATGGACACAGATTGGACAATGTCAAATATTTCATCTAAGAAATAACTCTCGACAGATATCAAAATGATCAAAATTTTAATAATTACTGTGATAATAATAGTAATTGTATTAATTCAAATAAGACGTTATTTATGATTTTTTTTTAGAAATGTTAGTTTAAATTATGAGTTATTAATTAAACTGAATGGAAACTTCATAAAGAGCACAAATTTAAAAAGTTTCTTGGTTTGAACATTGATTATAAATTTACTTGCTGTATACAAAAAAAATAGTTATTTGTGTTGCCAGAGTATAATTTGAAGTCCATATTATGTCAAAGCTTTGGAAAGAGTGCAAAGCACCACCATACTATTAACCACCTATCACCAGCTTTGAGAGACTTGCTTAATAAAATGTGATCTTCAAATATTTCAGCTTTCCGAATATATCCAGCTTAGATGCAATAACAGAAAGCTTTCTAAACAAAGAAGTGGCAAACTATTAAAAATTTTTTTCAAACCAAGTAAATCACAACTAAAACCATCTGAATGAGGAAACCTCAATCCTCAACCTCTATTAATCAGTGTAAGATCAGGAATTCAACGGTTGGTGGGAACGGTTCATGCATAAATTGTCAATTGTAGAACTATCTACAAATGCTTTGACAGTCTATCATATGAGAAGTGATACTACAGTAACTGTGATAATATGAACCAATGGAATAGTCACATCGGGTTTATCGCCGCTCATCTATTGCTTCGATAATAAATTTTTAATTTCACTGAACAGACAGAACGTGAAAGTAGTTCAAATGTACCATTTTCAGTTTTGCTTAAACTGATTTGTTACCTCCCCCCAAAAAAAAAAAGAATGGTCAAAGAACTTACCAGAAAAGACCTTCCCAAGTTGGGAAGTATGTTCCTTTGAATAGGGTGTGCTCCAGGATACCTTCTACGCCTCCCAAAGCTTGAATCATGTCGGTACGGTAATTGTTTAAATTCCACAATTTCCCGTCGTGCCTCTGGTGAGTCCACCAGAACGGATTCTGTTTAAGAACTTGATATTGCTTAAATTCCGTCCTTATTCGCCACCCTTTATCGTAGGCCAACGTGTGTCTATCTTTCTGGAATAAAGTGTTGATTCTCGGTATGCCTCTATCCCAGGAATCTTCCAAATCTTCCAGGGTAAGCCTTCTGTTTTGGGCGTTGGCTTCCTGTCTTTTTAATGCATACTCCGCCCACACTCGCTGCGAATCGATAAACTCGGACTCCCAGGGTTGGATATAACGGTACAAGTTTGGGATCAACTGATCCTCGTCGTGACTCATACCCGAACGGAAATGGGTAATTCCCACGTCCGTCTGTTTTGACCACCTAAAATTGAAACCTTAGAACTTGCGCGCGCTTTAAAACGGCACCAAAATCACCTTAAATCTGACTGCGGGATTAAAACGTGACCCATAGAAAGCATACCCAGTCCGCCTAACTCTTTCGGAGTGTAAAACACTACCGGTGGAAATCGACTAGGCATTTTTGAATTCAAACCAATTTTAATCCTGGTTTGGATCTTATTTTCGCACTTCACCAACAGGTCCAGCAATTCTTGGGTATTAACCACAGCCTCTCTAAAGTATGTCATCAAACCGATAAGCGCAGTATTCCACTTGTTTACAATTTTAGTAAACGTCGTGGACCCAGACGCCATCAAAATCTGTCTGACTCTGTTGTGGAAACGGCTCATCGATTCGTCATCGACCCTCAAGAAGCACTGAGCAGTCCTTTCTTTGCTGCCCTCGTGCTGCAAATTCCAAACACCGTCCCTATGAGTGAACTCTTCGTGTTGTGTGCGGCATTTGGGCAAGATTCTACACTCGAAACCGCACATATTGAACAGCAGGTTGGGATTGTCTTTAGAGTAGACACTGATAAAGCTGTTTTCCCATTGGATGGTAGTCACTGATCGCGGAAGACGATTTTTGATGTCCCAGAAAACTGCTCGGCCCCTGTAATAGATTTATCAACTAAGATGAGCTTTTTAATAATCTTTGTCAACTGCCAAAATACTACTTTTCCTAGAAATATTTTTTATGTCATGAATTACCACCCAGTTAACATTAAAAATATATAAATGTGTAGCAATGTAACAAACAAGACAAATACGGTTAAGAAAAAATAAGTAACATACATTTAGTAATTTGGTTTTTATTTTACTTGCGTAAAGATATCCAGAATTAAAGAATTATTAAGGTTATCCAATCAATGTAAATTACACATTCTCTAGGAATGTAATATAGGTATATATAATTTTTAGGTATATATAATTTTTAAAAAGTTTTTAAATGCATTCTAGTACATATATATTTTATGATAAGAAAATCACAAGGTGCTATTCTCAAGCTGGAGTCTTACTAAAAAATTATGTAACAATTTGATAAAAAAAAAATTGCCTTATTACATTTCTTTTGTTTTTCATTTTGTAGGATAACATGTGTGTCTATATTATGAACATAATAAGGTTTGGGGCGTGTTTACACTACAGTGCCTTCATCATTTGCCACTGTACAATTATGTTTTTTTCATTTTAACAATAGAAAAAAATGCAGTTTACCACTAATTGGTTCTTATGAGCTTTATTTCATATAATTGAACTTATTACATAAATATTTTAATTTTTTTTAAGTGGACTAGTGAGGTTACTATAATAATTTAAGCCCAAATTACTAACAAGACTTACCTCAACTCAAAAATGGAAAATTTCGGCAATACAGACTGTCAAAATTCCATTTAGTTTTATTGATTGCAAAATTGCAATAATGGAAGTATCTACAATATTCAGCTAGGAGGAGGGTTTGTCGGTTTTGCGATAATTTTCATACCTTTAAAACGAAATCACTTTTTGGCTTTCCGAATAATCATGCAAATATTTACATTTGTACTTAAGCTCATCACAATACCACAAGAATAAAAGCAATATTTCAAAAGTTTTAAATCCTGTTATCTCAGAAACAGTCGCTAAAATCATCTCATAAAGTGGGAAAAAAATGAGACGAAGAATTTTAATCTAAAAAAAATTAGCTTTTAACAATCTGTATCACCGAAATCAACTTGATAGCTTGGTACGTTGTATTAGATCGTCATATTTTATGAAAGCAATTTTTCACTATAAAAGGTATTCTGTGCTTTTATCTACATTTAATGGATGCAGATTTGTAGCAATTATGAGCTTTAAACATTTTTATAGACAACTGCTTCTTGAATTTTAAGTAAATGCAAATTGCAGATCTAGTGCAATGTGTACTTCTTTGTATAAAGTATTGCAATTACAATTTTTGTTGGCAATAAACAGTTTCTCGTTACTTGATAGTTTATCGTTTGAACAAAGAATATCATCGATCTTTGACTTCATAGAAGGCAAAGGAAAATTATTCGTAACCAAGATTTCCAGAATATTAATATTAAAGAACTGTCAAAATTTTCTGAGACTATTGAGGTTATCAATTACATTAAGGGTCAGTAACTTAGGAATAAATGATTAGTAATTAGAATAAATTTTAAAATGCCGTCTTACAGATTATCTTTTATCATCTTATGTATTTAAAAATTGAGCATGACGTCATTGATATGAGATCGGTAGCTTGATTAACAATGCCTACGTCAGAAGAGTATTCACTGAATTAAAATCTACTAATCCTTTTGAATTTTCAATAAAAAATGTGAATAAAAAATGAAAAAAATGATATTAATTTTGAATCCAATTACAAGAAACGGCAGCTTTTGGAAATATTATATAACAATATGTATGTGAACATATTGGGTAAACTCCTTTACATATTCCTACACATCATTTCAACTCCACAGAACATTTGTGTGTGTGTGTGTGTGTGTAATAAAGACCAGAACTGTCTATTATTTGTAAATTAAATTATCATTTAATTATTGGTTCTTAATCATCAATATGAGCATAATCCAGTGATTTCATGAATTCATCCGAGTGTTCAACATTATAGAAAAAACTTACCGGTCCAAATACAAACACAAAACAAAGTGATTGATTGATGAGTTTTTAAGTAACAATTTTATTCTTTAAATCTACCTAACAGACTTTAGCAATATATTTCCAACGACAAATCACCTTTAAAATTATTTTTCATTTTGCAAGATTGAAGGCATACTATAAAAATGTCTTGCAGTGAAGCCAATTAAAATTACATCTTTTTAATACTGCTCCGAATTCTACAAAACTCCGGCTTCGGTATTAATTTTAAATACGAAAAAAATGGATTTCGCCGTAAGATGTCCTTCTTGCGTCATTTTCCACACGCCACAAAAAATGATAACAGGGCCACTACTAATACCTTATTGTCGCTTACATAGGTAGAATGATCAAAAGTTCAAAAGTAACATGTAAACAATATGTTTGGAAGTAAAACGCCCACGTTTGTTTACTGCACCGCCACCATCGAAAATAAATTAGCGAATTGTCGTTATAAGTCAAGATTATATATATATATATATATATATATATATATATATATATATATATATATATATATATATATATATATATATATATATATATATATATATATATATATATATATATATATATATATATATATACACAAAACGGTAGTCGTGACCGGCTAGTTGAACAACAAATTTTAGTTAATTGGGGTATCGGTCCTAGGACCGATACCCCAATTAACTAAAATTTGTTATATATATATATATATATATATATATATATATATATATATATATATATATATATTATATATATATATATATATATATATATATATATATATATATATATATATATATATATATATATATATAATAATATAAGCAAATTTTCACTTACAAATTGACATCGTGTTTCATCAGTCGCATTCGCGCGTCCCTTGGCCAACATTTCTTGTTATTGTAGCCGACGATGTTCTCATTATTAGGATCGGGATGTTCGGTCAAATACCTCTGGATAAGATCTTTGGCCTCTTCTGCGGTGAATCTAAATCAAAATTCACATTATCGCGGACATTCAAAAGCAAAATAAACGTAACGGAATACCTGAAAAACATATGGATTTTGTCGACGTATCTGCAATAAAGCCTGATCGGGTGGCAGGTTTCTGTTTGCACATCCTGAAAGGTCAGGAAGTCGTTCGGCATCTGCGGCGGTCCCGCCATCTCACTCGCCCTTTGCAAACCCAAAATGAGCAAGTCCAGCACCAAGCCATAGTACTGGGTAATGAAGGAGGCGAACTGCAGACCCCTAATTATGCCGTAACTGTTGGTGTGGTTCATGTCCTTGTAGTTTATGACGACGTTGTTCTTGGCCGTCATGTAATCGGCAATGTTGTGATCGACGATCAGACGTAACAGTCGGTTGAGCAAAGTTAAATCAATCTTCTCATACAACTTCTCGAAGCGCGACTCCAAAAGGACGTTGCATTCGCCCTCGTTGACATCCCAGACGTCTTGCAGATTATTTATACCTGAACGGATAAAGCAACATGCAATACTAAACACTTAAGTGACGAATATTTATAGTATCAAAGTAGAACAAATATATAAAAAAAACTAATAATATTTTTTTCAAATTTTCAAAAGCATTTCTATAAATTGCCCTACAAAGAAAACTGCATTATTGCAAGATTGTACCTAAGGTAACTGTGTTTTTTTTTCCCGATTAATTGTACCTTTAAGGTACGTCTGACAGAAAACTAGCAACAATACAAAAAAATACGCGTATATAATGGGTGGTCAATTAAGATGGTTACTCGTTCTTAACTCGAAAAGTAATTGTAAACAGTCGGGGTGAAAAAAACTTGTCCGCCAGGATGGATATTAGTAATCTTGTATGTATGTTGTAAAGCTAGGTTACACGAAAGTGGTAGGGGATGTTCGAACATTTTCAGAAATAAAAGTCAATAATTTTATAATGGTTGAAATCATTTTGTCAAATTTGGAGTTGTTGTTAATTTAGATTCCTTATATCGCCATCAGAAGGTGTTTAGCGACATCATTATAAATCTTGCAACAAAAGATAGCCAAATAAGAGTCTGATACGCTAGTGGAAACTGCATTTTGATATATTTCCAAATAATTATTAATACTCAATATAATAAAAATAATAGTGGCGTTTTAGTGTCAATCATATTAAAATTGCAGCTATTTAGAGTGCATTTTGGTGACATTATCGTAAAGAAATGCCTTTGTCAGCTGGAGAAGTGCTAGATGTGATTCATGTTTATTTTCAAAATAATAAAAATGCAACTGCTTCTGTTAGAATCTATGTGATAGAGTATCCTGCATTCAAACGCAAAAATCCTAGTGTTTTATCACGGTTATTGTTTTTTATTATATCAATTAAATTTTGAAATATTTAAATCAAATGGCAACAAGTTTTAATTATTACTGACATTTTAAATATACTGTTAGCGTTTTAACAGTAAATTTATTTACACATTTTGCTAAAACGACGAAGATTAGTATTTAATACCCGTAGGTATCTTGAAAACATTTCCAAAGATGACGATATATTTTTTTTTTATTTCTTTTACTGATAATGAGGTTAGGAAAGAGATATCGAAATTTCGGTTTTCCCTAGCGTGTTTAAACCCTTCTTTGTCTATCTTTTGTTGTAACGAAAGTGACCTTGTTGCATTTAGTTGTTTTGAGAAAATACCCAAAACACCCCCACCACCCTCTCAAGATGTAGAGCAAAAACTAATCTTCCAAAAGGAACCAAATTTAGCAACTTTAAACTATTTTAATCATCTGTAATATAAAATTATATCATTTAAAATTCAAGAATATGATTAAGCCACCTAGCTCATTCTAGAAATGAATAATTACATTTCAAGATGAGACCGAGTACCCTTCTAACTGATCACCAGTTATGTATATACATATATATCAAATTAAAAGCTAAACAATAAATTTTTTTGCATCGCATTCCTAGTATTTTGTTCATGATTGATCTCTACCATAAACCTTATTATACCTCATAGGTGTACATCATTTTTAAAGATTCGAAAATGAGGATATTTCTTAATTCATAGAATTAAAATATTAATTTCCTTACTTATAAGCAATATGCTCTTTAAATTTACAAGTTTTCATATAAAATTACCGCTAAATATTTTAAGGTTTCCCATTCAATGTCTTGACAGTTACAAATTTGAAATACAATGCAGGTACTCTTAAAAGTTCCAAGCATTGATAATGAAGTTCATTTACCTTGACACCATTTATAAACCAACAGTGGGGGCGGTTCGGTGTCGGCGGGCTTGATCCAGGGCGGAAACAGGCGCCGTTTGTCCGCTTCATACCAAAGATACTGATCCAAGTACGCGTCGGTAATTTTTTCCAAAGGTTCCACGTCGTATACGGGGATTAAATGGCTGTAGAGGTCCATGAATTCAATTCCCACCTACAAAAGTAACACTATCAATAACGAAGTGAAAAAGGTAAAGGAAAATGCTTAGAAAACCCAAAATTGTTACAAAAATCTTGTGTCATTTCTGCTATATCAAAGTACTTTTAACTTGCAAAATATAAAAAAAAAACATTTTTAGGAACAAAATACAAATCAGGCAGTAGCAACTACAATTAGTTACAAATTCTGTAAAATTCTGAGAAATGAGAAACTCAGAAATGATACATACCTCTTTGAAAGCTCTCTGCGTTAGCAAATGTCTTTTAATCCTAGATAGAGCCTCGTGGGGATTATCATAAGCCTGTTCAATGAGTCCTAGTTCCTCCCTCTGACTCTGGTTAAGACGCGACTTTACACTGTAAGCCTCTTTCAATCTTTCCAAAGCGAGAATTAACAGCTTCGTGTCATGCTTGTAAGATAATGGCGGGAAAGGTATAGGCGCAAATCTTCTGGATTCCAACCAGTGCACAGTAGTGGTGTATATGGCTACGGCCTCTTCAGGAGAGATATAGGGACCGTCCTGAAAACGGAATTATTGCAAACTTTATAAGCCCTAATAAACCTTTTATGAAAAGAAACAATATCAATTAAGATATTGAAATTCATTTGAATTTTATAGGTATTGTTTAGAAGTTAAATTCCTAGCCAGAGAACAGAGAACTGATAAATATAAGAATAACTGAATCAAATAGAAAAAAATTTTTATTAATTATTTTAATTAATTGTATTATTTAAGCTTAGTGTATTTAGTAGTTAAAACGTCAGACAACTATTACACTTAAGGTTTCGGAAGTAGTTCAAATGTATTATACAATGCCTAACAAAAAATGCATTTCAATTTTATAGGTAGTGTACAGAAGTCTTAGACATATAGCAGAAGATTGATAAAAATAATGATAATCAAATCAAATTATAAAAATTGATCATAAACTACTTTAATTAATTTTAATATATTACAAGCAGGATTTCAGAAGTAGTTCAAATGTATTTTCTAATAACTGTAATATTTGGACCATACCTTCAAATAATTATGCTGCCTTTCCTGTTCGGCTTTAAGATAAAGCCTGGTTAGACGGCCCAAATTCTTCTTGCAAACGGTTTTATCAACTGTGGCACCCCTACGAATTCTCTCCCTATTATAGTGAGCCGTATTAGTCCACCAATCGGCCTTCATTTTCACGTAACGAAGTATCATGTTTTCTATAGGGATAGGTAATCCTGGAACCTAAAATAAACCACTCATTATCCCGGCTAACATATTAAGCAGGTTTTCACCTTCCAGGGTATATTGGCCTTCCAACACCTCCAAGCTTCAGAGAGGTGTTGCAAAATGGTTCGCGCTTTATTTTGCTTGATGCCCTCGGGCATCATGTCGACGATGTCATGCATTACAGAGGCGCGCAACTCAAGGTCAAAATGCGACTCAACCCGTTGCTTGGTAACAGTTTTTGCTACACCTTTGGAGTGTCGACCTTCAAACTGACGCGAAAGGAGATTGCCAAGCCATCTTTCCAACAAAGGGGTGATACCCCGCATGAAGAAAAGCCACACCCGCCATCCGGGTGCCCAGAAACCGCAACCGGGACCTTTGCCGACAGGACCCTGATATTAAAAATTATGTGGCATCAAGAACTGACCTTCTCACATAAACGAAATACTTACCGTATTGAATCTATAGTAAACAAGATGTTTTAAATCTTTACACATCCTGATTTGCCTCATTAGCTTGTACTTGTACCGGTACATTCCAGTTAATTGACCGACATGAGCAAATATATATTGCAGACCGTCGGCAAGTTGAAAGGCGTCAACATTGTTTAGTCTGTACTGAACATGGGAATCAATAATCAGTTTTGTAAGACGCAATATCTCTCTACACAAATGGAACGCTGGAAGAAAAAAAACAATTAAAAAAATTAATTACTGTAAAGTGCAGACTGTTTTCCACAAGGAAATGCAACAAAAGAAACTAAAACCACGTTTTCTGTCTGAGATCTAACAGAACTAAACTAAACTCTGAGAAAGTAACAAAACAAACACTTAAGAAAAAATAGAGTGAAATAATGCAAATGAATATAGCTGCAGAGAACATCGATGCTTCTGAATAGCTACTGAATAACTTCAGGCTTTGTGAAAAAGGATATAGTCCACCTGTAATGGCGAAAAATAGACAATATGAAAATATGTTTAAAATAATGAAAAATCAAGTAAAAGCCCTCGGAACAAAATTCAAACATTCAAACACACTAAAGATCTCCCAGAAAGTGACAAACCAAACGCTTAAAAGGAAAAAATAGCATAAAACAATGCACATCTGCCAAATATGGTATCATAGCAAAAACCAAAAAGTAAAAAATAATAACTATTGAATAACTCCAAGGTTTATAAAAAAGATATTTAATAATAATAAATAATAATAATAATTACTTGCATTGTTGTAATACAATATATTTCATAATTTTAAATTATCAGCTAGTTTCCAAAGAAGTTGTTCAAACATTGCGGGGTCATTCTGCTAAAGTTATGGAAGAATTAAAATGCCTCTATTTTCCTCTCGGAGCAAATTCTGCTGTCCATAGTTCCTTCCTTTTTTATTATTTTTGAATTTTCCATTTTCCCTAACATCATAGCGCAATAACAAAAGTTAAAAAACAATCATTTAGGTAACCGCGTTGGTGTGTTGAATATATTTTTATTAGTAACTTTTATTTTCGTTAATTTCGGAAAATACCTTATTGACATTTAAATAATAACAAAACATGGAACTAAGGTTACGAAAAATGGTATTAACTCTCAATTCACACACCAAATCGCATAGTCTGAAGGTCAAAATTGAATCACTTTGATAATTGTAAGATATTCTTTAAGTTAATATACTCGAATCAGATAACTTAAATCTAAAACACCACCCAATAATAGAACACAATACCATAACACTATTATTAACGTAAATGTAAAGAACATTATCTATGAACCAGAACAGAAAATACAAAGATTGCAAAGAACAGAGAGTAAGATAATAAATATTATATTGCAGATAAATTATTTTACACCAACCACAAATACGGGGCCCTTAAAAAAATTAAATATATGCGAGTAATAAAATAACACCAAGGTGTAAATAATTTTAAAACCTTTTATTTGCACAAATCGTTCAAAATTCAGAGCTCATATAACATATAATATTACTAGAAAAACTTTAAGGCCTAGTGGCAATAAATGTAAAAAAGAAATCTAACAAAACTCACCATTTCCAAATCGAGACTTCTTACGTTCCTTAGTAGTTAGAGTTTTTACTGGTTTCAAATTAAAATTATAATCCAAATGTAAGTAATTCAAATTTTTTCTGTGTATCAACAGATTTAGCATGTTGTAACCTTGCCGGCATACTTGCAACCCAGCTTCAACCCAATCCAGTGTAGTCGTTTGAAAGAACTTAGTGGATTTGAAAGACCTAAATAGGTACCTCTTCTTTTGCGGTTTTGGAGGTCTATGTTTCAAAGCGTTAAGCACGTAATATTTGAGTAACTTCTGGTAACTTACTCGTACTTTAACGGGCTGCCCAGGAGGGCAATGCTCCATATACCAGCATTTTACTAAAGGTACATCTATAGCCCTTCTCGACCGTCCTAAAAACACACTTTTGTTAGGCCTCTCCTACTGGATTAACATAAAATTTATGAACCTGATCGTAAATTAAACGGTCGCGGTGCCCAGAGCAGAGCTATACCATTTGCTGTATTATCCGTGTAAAGAGGAGTTTCTTGCAGAAATGGTTGTACGATTTCTGGCAAAATATACTCCTCATCGTCTTCTGGAAGTGGTTCCAAACTCTTTACCGCATGTCGATGCGATATGGGATTGATAAGAGGATCAAAATAGAATGCTGGCAAGTCCGGATCCTCAGTTTTAATGTAAACAACATTTGGTGCATGATACCTAATAGACGGCACAATTTTAGTTCAATAGAAAAAGTTATATATAAATTTTGAAATGTTGGTGATATATCAGCCTTTTCACCTAAATCTTTACAATGAAAAATATATCAATCACCCATAATTTTCCACACCTCCAGTACATTTATTAGATAACAAAATAATGAAATGTAAAACTTAAATGTGGATTAATTAATTAGCCTTTGTGTGCCAGTTCAAGCCCTTACTTTTAAGAGTGCGTGTGATCCAAGTTAAAGTTCCGGTAAAGTGTCCTGACAGCTGTAGAGTGTATGACTCAGAGTTACACACTTTGCAACTTTGTACGGCCGCAAAAAAAGTTAAATTAAAAAGTCGCATAGTTTCATCTAGATTTTTTTATTTTTAAACACCAGCTTTCCTATTTTAAATGGAACGCTGTAAATTTTTATGCATTTTTGGATTCTCTGATAAATTCTAGATATATTTCTTATAGAGTGTGGTGAAATTTGTGTCAAAAATAACGCTTGCAAATTAACTATTACAAATGTTATACTGAAAACAACAAAAGTACCGCTTTAACCACAACCATCAGAGAAAATGTACACAAGATTCCTGATAAAAAAAGTTTGGTGAAAAGAGGGATAAAATTTGAAAGATCCTATCACACAAGTAGAATTATAAATTATTCCATAACGTGTGCAACTATTACATTTGCATTACAAATTTAACAATAAATAAATAAAATTCCAAAACTTAAAATAAGTGCTCCACATGACCCCATCTTTATTGATGTAAATATTATTATATATTATTATCACTTCGATTTAGAAATTGAAGTTCGTTCCTAAGTAAACTTTTTAGAGCTTTAGTATCTTAAAAGTTTATGTTGGGTGTCCATTTGAAAACATTGACCTTTTACATTTTTCTTTTAATTCACAACCAAAACATCCACTCAATATAAAAAAAGGCTCCCGTCTACATTCATAAAAAATTAAAGAAAAATTGTTAATTAGTTTAGGACCTGCACACACTATTTTTGACATAAAATTCATAATTTGTCAAAAACAGTTATCATTAGTGTTGGGGCTGGTCAATTAACCACTTCTTAATTGACTAGTCAAATTCGATTAAAGTGTTTTGAATAACAATTCTAGAGTGTTATCCATTGTTATTTAATAATAAATTATTATGTACTTATGGTATCCAATTACTTAGCAATTCCTACAGGCTACATTTTTTTTCTGAAAAAATAGAGAAACAATTAGTTGAGTGGTTAATACCGCATTTCTCACTAGAAATTTAACCGGAACTTTTTATATCAGGATTAAGAAGGGTAGAGAATGTAGAAATGTACCTAAAAAAAATTGAATACTAGGGGGGGAACTGAGTGGAACAAAAGGGATAATTTGGACAAATATTTTCATAGAAACAGGGTTCAAGAAACAAGCACAACATAGTTAATGGTTATTAACCTACCAAGAAAGGTGCACAAAATGAGGCATATTGTTATATAAATAGGGAAATGCTATCCTGTATTCTGTACGGATAGGTTGCCTTATAATAATCTTGTTTATATCGTTAAATTCATTCCAGTCTTCATCTCTAAAATGAAATAAAATGAAACAAGGCTAGACATATTTAAGTGTAAAACTTACGCTGGGTTCATGTCTTTAATCAAGGGCTCAAATTTTGGACCTCCAGGAATGGCCATGTTTAATGCTTTGGCGGTAAAAAAACTTTTTGTGTCAAACAAATAAAAATAATTGTAATCAACCAAGTCTGTTAGCAACTGATTAGCTAACCTATACAAGGTTGCCATCATTGGTAAAGTTAAATTCCACTTTCTGTAGGTGGATCCATTAACATATTTTGTTCCAACCTAAAAAAAAAATCTCAAGTAAGTAGGTAAGCTTTCAATGCCTACATACAAGGGGTTTGTAATCATAAAACCACTTTGCTATAGCTGAATCTTCATCAGCATCTAGCTCTATTTGGATAGCTTCCAGAGGTTCAACATCTAAAACATTATCTGCATAATCAAGGGGTGGTTCTTCATCATCAAAAGGAGGAAAACGCATTCTTTTGAAATGCCGACGATCTCGTTTCTCCCTCCTCATCATTATCCACATAGTCCTAAAATTAAACCAAACATACAATAATAACATAACATAGATGATAGATGAAAAACATGCCCAACTACTGTTGCAAACATCTTTTGGTATTGAAGGAAATTTCAAAATAGGATCAAAATGAATTTGTAAATTTTTAGAAGCTGATTGTCAATGAGACTATAAAAAGCAAATTACATGCTTACATAATTGTAACAATAAGGGAGATCCATATACTGGAATTTCAGTAACAGATAACAGATGTATGTTCAACCAAGGCACCTTGAAATTAAATAAAACTTACCCCCACTGAGCAATATATACTGGTTCAATCACCCAGGGTATTTCGTTAACAAAGGTTATTGCCCCTGTTATATGGTATAATACTTTCACATCTCTAATTTGTTCCCAAGGCATAGGCATGTTCTCTAAGAGTTTCATGACTGCGTGAGGCATATACTTCAGTGCTCTAAAACAATGGTAATAATAATTTACAAAATAATTTCATAAGATATTTGCACTGTTACCCCAGATATACTCTTTTATCATGTCTATATTTGCGGCTGCTCATATCTCCATGGTCCCTAATAATTTTTCTGATATGTTCTGGAGGCATATCCTCCTTCTGTGCCTCAACAAAACCTAGCTTCCGTTTATCAGCAAACCGTTTTGACTGCAATTGATGCCATTTTTGGGCTAAACAAGAATTAAAAATTACCCCCATTATAAGCTAATCATGACAAAATTACCCTTTTCCTGAAGTTTGTCTTCTGTAATTACATCGGGTTTAGGATGGGGTGGTGGCATCTGTTGCTGTAAAGCGTGAGCGTGAGCCTGAGCGGCTGCCGCTTGTGCCTGAGCGTGAGCCGCCGCCGCCAAATGTTGTTGTGCCATCATGGTGGCCCAGGGATTGGGCCCCAAAATATACGGCGGAATAGACATATTCGCAGCTACAAAATCACAAACTCGATAAACAAACACTTCCACATAAAACAACAAATTTTACCGGATTATTTTCAACTTTGACAATGGTTTTTACATTGATGCTTCTATTTAAAAGCTATCAATGTTAAACAACGCACATTTTATGACAGTCACACATAGATAAAAGTGAGTCACAGAATAGAAAGACCGATAAAGATGAAATTAATTTTGGGTTATAAGCGAGCACGTTAACCGGGGAATTTTAACTGTGATTCTAAAATGTCATCCCACTGCACACTGTTACCACATTGCCACATTTATTCGATTTAATCTGAAAATTACACAAAATTGCAATTTGTAGTTATATAACACTTCCCCTTTCATGTTATATGACAAACTCCAACATCTCCAGTCCAAAAAAGAAAGACAATCATGTCAAAATATGTAGTAATAAAATTGACATCTTAGTTTCCTATTTCACTTTTCACATTATGAATAAAAAAAAAAAGTTTTAGTGGTAAAGTTTTATTTAATTATTTTAACAATGTAACAGCAATAGCAATATTATATGGCAACACAAGTATTTAATTTAGGTGCATCAGCTGCTGGCATTTCAAATCATGAAATCATGAAAAAGTTTCACTTTTGGCAGCAGTATAAAAAGTATATAACTTAAACTGCAGGATTACCAATTATTTATTGCAGATACGGATGCACGAGCCATTATAAAATTTTTGAATGTGGGACACCAAAAATATGTACATGTTGGGAGCGCAATAAATGGGAAGGATTTAGGAAATAATTGAACATTTGGCAACAGAGAGCGATATAGTTTACCAGACACACAATTTTGACAACTAAACGTAAACTGCAGAATTACCGCAACGTTTTTCTCTGGTTCTGCCCACAGGCACAGATCAGGCTTCTTCTTTCTTAATGTCTGGGGCAATCTGTTACAGCCGTTTATCTCTCAGTAATGACATCTCGCGCACCTTTGACATAAACTTACGACGCTGTAATAAAGTACTTGCAGTACTTTCCTTTTATTAATATTATTAATAAAATATATTTATTAATATGAAAACTACCACCATTTACGTCCTGATGTTTTCAACGATTCATGTTCCATAACTAAATCTAATTGAACAAGTCACAGACATAAAACAAACAAAATCAAAGGGAGGATTTTATTGAAATTTTGATAAAATAAAATTGAAAATCACCTATCAGCTTTCTTCAACTTTTCTTTTTTGGATTTTGGCTTTACCCGCTTCTTTTCTGTCGTTCCTTCTGTCTCTTTTGATATTGTTTTTTTTTTAATTTCCCTGATTTTTTTCCTAAAAATTTTGCAGGAAATAAAAATGACATAAAGAGAAAAAAATACCAACCTCTTACTGCCCTTTATTCTATGATATGATGGTTTCGTTACAATATCGTCTCTTTTGGGTGTCATTTTCAATTTCTTGCCAGTTGATTTGGGCTTTTTCAACGCCAGCATGTAATCGGGAACTTCATAACCGGACTCTCTGATAATGTGGGCTATACTAATAAAAAAAAATCAAAACAAAGTCAATGTGTGATAACACCTAAAGCAGTAACATGGGTGGGGAAAATCAAGAAAATTGAATTTGTAGTTGTAGGATTTGATTGAGAAGACGTAATTTTAATAAAAGGCCGACGTAATAACCAGCAATTTCTTGTGATTTTTTTCCTGATCTACTAAAAATAAAAAACCTATATACTCAGTGTCCCATTCAGGGCACCGAGGTACGGCATAGGGACTGCCCTAGAAATTAAAAAAAAATCATTTTCTGAAAAAAGGTGAAATGGAATGGAGCTTTAATATGTCATTAGATAGTCAAATAATAATCCGATAACCTAGTGGAAATAGCAAAATAACCAAAACTAACAAAAATAACCATAACTAAATAAAACTAGCCTACACAAATCCTTCGAAGGGCACCAAATGCCCCATGCCTGATATTTTTATGTTATGACAAGCTTAGCTGTTTTCAAATATTTAGTATTATCACTTATTTTACCACTGAAAATTAAGCTTAGGGACTAACTATATTTATTAACTATTCATGTATTTTACTAGTATAATGTGGAAAACCATTTAAAATAAATAGAATATCTTGTTTGCCTGAAATAATTATCAAGATTGCCATGAAAACAAAATTTGTTTTGATCAATGTCAAAATCTATCTTGATTGCCGAAAGCCTTAATTAGATAAAAATTTGTTACATTGAAATTGTTTTATTTAAACTCATTGTAATTCAGTAAGTACAAGAAATCGACGTATTAGGAATGAAGAAGGAAACTGATTATTTCAATAAACATTTTACTACTTAAATAATTCAATCAATAATAATAAATAAAACTTCAACGAATAATTAAATTTGGTTAGTGGACCAAACCTAATTATTAAGGGAGGCCAAGAAAGTCAAAACGTAGATAGGGAGTAATTTGCTGTCCCTTACCTATGCTTAATGTTAAAAAATTTTGAGGAAACTGAGTTTTAAAATTTAAGATAACAATTACGCCCATTAGTGCCAATTTCAAAAATAATTTCCAGCAATCTGTGTGTCTTGGTCGATTTACTGAATAACATTTTTTTTCAAATTTCTAGGACCCTCCGTTTCCCTAATATCGTACCCCCTCGCCAGATGCCGAGCGACTGACCTTTTTAAATTGTCCCTGTCGTCGCTCGTGAAAAAGGTGACAGCCTTTCCTTTGCGTCCGGCTCTGCCCGCGCGTCCGATCCGATGAACATAGGAAATAACGGACGGCGGAAAATCGTAATTGATGACCAAATTGACGCCCTTGAAGTCGACGCCTCTGGCCATTAACTCGGTGCAGATGAGTACCCAAACCTGTCCCTCGCGGAACGCCTCCACTGTTTTATATCTCTGAATGACATATTCACATTTTACCAAGAGTTTTTAAGATGTATATAAAAATTGGTCACACTTTTGTAATGCTGTATAATGTCCTACATATACTAATACATATCTTTATCCCCTTGTTCCCCTAGTTAAACACAAAGTGGCCTTAACATAAAAAGTACACGCCGTTCCTTGATATCGTGTCAATACTGGAGGGGGCAAGGAGGGGAGCTCATGTTGAACTTACGTCCTTAACTTTCAAGTTACGGTGTGATGAAGTTGTTGGACAAAAATATTTTATTTATGTTATCTAAGAAACGATTCCGAATATCATTGAGAAATTTGGTAAGCGCATTCTGTGCATCACATTTTTTTAAAGCAAAACTTTAACATACTCTCTTTCGACATTAAGGATTTTGGGCGGGATTTATAAAAAACATTACTGCCTTCTTCAGAATAAAGTTCACACTTACTTAAAATAGTGTTTGCAAATGGACCAATGTACAATTTACATATAATAAAAATGTTAATAAAAAAAAGACAAAAATTGCCATTCGTTTTCCATCTTGGTTAATTAGATATATAAAGAAGTAACAAAACAAAAAAAAGTGATAAAGAATACTTAAAGCTAACAAGGTCTAAAAACTATAATAGCGTATTCAATGTCCAAAATAGGCCCCAGTTTCCAGATACAATGCAATAACTTTTTTGTGGGTTGACTTTTAAACTTGTTCATATCTTGTTTCATCAAGATATTTTGGACAAAATTTTATAGTCTGAGGGGCAATATTTTCAAGCGATAAACCTTTTTAACAATTACAATGCGAATTTCTTGAGGTATAGGAATCTGAAGATTGTTCGAAGAACCAACTTTTAACATACATTTTATATCAATGTTTAGACAGGTTATAGGTCCTTTCATCTTGCCCAATACATTAAATGCTAATGCTTGCCTAAATTTCCTTACAAATGGATCCTTGGGCAAGGTGCAAGAAACTAGTTAGTCGAAAATTTACCAAAAAAAAATCTGTGGAGTAATTTTTGTTATTCTATTTATGGCACAAAAGTAGATAGCCCATTAGAGTTACTAGGGTCAATTAATGTTGCTGTAAATCAAATTAGGAATAGTCGCTTCGACAATCAACATGCCAACTTAATATCAATTACTGATTTTTCATTCTTAGCTATTCAATTGTGGAATTATGAATTAAGCTTAGTGAGGCCTACTTTTCAATAAATGCATGAATAAGTCAAACGGGCATACAGTATATTTGTGAAATCCATTTTTTTTTTCAGAGATTTTAACAAAAATTACATTTACTATTTACAAATCTTCTGTATACCTCCTGCATCGGTTGTTAATAAATCGAACTTGCTAATGTTTAGCCAATCATCCTGTTGGGTTCTTCAGAGCTGCACTGAAACTGATTGGCATTTTACTCTGTAGCTGCTCATACATTGTTTGAGGGAGGCGGAGCAAAAGGAGAACGGAGCATAAAAATCTCTAAACACGCAAACAATCTTTACCGCGACTCTGGTCTTTACCTTTCACCGATATGGGAATCAACCGGAAGAATATCTTCCAAAACAAGCTCCGCCTCCTTCAAACAGTATATGAGCAGGTAATGCTCGATTTATCAACAACGGATGCAGAAGGAAACCAGAGGTTTCGTAACGACCCATATCTCTATTTTGAAATACCTCAACCAAACGTACCTGCGTCTGGGTCATATCGGCGTGCATGGCGGCCACCATGACCCCGTCGTATATCAATTCCTTAAACAATTGCTGCGCTCTGTCCCTACTTTGAACGAAAACTAGCACCGGAGGATTGATGCCCTGACGGATAAGGTCTCGAATAGCAATCAGCTTGCCTTGCTCGTTGCCGACGAAAAGAAGTCGCTGTTCGACTGTGTCGACGGCTGTATTCCTGTTACCAACGGTGACCCGAGCTAGGCCCTTCATATTGCGCACGCACCATTTCGCCAATGCCGGCGTGAAAGTGGCACTGAACATTGCTATTTTTCTGTTAACGTTGTTGCAAGCGGCTAGTAGACTGATCAGCTGGTATCTGAAGCTGTGCTTACCCTCCTCGTAAAGTTTGTCCGCCTCGTCGACGATTAACCATTCAATACTAAGAAAAAATAATTTGAAGTGTGTTTGCAAAAACAGATACATTATGTTTTTGGAAAAGTTTATCTATAGTATATTGTATGAAAAATATGCAGTTTAAATGATCTTTATAATTTGTTTAACAAATAAATACTGACTAATTCGTTTTTTTTTGTTTGAATAGTACTATTTAGGTCTGTTTTAAGGTTCAATATTTTTTTTTCTAAAAATCGTGTCTACACATTGTCAACCATCGATTTAAAATGAGTCGCGTCAAAAAATTGTCACTGGTGATCTAATGAAAATCACAATTTCGTAATAAAGTGTCATAACTTATAAACAGAAAAGTGAGGCAAATTTTACAATAAAGACGGCTAGTAATGACGACCTTGTTTTTTTCTCGTTCGTTATTCCTACTGAAATTATTTGTAGGTCAAACAACATTTGTAAAAAATTAAAACAAAACTAACCACAACTGATCCTGCGTTTTTAAAAACGTCCAAAAAAGAGCATATAAATTAATATATGTGGTTTTTCAGAAGTAGTATTAACAAGATTGGAATATGGAAAAAACTGAGTATTCGATCTCATATTTCGTCTACTAACACTGCTAAAGATTATCGATAACTTTTTAGCAAGGACCTAAATTCAAAAGCATAATTGACTTTATTACCAGTGTTAACAAAATGTGGCTACTATTACTTTAATAAATCCAAATCATACAACAAAATAAATCAAATGCTGCCGGATTTGAACTGAGGTGGCTTTTACTTGATGAAAATCCATTTATCAAAATAAATAAGAACTAAAAGTTCAGATTTTCCACGAAATTATATATTATGACATGACAATTGTATCGACAACACCGTGTCTTTATCAAAATATGAAATGATAAAGACAGGGTGTTGTCGAAACAATTGTCATGTCATAATATATAATTTCGTGAAAATCTGAACTTTTAGTTCTTATTTATTTTGCTGCGGGATTTGATGAGATTACTTGATTTACGGTCAGACTGTCACTTCCAATTCAATCACGTTACTCATATCAAAGCAATATTTGTTTAGAGGCTGGGTACGTCCCATCTATGTGGAAAACAGCCATAGTTTTTGCAACCCAGAAGACAGCTTCGCCAACCAGCTAGCAAGGTAATGGAAAAGGTTGTTTATCAGCAACTGCTTTTGCGTACTAGTAGTAATAATATAACTTCATCAAACCCGTCACTTACTGCTTTACTGCATATTAATGATCTACTAATAAAAAATTTGGAGGAACACGTTTCAAAACTGGTCTTACTTTATTTTTCAGAAGCATTAAAATCTCTATCTTTTTCCAGTCATATTTGTATAACAGGCAGCAGTTGGTTACGTACGCGCTGAAAGACCAGCAAAAATAAAATATTTTTAATTTAATTAAGCACATTTTTGAGGAATAACTCAGAATTACTGAAAACAAATAGGAATAGCTGACTAAGTGCGAATTTCGGTCATAATTCTCTCTAAACTAGAAATACTAGACAACAAAATATTATGACGCAGCTCAATATTCCTCATGCAAATGTCACTGGTCTCAGAGATATTGGGCATTGAAAATTTAAATTTTAATGTGATTTTTTTTATTAATTGAGAAAGTTTTTACAGTATAATAGTGAAAACTGGGAGTTTCAGGGTTTTAACATGACAAATACAAATTTGAAACTTACTAAGACTTTGCTCCCTATTTTTTTGTATCTGTCAAGTTCTGGTTGCAATATGATGAATTAATGAATTTTCAATTTCTCGTAGAAAGGCGGTCTAACTCGCTTTTTGACTATAATGCATTTAAAAAGTTCAAGGTATTTTTTCTCTCTTTTTTTAAAACACTTAAATAAATTACCGGGAAGGCAATTGCAATAAAAAAAAACAATATCCCAAACTTTCTGCAACACAATTTTTGGCAACTTCAAATCAAGCAGAGAGGCTGGAACTGTCACCACAATCCAAATGCGTTTGGTTGAAGCAGGTCTAAAAGAAAGAAGGACTGCGAAAAAAAACCTATTATTTCAGTAAAACAAAAACAAATATACACTATTATTGTTGGCACACGAACATAGACAGAGTTCGTTTTCTGACGAATTAAATTTTTGTGTATTTGGGAGTGATGGTGCAAGATGAAGGGGTTCACATTAAGGTACATGGTTGTTTCTCTCCCGTTGGAGTTGGTCCAATTCATCAGATTGAATGAATAGATTGTTATAGGAAAGAATAGATACATTTATCGACAAATATTGGAGGAGCTCAATGTCTTACCCCAGGTTCCCTTTTCAACATGATAATTTTTGGGAGATTGCAGGGAAAGAAATTTAAAGAAAAAAAATCAAAAATCAAACCGAATCATTCGAAAAAATTGAAACGTTTCGACCTCCATTAGTAAAGAAACCATTGCCATTTTAATAGACTTGATTCCTACAAATAAAGGATATTGAAAAAATATTAACTGTGTCTACTAACTAAACAGCAGAAAGATGCTTTAATTTGGTCGCAGCAACAAAAAAATTTAATATAATTCATTTTATTTTTCTTCAAAAACTAATAACAATCACATACTATCATAAACTAACCAATCATGAACATAAAGAATTGTAAAAAATTTTGCTTGTAATAAAATTTTGGAAAAGTTGCTTTAATTTTGTTCAAAACTGTACAATATTTTGGTAGTCTCTAAGTTTTTTTATTTGATCCATATAATTAGTGACCTTTGTGGAGAGAGAGACACACCATATAAAAGAAAACAAAATTAAATTCTTAAATTCTCTTACTTTGACAATTCCAAGATGGGCGGATCTTGCTTCAACAAAAAGCACAATCTGTTTGGAGTGGTTATTAAAATATCTGGAACAAAGAAAACAACTGAATTATACAGCGCTGCCTGGCCTGGTAATTTGAACTCGTTATTTCAGTGTAGCAAGGGGCAAATACCAAGCAATGCTATTTCCAAATCTTCTCTATTCCACCTGCGTCCTGTTGGCTTCTTCTGACCTTAATCTTAAATGAAACTGGCTCGCATTCTAGTCTGTACCCTGTACCTGCCTATATACTGCACGGGGGGTCGGAGCTATGAACATTGTCTCCAATGACTGATTCCCATATTGGTGACCCGAATCGCAGTTAACAATTATAATAATATTCATAATCATCCGAGACAAAGTTTAATGTCCCTTCGTTTGCTCAGCCCTCCTCCTCAACCCTTATATAAGCAGTTACAGAGTGAAATGCGAGCTAGTTTCAATTAAACTCTGAAGGAGGCAACAGGATGATTGGCGAAACGTCAGCAACTCCTTTTCATCCCCGTTGACGCGAAATCGGGTGTGATCGGTAACATTAGACATTTTGGTTAGTTTTAGTTGTGAGTAGCAATTTGTATGGAAAAGCAGAATTATCTGTAATTGATTAAATGGGGCAATTTGCATATTGTATATTGTAAATTCTTCTTTCCGGTGTCACATTCTGATCGTTTTTGTAAAATATTTCACTCTGCCTATCTCTAGCAGCTTTCGGAATATTAATTATATTTCATATTTTTCGGCAGAATATCTAAAAAGTTAAACTTATTAGTTATTCAAGTAATAAAAATAAGAAATACAACTACAAATTGTGATCCCATAAAAACCTCAAACTATTTTGGATTCACTTGTTTGGTAAATCTGTCTAGTAATCTAATAATATGGAAAATCTTAAATAAAAAAAAATAAATTCTTAATTGTTATAATGCTGTTTGTTTTCATGAACTTGTAGGTTTAACCACTTTGAGAAACGTAAAGAAAGAGGAAATCACATAAAACTCTAAATAAAACTTCATGAGATACTACACAACGCACACGAAAAAACGGGAAAAAAATTCACGAAACAACTGTAGAACCTCCATTGTTTCATCGCAACTGCCAATTAAAATTTCGCCTATATGAACAATCGCTTGATATGGTTGGAGGGATAAAATAAATAAAAAAGTTAAAGATCCCAGTAACCTGATCATAGAAAACGAATTGTAAAAACTCAAAAAAAAAGTTATGTAACATCTAAACTAAGCAGTCTCTGTGGATTGTTATGTAGGCTCAGAGATCATCTGTCTATGGAAACAATCAGAATCTTCCGGCAAAATAACTGTAGTTTGCAAAGCAGGGAACAAAGAAGAAAATGATAATTACAGATCAATTTGGGTAATAAACATTTTTTCTAAAATTGTCGAAAAACTTATGGGAAAGCACTTCGTACAATATATTACAAACACAGTTCAAGTGGACAAATTCCAGCATGATTTCCTTAAAAAGAGTGGCACTTTAACTGCCACTGTGGATCTCCTCAATCAAACGCAGTAGACGACCAAAAGTGTGTAATGTTCATAAATCTGAGAAAGAGTTTTGATATAGTTAGTGTTGATATTTTATTAAATATATTCAAAAACATACGAATTACTGGAGCTACACTTAATTAAATTAAAACTTTTATTGAAGTTAGAAATCAATTTGTCAAAACTAATAATGTTAAAAGTGATACTAGGTCAAATTACTCAAAAGTGCAGCAGGGTTCTGCCAATCTCAAGCACGCTATTTTACCTTCCTTTATTTTACACTGCTTTAGCCTACACAGGTGCAGACGAAAATTATTTATATGGAGAGGTTAACAGTGACCTAAGAAATTATTTGTGGATTGGCTGTATAGTAATAAAATCTAAATTAATGTAAATAAAACAAAATTTATGATAATCAACTAAAAAAGAAAGTAATACAAAATGTAAAGAAAAATATTAATAATAAACCTTTAAAGCAAGTAAATAATTATAATTTAGAGTTAATTATGCAATTAAATGCAGACATTATTTATCACTGTGCCACACAAAAAAAATATTATATGAGTATGACAGACTAATTAACATAATTAAGCTATAAAAAGAACTAAATACCTGTAAGTTGCTTCTGCATGTAAATTAATATCCAAAGTATTTAATAATGAACAAAAATATAATGTATCAATAATTTTATGTCATCAAGTACACAAATATGTGATGAGAATTATAAAACACAAGAATCAATATAGAGCTGCATAATCCTATTGTTAACTCATCAAGCAGTTTTAATGATTTATCAAGAGGTGTAAAATCTGCAAATAAATTGAGTTTCTTTGTTAAAAACATTAAAAACTATATTCTTAGTAAACAGATAGATTAGTAAAATGTTTATATATTTATACCCACGCTGCAACTTACTAACACTTATGTTAGTTTTGTCGAGGCCAGAACTTTAAGCACTGCTTAGAGATATTTGTTAAAACATCAACATATTTTGTTAAATAAGAGATCTGTTTAAAAAAAAAATTTTGGAATCAAGTTTCCTGTCGTAAAAGTCTACCAAAATCTGCTATTTTCAGTGATAGAATAATACAAACACATAAAACTTACCATATCCCTTATTACTACTAGGTCCATATTGTGAAAGTGTCTTTTTAATCTTGCTAATAATATGGATCCGAAAGCCCCTACCCTCTGATAATCTGATGCATTCTCTCTGAGTTTGGCGAGCCAATTCATATGTTGGGCACAATATTAATGCCCGAAAACCCTTTTTTCTAGGACGTTTTAATTTCTGAATAATGGGAATTAAAAATGCTGCCGTTTTACCTGAACCGGTCGGTGCACATGCTAGAAGTTGCCTTCCCTTAAAAGAATAAACTTAATAAGGAACATTAAAACTAGAAAATATCCTTACCTGCAATAAAATGGGCACAGCTTGCTTTTGAATTGAAGTGGGTTCCTCATATCCACACATCTTTAAATTCTCAATTATATCCTGATCAACAAGAAAATCATTGAATGATCTAGCTGGCGCAGGAAGGTTTTTTCCAACAACACTTATACCATGCATATTCCTATAGCGATTAACCTAGATAATTATGCGATCAATAAACATGAAGAAGGAATATAGTAAGGGCACTAGATACCTCTTCTTTTTCTAAAAGTTTTTTCCTTCTTAAAATCTCATTCTCATCTAACAATTTCCGTTTCTTTCCGCGTTTTTGTTGACTAGTTATTCCATTCAATATTGTAACAGTGGTATTATGGTTGCTTTCTTTAGATTGGTCTCCAGAATCCACTTCCAAAGCTATTTCCTTCTACAATTAAATAGTAACTTGTGAATAAATAAAACTTGCTTTGAAAACTTACTTTAACTATTCTCTTGGGTTGATCCTTAGGAAAATGAAGACCATTTGTGAGTTTTTTAAATATATCGTATGCATCCATTTTTTAAACTTATTATTAACTAAAATTAATTACTTTTTATATATAAAACTTTAAAAACCTGGAAAATGTGCGATTTCGATTTTCAAAATTATTTTTGGTTAGTTAGGTAATTCTTCTTCGCGTTGGCATGAGTGAAGAGCATGTCCACGACCATTGGTCCGCTTGTTGACGACGATTTTCATAAAATCAAAGTTTGTGAACTTTGAGAGTGATTTTTATGGATAATAAGGAAGACACACGACAGATGGGTGTACCTGCGACATTACCGCCACGTATTTCGCGCTTCTACTACTAAGTGCGATTTGGATGGCCATAGAGCAGGACAGTGATTTATTTGGACGAGATTATTCATAAAATCACTCTCCAACTTTACAAAGTTTGATTTATTACTTTATTATTGGATTTCTGAGCAATCTTTATCATCGAGTTCCACATCCAAACTTATTGACAATCTGTCAGCGACCATAAATTCCTCATAGTCATTAGTTAAAAACCAGTTATATCTTGTTGCTTCATAAGTTCCTGTATTATCGGCATACGTAGGACCTTTATATCTCTAGTAGCTATGTGGCTTTTCTACCTGTCTTCAACTGTTTCCTAGATAACTTGATTTTACTGTTACAGGAGTGGGTAGATGTTTTTTTACGCCTTTTTGACTGGCGATAAACGCTGCAGAACTAGAGCAGAAGACTAATACTTTTGAAACTGAGCATTAAATTATCGCATACAGCTTGTCGAAAATTTGATAACGGATAAAATTATTTCCAAAGTAAAAGATGTAACTTTTTCATATATGACACCCTGCATATTTTTAGATAGTAGGATTCAGAATTCATTATCGAAATTTTTATGTAATTTGAACATAAGAACAAAGAAATAACAGTAATGGTGAAGCATTGATTACTGGCATGAGACGTTAGTGTATTCCTACCATAATAAAAATAAATGAACACAATAATTACAAAAAAACTTTGAAAAATACGACATGCTAGTTCTATTCTTATTCTATCTGCGGTGCGTCCCTATCCATTGTGGCCAGGGTGCTGCATTGTGACTTTTCGATCGCTCCCAAATAGCTACTAGACCTATAGAAGCCCTGTCTATGCTCTGATAGTACGGCTACTCATGAAGCAACAATGTAAAAAAATGAGAAGCTCCATTCAAGATGCGCGTGCTCCCCTGTCCTCTGGTAAAAGTACAGTAAAATTTGTTTCTATTAGAAATCGGTATTTGGGTCGCCATCAACTGTGCTATAGAAACCAATGCATGTTCGTATTTTTGTTATGTTTAGGCAAAAGCCGCTAGAGGGTGTCTGTACCAATGACTTGTGTCAATGTATTCCATGAATTGTCGAGGATTTTGGTGTAGACGAGTTAAAATGCCCAAAACGTTCAAATCGTTGTGTTTTATTTTTTCCACATGATCTCTTAACGCTTAGTTTTTATGTTAACTTAGCATCTTCAATATTTTTATGGTTGTACACGCAAATCGTATGTTTTACCTTATTTTCGCATCCACCATTTAAGCTACTCTGTACGCATAATCTATTGATAGTAGCCCTCATCCATCATCCATCTTGGTAACTGAGCAATTGTGTAATTCTTTTACTTTTTTTTTGGATGACGAATATCTAGCTGAGGGTTGGCGAATGTTTGTTAAAGCACAGGGGTGTACATACCTAGGTAGGTTAAATAATAAATCGGTCCATTTGAAGTTATTTATTTAATAATTTAAAAGGGTCACTGATTATACAAAAGCGTGTTTAAAGAATTTGCTTCAAAATCAATCGATTCGACTGCTCCGGCAATGTTGATTTGAACTGTTACCGGATTATTTGACCTGAAAAAATATTCATTAAAAGCAAAAACGTCTGTCAGGAAAGAAGGAAAGCTTTCTATTTTTCAATGGAAGTTAAGTAGAGAATTCTTGAATATTTTTTATCGCAATATAAGGTCGAATTGTATTCAAACTTCAATTTAGAAATCAATACTGCTTTTACAGCTTGTGCGAAGTTTTTATATTTTTAAGCGATGGAAAATTTTTGTTCTAAGATTATTATTCTTTACAATTTTCAATATTTCTTTTGTATTGTGTAAAAGAAACCGATGTATCTTATTTTGGTACGATCTTGTTCTAAAAATTTTCAAGGTTACTTCAAAAACTGTACGCGTTTCAGTAAAACTATTTGTCAAACTATAAATATTTTAACAATATATATCAATTTAAAAAATGGCAATATTTCCAATTTCAAATAAGGACCCTATCAACAGCAAAATTTTATATTTATGTGTTACCAATGTATGCCAACTGGTGGCAGCACATCTTAAGTGGGATATTTTAATCTCTGAGTTTCTGTGTTCTGTATTTTTCGTACACAGGAATATAGTTGTCCAAGTCATGGCTTGGTTGGCGATGTTTTATAAATTACCACAGAAATAATGAAAATTGACTTTGTATTTAAAAGGACAATGTTTTAGGTAAAGATATTAGGGCTACTTTGAATGTAAAATATATAAAGCAGGAAGTAACACTTTTGAAATCCGTCATTGTCGCATACAGAGCGTCCAAAATTTGATAACTGACAAGATTATTTTCAAAGAAAGTTCATTTTTTTCAAATAAGACATCCTCTATATTTTTGGATAGCAGTATGCAGAACTGTTTGTTAATTTAAATCTGATTAGGGATTATAGAACCTCTTTGCTGTGTGGGATTAAAGACAAAGTCTAAAAAATACATATTGAGGTAAACAACATTTTACGAACATATTTATCGACTTCTATTGCTTTTTGTTTATTTTTAACATATTCTTTAGACTGTTTGGTTGGAGTTTTAACAAAGGTGACTAAAGAATTAGGACTAAAGAATGGAAAGTCATATCCAAGGTGTCAGAAAAGATTTTGCTTATAATAAAATCTTAATTCTTTGGGTAGGTAGAGCTTCCACACACAACGGAATTAACCTGTACGTTTTTGTACAATTTAAGTAATTCATGAACTAAGGAAATTGTGCCAGAGAGAATTGGATTGAACTATGCTTTTTTTCATGAAATTGTTTTTAACTTTATAGATATCAATGCCCATGAAATTCTTTTGGATTCTTATTTTCAAATTTGTTAAAGACAGATAAACAACACAATTCAGCCTTGGGCATTATATTCTTTTTGTTTTATTTTTCTGCATATTTACTTCGTTTCTATAGAAAGAATATTTATCTGTTTATTTTTTTCTGTGAATGTAACTAATATTTATTACTATGATGAAGGTTTGTGCCTTACATGATTTAGTTTACTGTGCCCTATTTCTTTTTTTTTATACTTCTGGAAATGTTACTATTTTCCTTTCAGTTATATTTTTTTGCAAATTTAGGTTGTATAGAATTAATATTTTCTCTTCTTAGTATTGTACTTTGAATATATATATTTTTTCCTGTAACCATTGACATATCTTTCTGGTAGTTATTATTTATTATTGTTGTATTTCTTGCAATATATTTATTGGCTAATAAACGCTAAATGTTGTTGGATAATTAAATCGTTTAAATGTGTTTGTAAATTTATTTACCTTATTTACCAATGTGTAATATTTTTTACTAATTTGGACACTTCAAATAGAAAATATGTTTTAACTCAATTGTACTTAAACTTTAAAGTATAATATATAGATATAAGTATTTAAAAAGAGTCGTGGATATTTAACTTATATTGCAGGATATTTTTTTTATCGATCCACATGGAAATATCTTTCCGGACCATTGGTTTAAGTCTATTACTGCATTACTGCAGTAACAAATTGAAATAATAATTAAGTTTAAGAGTTTCAATTTAAATTTAAACTTACTGGTTGGATATGATTACGGCAACTTTGTCATCGGGTCTCAGAAAAGCTGCAGCCTTAACATTTGCCGCCGATAATGCATCGCTCGTAGTTATGTCAAGTTTCACAGAATCTGGAACTAAAAACTTGGAAAAATGGCCCAAGACATAGAACATGGGCTCCTTGTAGAATTCGTCACGAGCTTCGCTTATTATCACCGGCGCGTCGAGGGAAACGTTCATCCAACTTGGACCACCGACATTGCTCAGTGCGAAATTCCACTCAATCCATCCGTTAAAATGGTGATTCAGATCCTAAAATATTTCGCAACAATTGACATAAGGCATAACGGCGCAATTCAGAAAATTTATATTATTTGAACTAAAAAAGGGGAACTTTGTGTATATTCGGAAAAATTGTAGTTAAACTAACCAAAACTAACCAAAACGTGTAGCTGATCCAATAAACAGGCACAGAGCAAATTGAAATTTTCTGACATATTGGCCTACAGCATATTTTTTTAAATGGAACACCTTGAATATTATATATTTGTTTAATAGATTATCTTATTCCGATTACAATGATGTAACATACTTTATATTTTAGTCCACTCGTTTTTGACAGAGGCAAAAATAGGAAATTTTTATATGATTTCAAATTGAATTGATTGAAAAACTTGGCTGCTAACCCTACATTTTGTTTTATTGTTTACCTTGATATCTCTAAAAACAAAAAAGTGTCAGCCAATTAAAATATTTTTAGGATAAACTGAACGCACGGTACAAGCATTCTCATTACTTGGGCGCCATTGGCAATGAACAGAAGGGAGATAAAAATGGACCTGTTTCCCTCTTTCATTCTTCTTAAACTAATTTTTCAAGAATTTCAATGTATAGTCTGTTAAATGAGCAGATTACCGATATACAGCAACAATTTTAACACATTCACTTCCTTTCTTTTTTGTGGACGAGTGTAATCCATTCCACTTTCCAAGATTTGGGGATTGGATCGCCACTGATATATCTGTCACACGAATTGACAGCACAGTTTGAAAATTGAAAAATGCGACTTGAAGAAGGATATTGACTAAGTTATACATACGTATAATATGTCGTTAACGTAATCGACGCCTCTGCTCCAATCTCCAAGCCTAACCATCATGTTCGAAAGGTAACCGTTCACGTTTTGACACGCTTCGGTTCCAAGAACGAACAGGTTTTCGGGAAAGTTGAACCAACTTTCTTGGTTTTTATCATTCTGGTACCAATGGATCGCAATGCCATCGGCGTAGTCGTAGATCTCTTTTCTGGATAAAGTGGTCTAAAATATGGAAAACGAAAAATTATATATACTGCAAGGGCACCCCGCTGCTTACGTTCTGGAAACTGGTGAGATGAATTGTGGTATCGTCAAGTAACATAATTTTCAAATCCTTAAAACTTGAGTTCCTTATTGCTGGGCCGAAATGTTCCAATATCCAATCCCTCTACAAAATAACAAATAGTAAATAATACCGAAAGAATTCTGTCAGGGTCTACGGATCTACTTTTTAAGAATTTCTTTTGTTATTTTTTCTTTTTTTGTATTATGTTTTGGTTGCTGTAAGATCTTGCCTTGATATCAATTATTTTTATTTATTTTTTATTTTTTCAAATTTTAATTATTTCAATTCAATTAAAAGATCCCAAAGATGAAAAGAAAAACACGAAAATGTTGGGCTATGGACCTGGAATTGGCTGCTTAAATACAAAAGCTATTTGTTTGAATATGCTGCATTCGAAGAAAACAGTTGCTATTATACCGGTGTCGCAAGGGCAACGAGGTACGTTATTAGGTAAACGGACGGTCATAAATGTATTTTTTTTTCATGCACAGTTTTCTGCACAATCTTAAAGCTGATTCCCAGTGCGTTCACTCCTATTTCTTAAATAGTCATTGGCGAGTTTCCACTTTGTCCTTCATTTTAAAAATAGTTTATCAAATTTAAAACCATTGTATTTGCTTGGGGATGCAAAAAAATTTATCTTACTAATTTTATTTGGAGGGTACAATTAAACAAGATAAAAGAAAAATCACCGTAAAAGTTTGTCGTTTGTTTTAATTATAACTCTCTTCATACATTGCAATGGTTTTTTCGATTATGTTCATAGATATAAGAAAGTGACTAACTGATACGAATTAAGGGAAGACCCGGGCAAGCTGTAAGAATGAAATATAGCCGAGCAGGTCCGTACTTTGCTTAGAATTTAATTATTTGGGGTTTTGTTAGGAAAGATACTAAACAATATTTATTTATTTACGTATGTATTTATGTTTAAATCTAAAATAAAATTACAAATTATTTTTATTACCTACTTAAATTACTTAAAATTGTTCACATAATATATCAGTATCACTATCGCTATCATCGCCTGTTCTAATTATTATTTGTTCTATATTATTTGCAATATGGATACGATTGTTCTGCTTTTGTCAATTTTTTTAAATCTAAAACCCATGTGTTGAATACACTTCCATAAGGTAGTTCTGCCACATTTAACACCGGTTTCATCTTTTTCAAGGCTCCTAATTAAGATATTTAATGTAGGCATGCTTTGTTCCTCGTATAACTGGTAAATTTTACGCCGTATTATATCTTGATCACTTTCATCTATACACGAGAAAATGTCAGAATCGCTTCTTTTTTTTCCTCGCTGAAATGGGATTATTCCATACATTTGATGTTGGAATTTTCGTCAATGTGGCCGTTTCTTCTTAAGATGCTTGCTTGCTGGCACCACGTTCAATGAGAGTCAAATAAACATTGTTTATAACTTCCTTAGTCTCAATAGAATAGTGTTTTCTACATTTGGGCGGGAGCATCTCCTGAGATACACTAGACTCGCACATATTTTGCATAATTCGCACACGATTCAACACACGCTGCATTACACACGAAATAAGAATGATTATTAATAAACTTAAACTAAGTAGTATACCAAACCAAAGAATATTAAACACAGGTAAATATAAAATTATTTTCTATTTCGGACCACAATTTTACTTGAATTTAAATTCCGAAATTTAAAGTAATAATCTTGTTGCATTGTATTTTAATGATCACCCTTGGATAATCCCATTCAAAAGACATTTTTCGCTTTTTTATATCTATGAACAGACTTTACCTTTTCAATCTCTAATGTTTGGTTAGTTTGTGTTGTTGGTGGTTTGTCATGAAAACTTTCATCTTTATGTTTACACGTTTCATTACATTTCAAGGTACAAGTATGTCAAAACCATACGACTCGCATAGAAAATTCCGATTATTTTAAAATCCTTTGAACGGGAGGCGATAACACCCTTTACATCACAAGACATTAGGCATTAGGCTGCATTCAGCAAATATTTCAGGTTTCTAAATATCCAAAACACGCCAATGTTAAGAATTTAAATTGATGAAAAAAATGGTGATTAATAGAGACCAAGTTGTTCTTATTAAGTAAAAATATTATTTTTCTTTAACTCTCCAAATATACTTACTAATGACTCATAGGTAAACAATAAATTAATATTCCAGTCCGGGCTACTGTACGGTTCATTTTGAGGAGTTATTCCCCAAAACTCAACTCCTTGTTCGCGATAAGCCGTAAGGAATTTTATGTAGTATTCTGCCCACAACGCCTGATATTCGTCTTTTAATACTCCAGTGCCACGAAAACTTTAACAAAGAATAAGAAATAAATTCCAAAACACTTGATGAAAAAGTATTATATACAGGGTGAGTCGAAATGATCTTTGTGTGTGAAAATATTGATAAAATATTTTGTTGGTACCTGGTGTAAACAATCGTCCCGATACGTTGGCACTTTTCATGTTATTTTAATAATAACGGGAAATTTTTTCAACGGACGCGTATGGTGTCAAAACTGTTCATATTTTGGATAACAACTGTAGTTTTTGAGATATACTTGTCATAAAAATGAAATAATAAAAACTAATAAAATGCATATTATTTTTATTAACTTCTTTTTTTTTAATATCAGAAGCCTTTTTATGGGCGGAACTTCGAAATTCGTATTGTGCTAGATATTTTTACTAAAAAGGGAAGGAAAACGTAGATATTTAAAACTGTTTTTGTTCTAGTTTTAAAATTTACTGTCAATTAGTTACTAATAGTAATTTTTAACTTTTAATTTAGTTCTTTATGTATAATACCTCACAAACTACAATTGTTATAAAAAAAACAGGAGATGAAAAAATATAGCAAAAAATATTTTAAGACCATAAGCATCTATTGACGACACTCATTTTGCTAGCAACCTGTTTTAATTTACAAAATTTACATGAAAAAATGTAATCTAAGCAGAAAAATTATAAAGTTTCAACAAAATATGTGAAAAATTGCCAGCTATTTGTAAATAAAAATTTTATTTTTTAAATAAATAATAAAAAATTTTTCGCCCAAAGATTGTGTTATTACCGCTCGACCTACTTTTTCGACTCACTCCGTGTTATAATATACAAAATGCTGTTCTCCAAAGTCCGTTTACTTACTCTTCAACGGTTTTCATCCAGACAGGGGACGACCATGAAGACAGAAACAACTTGAATTCTTCACCCCGTATTGCTTGAGCTTTCTTGATTAATGGAATCTAAAAACAAATATAAGCTATTAATCGTAACAAATTCAGTGAGTACCAAAACTTTTGTTTTCAAACTTATTCTTGATCGCGATAGAGTAGAATCTCTCCCTAAGAACGCTCTCTTGGTTCTTTCTATTTCTTAAACAAAAACAAACACACGAAAAAATGGTAAGAAATTGGCAAGAAATGCAATCAAAGTCTAGATAACAGAGGAAACTCAAGCATACTGAAGGCGATTACCAAGATTGATCCATTCGAGTCTTCAAGAACAAGAAACGAAGAAACGTACAGCCGATATCCTATCAGCATTGAGCAGATCAAATTTGACAATTCTCTTAGGGATGTACACCGGACACTACAGCCACATACACAAGATTGGCCTCACAATGATGACGAGTATATCAAACTTTTTACGAGGGCCGAATCTGATCTAATCATTTAATTTTATTATGCGCCTAAGAGAATAAGTGGGTAGTTTTCTTAAGTTTGTTGTCACCGTGTGTTCGTCATTAAATAGTCGAGAACTTAGGTAAGTTTTTAGGATGACGGAAAGATGAAGAAAGTCTTACCAATACGGCCGCACAAATAGAAGTTATGACTGATTTACCCAGCAGCCAAGGACAGCCAGTTGGGTAGAGTTGACCAATATTTCACTATTTCAAAACGCCCGAATAAAGAATGCGAAGTTTATTCCTCTTTCCGAGTACGATAGGTAGATTTTCTTTTTTAGACGTTACACACAGATTTTTCATTTTTAGATAGATGAGTCTGCAATTTCTCCAAAGCGGGTGCTTTTAGCTTTTTCATTACTTTTTTTTGCATTTTCAAGCATAAGTATAACAAACCTGCTTCAAAGCACTACAGATTATAGGGGATTCCAATATCACAATAATCACAAAGGTTTCCTCGTAATGATTTATAAAATGGGACTTCCCCGGTTTTGGATTTTATAATGTATAAATAGATGGCGCTGTTAATTCAGGGGCGCCAAACACGGGAATCGCTTTAATGTAATTATAAAAATGATAAGAATGGCAACACAGGATATGCTCAGTCTGAAAGACAAAAAGACAAAACTCCGGAAAATCTACAAGTGACAGTGGTATCCTTTATTACTCACGTAATGATGGAAAAAACAATAGTTTACTGTCGGACAGGAAAATCGATAAGGATAGAATCGTATCACATAGAATCGATAGTTTCGCCTTCGTGAGAGAAATGAGCACGGAGAGCGATTACTTCTATTCTGTTGAGGAAGATTTCGTCATTAGCAATATCATAGTTAAGTGAGGTGGAGAAATGAACAACAAAGGTAATGGAAAGATGCTAGATGAAGCAAGTTCAAAAGTATTTTTCAGAAGCAGCAAGCATTCAAAAAGGTGTCAGACAAGTGTACATAATCTCTCTTGTGTTATTTAACATCTATTCAGCATATATACAGAGGTCAGCTTTGGCATAAGAATCAACGAAAATATCAATCACAAATTATTAACAGCTAAAGATTTATCATGCGCCCTGAGAATTGGAATCACCCCTTGGTATATGTTTCCAGTGTTGCTCTACGGTCTAGACGGGTGGATGTTAAATAAGGAAACATCCTGGAGATTGGAAGCTTTCGAGATGTGCATATACAGAAGTTTGTTGAAAATTCTCTGGGCAAACCCACTGACAAATCAAACCGTATTGAAGAGAATGAACAAAGATCTGGAATTTTTGTATACACTAAAAAAAAAACTCGAACTGCATTCACCACCTGCATATCTACTGAAATTTTATTAGTAAACATCTTTCTAAACTTTACTGTCTTTAATAGGGAAATAGCTTTAAAACATTGGTAGGTCGAGTTAACCCCGATCATACAACTCTTGTGATACTTGCCTTGTATTTGAGGTCCTCATCTTGCAAAGCGAATTTTCCTAAGGTTTCGTCTTTGGTATCACAGTGACTGTAGGCTCTCAAGGAGAAGTCCGAAGCACCCATCGTTACCCTGTTAATGGTATACTCGATGCCGTCTTTTCCGAAAAAACTCTGCAGCAGAAATTCCTGGAGGTCGGCCGATAACGACAGTATATCGTAACTGGTCGTGTCTGTGAACGCTCCACCGAATCCCATGATAACTTCTCCGTTTTTGTTTATCTCCGGTACAGTTACACTGAGCGAAGTGGAGCGAGCGTTCCCTGAAAATTTCCCCGTACTGGCGTGAAACCCGATGTTTTCCGCGCTGGTCGAATAAAGCTGGTATTCCGTAGATGCCAGATTTAGCACCTGCGGAACCGTATCACAGTAGGTGGAGTTACAGACGCACACCCTTCCGTACTCCACATCTCTGGATACGCACGGACTGTCCCCGCTTATAGTTTTTACACAAACTACGAAAATAAAGGCACTAACTAGGTTCTTCATGTTGCAAGGCACTGGGTTAACTGTGAATAACACGATCGGTCTTTTATATAGACCTCTGAAGTGGATATTACATTTGAAAAACTGTTATCGCTACTTCAACCTTTGATTGATTGTTGTTTGAAAAATATTTATCGTCCGTTTGAGTGTATTTTGAAAAATATTCCACTTCTAGTTTTCGTATCGGGCACACAATAAAAAATATCCAAACAAATATCATCGAAAATTGGCAATGTGTTTCCTCTACTACCATTTCTACACTCATTTTCGATTATTGCATTTAATTATCGTAGCTGCTAATCTTGCTCTTTCAATTTGCGAGTGACGCAAATTGAATGGGTCTTTCGAGGAGAAAAACATTAAAATTTAGCAACTGTTACATAAATTTTCAAATAAATTGGCAATATTTTTATTATATTTATACAGGGTGTTAGTGTGTTAGTTATATAAACATTAAATCAAAGGTCAACCATTGGGGGGCGGGGGGATATCGTGCTACAAATATGATGGAAAAATAATGATAGGTTTATTATAAACTTTTTTGTTTCCTGCAATTTTTTCATTAAACCTACAGTTTCCAAATAAAAAAGAAGATGCGTGACTAAATACACTATTAAAATTAATTTTACTTAAAAAATGTAACTCGAATAAAATCACTACAAATAAGGCCATCGAAGGCAAAACAAAAGCACTATTTTTATAAGATACGAGTATAATACATGCATTTATTCTAGGCATCATTGAGTCCCTAATACGTTGAAATATTTCTTATATTACAAGACGCAATTATTTGATTTCTTAAGTCTTTGATATCCTGTAGTGTATTCAGATACAATAATCCAAAGGATTTAAATCCCGCCTCTTCCTATGCAGCATATGATTTAACTTAGCGCATTTAAGCTGAGTGATGCTAGGGCACCATCATGCATGTATCTTCTAGTTAACAGGGATACATATTCTAGGGTTTAATTGTTCAAAGGGCTCATGTACTTTTTACATCTGATTGAAGAGAAGCTAAATGCGAGATTGAAAGTTGATAGTCAGAGCGCACTGAAGATGATGGTTGATGATTTATTTACTAAACCTCTTGATATCATCAAACCTAATAAGTTACGAGCTGATTAATTTAATTAAAGATAAGATACAGGGTGAGTCAACGATAGAGTAAAGTTCAATATATCATTATATATCAAAATTATTTTAAAGTATACAGCGCGACGAATAAAACAGACATACATTTTGTTTTGAATTCCATTTAAAATTCTGTCGAACCTTTTTATTAATAATGATATGTGCCTAAACCTAATAGCTTTTACAATATTTTAATTTTTCTAACAATATATTAGTTTTCACACTCGCAAAAAAATTAGTTTAGTTTTAAAGGTCGTTCACAATATTTGATATTAGCGTTATTCAAAGACGAGGTAAGAGATAGATAAGACTTACACTGAAACAAGGGTAAATACTGGAAAATTAAAAATAAATCCCAAAGTATTAAAAATAGGTTTATGACATACCTAATAAAAGTTGTAGGTTTTTGTAAGATGTTTGAGGAAGAATAATAATTTAATATAATCCAAATATATTCGAAGGGATACCCTGTAACATCTAATCCAAGTTCTGTTGCATATATCTTTTACGTCCTCTTTGAATAATGCTAATATTAAATCTAAGTGATTTCCCTTCAAAAATAATGGGGCTATTATAATTTTTTTGCAAGGGTGAGAACTAGTCTTTATTTAGAAAAGTTAAAATACTGGAATAACCATTAGGTTTAGGTATGCACAATTAATAACAAAAAAGTTAAAGAATTTTAAAAGGAATTCAAAACAAAAATTTAAAAATAGCGGGTTCTATTTTTATAAATGCATATTTTATTCGTCGCGCTTTTTTGAGCCACCCTATATTATTATTATTATTATTATTACAAAGAATAAAGTGCAGAGGAGAACCTATTATGCACAATACATATTTAGGTATTGCTGTGAAACAATACACTGTCCAAGCGACGTTTAAATACAGACAAGTTCGGCGCTCACACAACATCTGGGGGTCAACTGTTCCAATAATCGAAAGTCCTGTTACTTATAAAATGCAACCGATGTGAAGTCTCGAATTGTTCCTTTCTTATTTTAAATGGATGACCACGTAGGAGTTCATCATTGCTTAAGACCACAAAGGACATGTGAGATGGAAATTGGTCATGACCAAACCTATACATTTGAATGAGATCCCTTCGCAGCTGACGATGACTTAATGTTGGCAGACTAAGTATTTTGAGGCGGTCATCGTAAGGTGTATGTCTAAGTTGAAGTGGCCAGCGCGTAGCGGCTCGTTGCAGTCTTTCCAAAACATCATAATTCCAGAGTGGAGAAACAAATTCCAGGATGGGGCGAATGTAAGTGGTAAAAAATCTGCAAGCGATGCGAAGACTAGGATTTTTAAGTTTAAAAAAAAATTACGCGCAGTTTGCTTTCTTTGTAATATTTGATACATGTACAGACCACGCAAGATCATTAGTTACCGTCACACCTAGGTCCATCTGAGAATCGACACTTGACACAAAGTTTCAAACCGGGATTGTTCTTGCCAACATGCAGCACAGAGCACTTTTGGGCATTCTTGGAAACAGTATTCAAATCTCTTTGCAATACGTCCGCATGTGTTGAAGGATTTTCAAATAACTTAGTGTCATCAGCATAAGCGCTCACATGAGAATCAATAGTGGAGAACAAATCCACAGCATGCACTAAGAATAGCGCTGGTCCCAGCACCGATCCCTGGGGAACACTAGGCACGTTTTGTGGCAGTGAAAAGGCGTTACCAATTCGAACTCTGAACGACCGGTGGCTTAAAAACGCCGCTATAAACTCAAGCAGTTTACCCCCCACTCTGACCTTTTCAAGTTTGAGTAACAAGCGTCGATGTGGCACTTTCTCGAAAGCTTTGCTGAAGTCGACGTAAATAATATCCACCGGATCACCTGAGTAAAGAGATAATGTCCAGTGATTCAAGCATGTCAATATATTTGATGACTGATCTGCCGGGAGCAAAGCCAGGCTGCGATGTAGGTATAATATGACAGTCGATCAAATACGGTAACAAATGATTTACTATAAAGCGTTCAAGAACTTTACATATAATACACACTAGGCTGATAGGGCGGTAATTTGAAACATCGAGTTTATGACCCTTTTTATGAATCGGTGTTACATTTGCGGATAAAAAATGGGTCGGGAGTGTGGCACAGTCCAAAGATTTTCTCAAAATAATATAAATAGGCTCTGCAAGCACAGCGGCAAATGCTTTCAATATTTTACTGGAAATTCCATCAGTTCCGGGAGCAGAATATTCTTTTAACTCAGAAAGTGTTTTTTTTACGTCCTCTTGGTCAAAGTGAATGTCTTCTAATAAATCTCGATTTATAGGACCTTCATAGTGAGACGGTAGGTTAGCCGGTTCATCAGCAAAGACACCACCAAAATATGAAGCAAATTCATTTGAAATGAAGTCCTGGTTATAGGAGACTTTTCACGAGGTATCTCTAATGACAGGACGGGATACCTTAGACGATACGTGTTGGATGAACTATTAGAAACTCTTCTGTGCAAAGCATAGTCAAAAGCAAAGTCAGAGGCCTTAAATCTACGCCACAAAGCTCTCTTATGTTAATCTTAAAAAAATTGACCTGCATAACATTTTGTGATTATTGCCCTGCTTCAATTTGACAATTGGGATCCGGGGTAATTAAAAGATCAAGAGGTGACTGAGCGTCGTTCTCTCGGAGGCACGTGTGTTTGTCAACAAGCTGAGTAAGATTACAATCTAACAAAAATCTAAGAACACGTATTCCATGGAAGTGGAGACAAAATCGTTTGAAGTAACAGGCCAGGATATTCTTGGGAAGTTAAAGTAGCCAGCAATAACAAGGTTGACGGAATTTGTGACAAAATTGTTCCTGGATTATAAGAGCTGAAGATTAGAATCATTATCAGTATCGCTCGGATTGTATACACAGGCGACTCAGAACTGGTAAATGACAGACAAACAGCGTCTACCATCTAACCCATCATTAAATATAAGAATTTGATCCCGTCCCCGCCTGCTACGTCGATCGGAACGATAAATGTATATCCTGGAATAGATATGGTGCAATCGGGAATGGAAGGTTTTAACCAGGTTTCGGTTATTAGAATACAGGCAGGTTTAACAGAACTCACATAAGCAACAAGAAGATCTAATTTGGCTGGCAATGAGCAAAGATTGGTTTAAACTATAGGCAAAGAAACAACGCTTTCTTTTTTGGAGCCGAGATGTTGACGAATGAAGGTAGACCTTTAATATATTTGATTGTTAACTGCTTTTCACCTCTCTCGTGTCTGTCCTTCGGTTCATTCCATTTCTGCTCCAAAAAGTCGCGCTGAGAAGGCGTTTGGTCGTCAAATATCCTAACATTCCTAAACGGTCCAGTAAGAAACTTGTTTTTTTGTATTGGGATTTTTTTAACCACTTCAGGATTTCCAACTACGACCTTTAGCGGTCGAACTCTAGAGCTTTCCCCATCAGCACGAAGGGCTCCCAACCAAAACACTGAGACATTTAGAACTTCATTCGTTATCTGATGTATAACCTCCGTTGCCGATTGCTTATCTCTATCTGCATCAGACTCGGGAAGTTTCGAGATGATAATATTGCCAGAGCGTGTAAGGCGCTCATATGCTTCAGATAAGATCCCCTCCCGTATGTCAGGAGTGGGAGGAGAACTAGTTGAACTAGCGATCGCAGTCTCTAGAGCCGCTGTGCGACTGTTGAAGGTTGTTTCCATTCTCTCCAACCTCCTATTCAGCTCATCCAACTGTCAATCTCTTGAATCAAGTTTTTTAACTAGTTGATCAAGCTTGTCCTCCTGCTTGCTGCATCTATCGCAGAATATTCTAAAATTTTTTAGTTTGTTGCGCGTGGTACAAGAATCTCCTTTGACACCCCCACACAGTCAGCATGCAAGTCCCAGTCATAACCACTGCAGTTAACACCGGGCCTTTGAAAAGACAGCGATGTATTGCGCTCTTTACAGGACATCGTGTTTTATATTGATCAGTCCTGGTAGCGGCCAAAGTGAACGGGAGCCAGAAAAAGTTATACCTTTTTTGAACGCCACAAAAGGTCGAACCAGGCTGGCGGTAATCAAATGTGTTTAGTCTAAACTGCTAACTAAGAGTATTTTCACGCAATACACTACAGAGAGTGTGCAGCCGCCGACGTAGATATATAAGGAGTACAAAACAGAACACTTAACGAAGTTTCAGCAATAAGAATCAACCCAAGATTTAGTCACACGCAAAAACTAATCAAAGCAACAGCGACATCCGCGCGCACAACTTTTGTATTTTCTCATAACTTTTCAAAACAATCAGATAATAAAGTTTAGTGCACCATTGACTCACCCTGTACATTAAAATTAAGATTTCGTGCTATATTTCTTTCAGCTGGTACCTTAAAAATTATATCCAACAAAAGATCTGAGTGCACCACTGGATTCCAGGTAAAAAGATCTATAAGATTGGATTTGCATCATTTCGTTCCGATACAGTGTGTTTAAATTACAAAGGGAAACTAGAATGGCAAGGTATTTTTTTTTTCGCCGCAGTTGGCATAGCAAGAAATCGCGAAACTGAAAGGATCAAATTACTCGATTTCTTTTACGAAACTTAACTGACGTGATGTGCCGCGCTTGGTGAAGAAATTTTACAGCTGGCCAGTTAAGCTTAATAATTATAACGCGAAGAAAAAGTAAAAGAATCACTTCTTGATGCTGTACTCTCTGTCAATAATAAAATTATAGAATGAGTTTAGAAAATTTAAAAAACCCAAAGAATAAAATGAAAACTAATCAAACAGCATCTTTTGTTTCATGAAAATCGAGTCAAAATGGCATAGCTATACGCCTAATAATAACTGTAATACCCAATAATAACTACGAAAAATGGCCACAATGTACAACAATTTTCATAAAATTTCTCCAAATTAGCATGAAATAAAAACAAGGAAGAAATATACACTAGGGAGGGTGTGCGCCTACAAAATTCGAAAATTATCTGGACTTTCAGCCCCATTGAAGGTGGATAAAAAATTCGTACAGGACCTTTTTGAATTATAAGTCATTTAATATCTGATACGCGCTTACACCTACATTAAATGAGACATGACAAAATATGGCTTAGCACAAATCCTATTTACAAGCGACGCTATTTCACTAAACCAAGTTTTTTCGCTTCCACTTCGTATATCAACAATCTCCACATCTTCACCACAAACACTTCGGCCTCCTCGTCTAAGACCTGAAATCAAACCGTGATATTTATTTGAAAGATTTTAACACCACTGAGAAAACTAAAAACAGAAAGTGACGAATTAAACGGGAATGATATATATATGTCATGACTTATGTATGCATTTCCTTCTTGATCTATGCTGGTTGGGATACTAGAAAGCAGACAGAGAGAGATGGATATTAATGAATCTTTAATTGACGTAGAATAACTTAAATTTCACTAATTTCCTTATTTATATTTTATTTTTGATTCTCAAAACAATTTTTTTATATTTTATTGTACCTGTTTAGTTTGGGTCATATTTTGGAAACATGATAAATTGAAAATAATATTATTAATAAACTAAAAAAAAAAAATTATTTTTAGAATTTATTTTCCTATTCCTTTCCAATAATTCACTCAGGTTTATTAGCTTTGAGCTTTATTATATGTATGTTGATTACCATATGCCCTTGTAGTAGGTATTTGTTTTGGTTATTTCAATAGTTTGCATTATATAGGAAAGACTGGAAAACTTTGTTATAATAGAGTTATGGTATGCTATGTTCCTATAAGTATGCATCGATGCTAACCAACAAAATAAGTTTAAGTGCTCTGTAATTTATGAAACATATACCTAACTATTTTGTGATAATATTTCGGTGTCTATTGAAATTCTGCTCAGATTATTTGAATTATGTCATATTAGGATTAGGTTATACTTTTTATAAAACTTCTGGATTCCTCCTGCGTCGGTTTTTGTTGGATTGAATTAACTAACGTTTCGCCAATCAACGTGTTGGCTTCTTCAGAGCTTTACTGAAACTGGCTCGCATTTTACTCCGTACCTGCTTTTATATTGTTTGAGAGGAGCGGAGCTAAATGAAGGGCATAAACACCGTCTCAGATGACTGATTTCCATATTGATGACTGGTCGCAGTTAAGATTGTTTGATTGCTTATAGATTTCTATAGACTCTCGGATTTTTCGTTGGTAGAAGAATTGATTACATGCAAGAGTTTTAGTTTTATCAAATAAAATTTTATGACCGGTTTCGTGATTGTGTTCGGCAACTGCTGATGAGTTTGTCTTAGTCTTAGGGCTCTTTCATGTTCTTTGAGCCTAGTTGATATTTTTCGTCCGGTCTCTCCAATGTATTCTTTGCCGCATATGCATGGAATGCTGTAAACTCCTGGCATCTCAAATAGAATTTTAATTTTGTCTTTCACAAATTGAAGATGTTGAGAGATTTTTGGATAAGTGGTAAATCTCGTTTTGACGATATATTTCTTTAGAATTTTTGATATGTGGTCAGTGATGTTTTGAATATAAGGAAGGACAACAGTGGCAAGTATGGGATTGCTTTCTTTTTCATTGCTATTGGAAGGTTGTGGTGAAATATTGTGTGATAGAACGCTTAATAATTAATTAATATAGTGTTTTAATTCTGGGTTCACTTGCCGGGCTGAGATAGTTTTACGGCTCTGTAAACAAGAGAGTTGGTAACCGATGATTTTTTGGGCCCGATGGTGATGTGACAATGCATTAAGGTATCAGTCTGTGTGATTTTCTATTGATAAGAATATCTAGGAATGGGAACTTATGGGAGGGTGTTATTAGTTTCTATTTCAATGGTAAAATGTATGTTAGAGTGTATAGAGTTCAAATGTCTAAGAAAATCTACTAGGGATTCCTGACCATGAGGCCAAATAACAAAAGTATCATCGACGTAGCGTTTCCATAATTTTGGTTTTAGATGGAAGGAGTCACACTTGAGACTGTTGTCGTTCGTTATATTCAAAACATCATTGACCACATATCAAAAATTCTAAAGAAATATAACGTCAAAAGCAAATTTATAATCAGTGCTGTTATATTTACGGGTAAATCTTCTTTATACTGTTCTATTTGGTGCTCTACGAGTTGCAAATAATGATTTCCAGTTAACTTTTGGATAAATAAATATCGGACCCAAAATATGCCTACCTATGGCACCACAGCATACACTAATTGATTGATGCCCCTGGCTTTTTATTTCGTGTATTTGTCTAGAATTATTTAAAAACCCATATCGCGTCTTTCGTCTATTACAAACTTTTCTTTGTAGTGAACTAACTTTTATCAATCATCAGTCATCATGTTTTTCAAAAAATTATTATTCTCATTATGTCTTTAAAAAATCCAAATAAAACTGCATCCTCTTTTGACATTGTTCTGCACTTACTTTTTGAGTTTTACGAAATTTAAATGCATTATATTTATATTCTTTCGAAACTGAGTGGAATGATCCCCGAGAAATACCTGTCTCATCATATACTCTAGTAATAAAAGAAACTTTTTCATAGAATACTAATATGTGTGCCTTATGTTCTTCATTTAAAACATTATAATTCCTGCATACATTTTTAGCATTTAATACGTTACCGTTTTCTGCAAATTTCTTTGGTAGCTTTGAAAATATCTGTTTTTAAGGAGCTTGACGCTCTGAATACTGACAAGCTGCGGTTACACTTTTATTATTCAGAAAGTATACTTGAAGAATGTCACTCCTTTCACAGATGTTAAATTCGCGAAAAACCATCTTAGCAATAATGACTTCGACAATAATTTAACCATCAACGTTGTTTACTAATATGTCAAACATACACTCATCTTTATTTGTTGGTCAGGGCACTTTTTGAAATTATATAAAAATTTCCTATTTTTGCCGATTTCTCAAAAACGAGTTGACTAAAATATAATTATATCATTGTAATAGGAATAAGATATTCCATTAAACACATGTATAATATAGCAAATGTTTGCCAAAACAATCTGTGATACTGTTTAAAAGAAATACATAATAATACATGTCACCAAAATATGTAGAAAAAACTGTATAGAAAAATATGTTTATACCTCTACAGTTTTATTTCTCGTAGTAATGACATAAATCGTGTTGTGTATTATATTTTTTACTTAGTTCGAAATAAAACGGATTAATTAGGAAGCACTGCACACTAATTCAAATTTCCCGCCGCCGCTATCGAATATGGTTCCGATTGTTACCATGAAATCTGCAACTCTCTTCTTTTTGTTATTAATTTTCTCTATGTTTAACATGTCGCCACCTCCCCCCACCCCCTTACCATTTGAACGTCCTCTAGTATTGTCTGCGGTTCCGAGCCGGCCAGCACTTTATTGCAAATAAAATCCACCAGGGTAGGCTCCGGCTCGCCAATGTACTCGATAATTTTCTTGTTGATCCAGGGACGGATCTTCTTCTCCATGAGGCCGTTATCGATGGAACCCCAGTCCAACTGGTACGCGAAAAGCGCGTCCTTCTCGGTCGGTATCTTCTCGATGAGGTTCTTGATCGTTTTCCTTTTCTCCTCTTGACTCTTGCCGCCGTCGTCCTTCTTTTCGCCGTTCTTCGATTTCTTGTCTTCGTTGTAATCCAAAGGTACCAGTTTTCTTTTCTTGACTTGCGTCGCGGTGTCGTCTTCGTCCGGATTGAACACGTCGCGCAGATCGATTTTCCTCCGTTTCGGATCGTACAGCTTGTGCTGCTGCGTCGGTGAGTGCGCGTTATTGAATGCTATCGGCTTCGATAAGGTTATTTTCATTCCCGTGCCTTGCAGGTGCGTTTGTCCCGAAGTCTCGTCGTGTTGCGAAGTGAACGACTGCCGCGATTCTTCGTCCGGCGCTTGAACTTGCGTCCACTGAGAAAGAAAACAATAATCGAAAACCATAAGAGGTACGAAGATGGTTAAATTGAAAAAAAATAAACGTTGAAAACGTGCTGTTGAGAAAACTAAAAAATTGCCATCACTTCCCAAGATACGCCAAAGAAACTAATTTTACCAATTTCGTTTTTTTTTCAAAAAAAAAATTTCGTTGTTTTTTCTGGTGTCATTTAACTTTATACTTAAAATCTCTCAATGTGATCTTGTAGAGCTAAGAAAGAGATCTTTATTTATTATATATCTTTAAATAACGCCAGAAAAAAATAAAAACGAAATCGGCAACTTTCGTTTTTTCACAGTGATAACAATATACACATACCATAATTTAGGTAACTGTAGAGTTAAGAAAATATATTGTTAGACACAATAGTGTATTATGCAACAAGTTTGATAAATGTCATTTTAGTCATGAGTAACTGGAAAAGTTTTTGGGTACACTTTTGCAAAACAGTACCAACACATTTAAGTGACATAACTAATATAGTATGTAGAGGTAGGTAGAGTAGATAGAGTGGGAAAAATACATTTTAGTATTAGTGTTGCGCGTATGCAGGACATTCAAAAAAGTTAATGCAAAAATTGCTTTCTAATATTGGTATATTATTTATTTTGCAATTCTGGAAACCAATTTAAAAAAATGCTAAACATACCTACATCACGAAAGACGAACACCAAGGTTGCTGAAACGCGCATTGTTTTCAACAATTGAATTAAACTTAACAGCTCGCAAAAAAAATGAAATACAAAAAATACACCATCCATAAGTTAATATCAACAGTAATATTTCACAAACATACAATAAAGATTTTGACTGAAAACTCAAATCGCCGCATAATTTTAAAATTACAATATTCTGTCAAAATAATTATTTTAGGTAATAAAATAGATTTTTGACACATGAGTGCTTTTTCTCAATATAATATTTTTATAAATGACAAAAATTCTTTTGTTTTCTTATTTTTATTATTTTATAAATTTCTATTATTATACTTAACAGTATAAAATCTTCTAAGCTTTAATAAATAATTCTAAAATATATTTTTTAAATTCTGGACAAGGGTTTTCACAGTAAGGGTTCCCATATGAACTTTCTATGTACAATAACACTTTTTTATTGGATTTTCGGCAAGACCAAATTAACTCCTAGAATTAATTTCTGGTGGTTTGAAATTAATTACCCAAAAACAATTGATTTTTTAAAAATTGTATTATAACTATTCTGTTCAGTTTCATTAACATTGGGATTAAATTTTAGACTTTAGACCTTTTCTGAAAACCATACCATTAAAATTTTTAACTAAATGAATCTAAACCATAAGTATTTCTATTCGTCATCCTACAGAAGAAAACCAGCACATCATAACGCGAAATTGCTTAACTCATGTAATTGTTAAAAACCACATTGTCAGCACAGTAAGAGCAATTTCTTGTTGTTGCAGTAAACTCTCTATTTACATCTTTTATCTATGCTTGAACCTACAAAAATGACTTAATATTTGTTTTATTCATATAGCTGCTAAACACACAAGTTCATTCACGCAACGCCTCAAGGAATATTGTGGCCAAACATTTATATGTAAAGTCCTATTGCGGTAAGTTATTAAAATTACTTTCATACTACACACTTTCTCCCAAAAGTGTTAAAAGTATTAAAAGTTAAAGTTGTTATTTTTTACGGGTACAATCTTTATATTATAGCATTTTTGGATCCTACGATCCGTAAATAAGTTGAAATGTATTTATTAAGCAACATTTACAGTAGTCTAATATCCCAATTATAAAAAAATGTCCAAATTATACAGGGCGGCCAAACAAATTATTTATACAACATATATTTTTAAATGTTAACAATTCAGTAAGGGCATTAAATGATATGGTTAACCTAAAATTAATCTGGAGAGTGTTATTATTGTTGGTACAGTTACCCGACAATGATGAGACTACTAGATGTATCGGTTAACTTTAAAAATCATATGAGACAAACTAAAAACCTTTGATAAGATGGTTTACCAGTAATACTACTCTGCTTGAAAGGGTTAGATAACATGCCATATGTCAATTAACTATTGTATGATTTATTGCATCTAGTTGGCATTTAAAAATGGCACATAATTTATTAGGTAAGTCAATTTGTCCTTTTGACAACAATCTTCTAACAAATAGGCGCAATTTCGATTAGTACTCTAATTCAAATCTAACAATTTGAAATCTAGAGTGTATCCTTGTTTCAGTTTAAAAGGCAAATTTGTTTGCGTGTTTTTTTTATGGTCGCTTTTAGATCCTTGTCTGATACTTATTGGTAAATAGTAATTTATCTTAGAGATTTGGTTAAGTTTAAATGTTCTATTTTGGTTTTGTAATGATGTTGATCTCGTTTATAAGTAAATAAATAAATATTTTACCGTGGCCGAATTAGAATTGTCATTGGAAAGATTATCATCTGGTTCAGGAGGCGGGGGCGGACTGTAATGGCTATTGTCCATATCGCTATCACTGTCTATCGGCTCCGCCTCAACGGCGGCCAGTTCCTGTGCCGCCTGCGCCTTGATATATTTCTCCCTCTCCTCTTTGTGGCGTTTCTCCCGTTCGAGTACCCTCTGCTTTTCCCGCTCCCTCGCTCTTTGTCTTTCCAGTTCTCTCTCTTTTTCTTTTTCTTTCTGTTTCCAATGTTCTAGGTTGACATCGATTAGCAGCTTCGGTTTGTATTGTTCTTCTCTTTCTCTTCTAGCCTAAACGTGAAAAATTGAAACAATGAAACAAATGGGACTGATACCAGTTCTTGAGAACAAGAAATTATAAATGGACCAAATATAATATTAACCGAGTAAAATTATTGTTATCACCAAAGAAAAACTGACCTTTTCAAACTCAGCATTTGGATCCTCGTGCGCTTCCGCGAATATCCTTTTCTTTAACTCGTCCATCTCTTCCTTCTCCTTTAACCGATCCTTGGTGTCGGATTCGGCCTCTTTTAGCCTATCCGCGATGCGTTTTTGCAGCTCTCGGCCCCTTTAAAAATTTATTAGAAAATCACGTTTAACCACATTCACATACTAATCGTAAATTAACTTTACTTGTAATATTTAATGTCGTCTCGCTCGTCGTCATAATCTTCGAGGAACTCTTTCAATCGCTTCGCGTCCCGTTCACGTTCCTCTTCTTTTAACCGCTCCCGTTCCCTCTCTTTTTCGTATTCTTTCGCTTTCCTTCTTTCGCGCGTTTCCCACGCGCGCAATCTCTCCTGATAAGCGGCCTCTTTCTCCCTTGCCCTCCTCTCCGCTTTCTTCTTCTCTTTGGCCTCCTCTTCCATTTCCCTCTCCTTAAGGAGCTCCTTGGTGCTTCGCTTATCGTCCTTGTCCCGGTCCCGTTCCCGCTCCCTATCCCGCTCTCGTTCCCTTTCCCGTTCTCGCTCCCTTTCCCTTTCCCGCTCGCGCTCCCTTTCGCGTTCCCGCTCTTTTTCTCTCTCGCGTTCGCGCTGTTCACGTTCCCGCTCCCTCTCTCTCTCGCGTTCCCTGCTTCGCTCATGTGAAGATCTGAATTTAAAAATTTTTCTTGGTGTTAGAAGTTTGAAAATTCTGGGACATAAGGTTATTCGAGATTTTCGTTAAATAAAAAATATTTCTTCTTCGGGTTATCCCGGAAATCGTTATTATTTTACAAGGAACTCCCAGTATGTTACTTTATGGTTGGATTTCTTTCTTAGGTTTCCTACTTATTGCTAATTTTTCTGAAAATTATTACGAACTTTCCCCTATTTTTCACAGTTAATAGAGTAATACAGGCTGTCCAAAATTTGATACCCGATTAGATTATTTTAATAGTCAAACAAATTCATTTTTTCAAATGAGACATATTTTCAGATGGATTTGCTATTTGCTATGTGGCTATTTGCTTTCCCTATTATCAAAAGTCGATAAACTTTAACAGTTTTATCTAGTTGATTATGACAGAAAATGAAACAACGTGGTTGATTTTTTGGGAAAAAAACATCTGTTCCAAGTTACATTAATTTTGTACATATAAAAATAGGATATATTGAATATTCTAATACTGATTTGCTCAATTTATTTTTTACATATGCTGCATGTGGACAAATAGTCAGAGGAACATGAAAATTGTTAAGGAAAGGAACAATTCTTGGTAATTATTGTATTTACTTATTTTTTTATTATGGTAGGGTTTACTAAAGTGGAAAATATGGATTAACAAAATAACCGTTGAAAATAGGTATAGGGCAGATTATAAGAAATCGAAGCAGAATCGAATTCTGCATGCCACTATCAAAAAATATACATCATGTAGAACAATGAGCAAATTTTGGAAATACTGTATGCTATAAACTAATTGTCAATACGGATTTAAAAAGTATTACTCTCTTGCTTTAGTTTATTACAGAAGCGTTATGATCAATCATAAATGAATAAAAGACGCACTATTAAAAATACCCTTATCAGTAAAAAATTAAAAAAAAAAAACAAGATATCAGAGAACAGTTAAAAATATACAGGATATTCCATTTAAAATAAGGATGTTAATGGCGACTTTCAGTGTAACCGGATGTGACATGAGCTTGCATAACCCTAAGTTCAAAAATTTGAAACTTCTTCAGTTTTTCCTAACTCTTACGAGCGTCGATGGTAAGAATAGAAAGATTACGCTTGATGGAATAAATTGGAAGTTTTCGCAACAGGTGTGGTAAAGAAAATCATGACCAAACATTAAACGGAATATGTTAGTTGATACAATTGCCGAATGATTAAATAATGACACTGTGACTTGTTGAATAATTTGTTTAAAGCATTTTGATGTAATCCGAGTGGTTAGTGACTTTTTTAAAACCAAGAATCTTTTACGGTGCGAAAAGAAACAGTACTGATGAGTCACGTTCTTTTGTAATTTGAATTGTTTAAACTAATTGCGCTTAAAGTTTATTTTTATTTTTGAATTTATGATAAAGTCAATTGGAAACCGTTTGTCTTGTTAATAGACAAAGTAATAAAATCTCTTAAAAGGACTCTCGATCGAACTTGCGAATGGTGTGAACAAAAAAACTTGTTGCTAGAATAGCAGACAGTAAGAGATGAAGAGTAAATTGGGATAAATGGGTTGGGAGGCAGTTTGCTCTACTTTTCTTGCTCTCGTCCGGTTTCAATTTATATGTTCACATTAAAAATTCATCGGGAACTCTTTGTAGTGCTCGTAGACAAAAAGTCCCTCCAAACTTTTTCACATTTGAAGTTTGTACCGAATCTTTAGAGCAATTTGACTCTCATTTGAGAGATAGGATAGAAAAATTTGGTTGCTTTAGAAGTATTGTGTTGATATATTTAGAAAGTGGTTTGTGAAATATTCACCAAAGACCGCTTAAAGATGATAAATTAACTACAATTCTCACCTTGACCGTGAGCGTTTTTTCCTCTTCTCTTCTTTCTCTTTTCTTCTAGGGCTGGGCGAATGGCTGCGTGATCGCTCGCGTTCCCTATTCCGCTCTTTCTTCCTCACCTCCTTTTCTTCCTCTTGCTTCTAAAAAAAGAAGTTGGCTAAAAACGGGTTATTCGCAATGATCAAGAAGAAAGCTAAAAAACACAGAAATATTTACACTGTTAACCGGCAACGTTGCAGCAAGATATGTTGCTTCGCTTATTTTTCTGGAGTATTAACAAGTTTCACACATCACTGAAAAAGAGTCCAAAGATCAGGCACAGATCCTAACGAGAAATCGATGGGAAGAAATTAACAACTTATTAAAACTGCATTTCGACGCATCATCGATTTATAATTTTTTGAATGTGGTAGGTCCCAATAGTTCCTGTTAACAACAGCACCGCTAGAATTTAAATATAAATTTTAGAAACAGCCGTCAAAAAGAATTTGTATTGAAAACCCTTTCAGTATACAGTCTGTCCAATATAAGCATGGCATAGCATGGATATCGGTAAAATTAGGAAAGTCCTAAATAATCTTAGACTTAAATCTGCATGCAAAATGGATCCAAGTTTCTGAGAAATTGAAGAAAATATAAAAACTTGTATTTTCTATTTTAGTCTGTAAAGCCCAAAATACAACAAACATAATATTGGGATTTGTACGTTACTAGTTTACAGTTTTTTCAGAATAATATGATAACATAAGGGTAAACAGTATGTTTTTTCCAGATGCACCCCTAGTAAATAGAGAATAAAAAAATGCTTTTAAATCATTTACGTATAAAATACGTTGTCGTCAGGCTTTAATGCTTGGCAGATTCGAATTTTGTATGGGCGTTTCTTGTCCTTACGCAAAATAAAATATGCTTTAGATTTTGGCGTTCTAGTTATTTATTCTATGTTGCTAAATGATGTTATAGGGTATTCGATTACTGCTAACAGTACATTATTTTCAGTTTCCTCATTTTATGGTTTATGTCTTTTAGTAATTGTAACTATTTGCCAATGAATTGCCAAATAGTCTTCCAAAGACCTTATTTCGCTGTAAAATTTCAGTGTAAGTATTTAAATACGCCTGCTTAGTTTCTCGAAAAATGTAACATTTTACCATAGATTAAAAGGTCACGTGCTTAATTAACTACAGTATTGTAACTGAAGTGAAACTGTCAATAAGCACATTTATTTTTTCAAAGCCCACTCACTATTTTTAAAGCATTTATTGAACTGTAATAGTATATTATGCAACAATTGCGATAAACGGCATTTCACTCGGAGCGCAGCGGAGTTTTTAATAAACGAGTTACTTAAAAAGTTTACCGAACGTGTTGCATACTATACTTTTTCTACGGCTGTTAGTTTTTGCAAAACAACACGAATACATTCACTGGCATGAGCGTCAGAATTGACAAACGTCAAAATTCAATGCATGGGAAATATCTCCGAAAACATCCGACTGCTCCCAAACCCGTGCGGTAAAATCCCGAAAATGAACGAAGTGGCTCGGATCCGAGGGAAACGAAACTGATGTGGTAAAAATGATGCTTCCCGCACGGTAGATCGGTGTGACCTATTAAAAAAATCAAATTTTGCTCGTATAACCCTAAGAATTATTTGGATATATCACCTAAAATCTTTTTTTATGCTCTATTTAATAATGAAACTATTTAATATGGCGCTCATAAGAAAATTTATGGTGTAAAGAGTAAGGAGGAAAAACCAAGTCCAACAATGACAAAATCAGGATTGTCATTTCAAAATGTTCTTCGCGCTGTTAATTTTATTATAGGAAATTTTTAAGGGAGAGAACAGCGTCTTGAGATATTCGAGGTTATAATTATATATTGCAGTCCTCCTGCATTGTGACAATCATCAACACAGTCCAGAATAGTAGATTATGCAACAAATACGGTAAACGACATCTGACCCAGGAGTTTATTTGACACGAGCGGAGCGAGTGTTTAATAAACGAGTGAGTTAAAAAGTTTACCGAACGTGTTGCGTACTATACTTTTTCTAAGACCGTTAGTTTTTGGGTACATTTTCGCAAAACACGAATACATTCACTGACATGACTGTCAGATTTGACAAACGTCAAAATTCAAAGCGTAGGAAATATCTCCGAAAACATCCGCTCGCTTCCAAATCCCGGAAATGTCCGAAATGGCTCAGATTCGTGGGAAACGAAACTGACATGGTAAAGTGACGTTTCTCGCACGCTAGACCGGTGGGTAATTAGGTATTTTACAGACGGGAGTAGAAAAAATATTAAAATGCGTGGTTACTTCCACTTTATTACGTCAGCCGTGCTTATTTACGTTTTTATGTTTAGTGAAGTAAGTTGTAAAGACATATTTAGTTTTCTGGTAAGTTTTCTTCCTGTTTAAAATGCCGATAATATTTGTTAACCAAAAAAAATCTATAATAAAAGCGTAAAAAAAAATACGCTCTAAGAACCTGGGAGCACATTTTTAGAAATTCCTGCAATACACAAAATATTGTTTTATCTGTAAAGGAAAGAAGGCAGCCAGGAAGTCGGACCACTTTTTTAAATAAAATTAACATCTAGCAATTAAACAAAAGTAAATATCGAACTATATATATAAAAAAAATAGTTTGCTGAAAAATCTTGAAAGCTTAAAAATTATAATTTTTGGATTCTTTCCCTTCCCTTCATGTCATCATATTATTCGTAAAAAAGGGTTCTAACAATGTACTAATTTCAAGTCATCTTTGGAATATTTTGGGCTTTACAGATAAAAATAGAAAATCCAACATTTTATATTTTCTTGAATTCAGAAACCATTCATACTTGGTGGCAGATGTAGGTCTCTCTAGATATTGGACACACTGTGAGTGCACCGAAATTTTCAAATCTCTTGGAAACTCAATCTATTTAAGTGGGTAGAAACGACTGTTATATACAATACATAATTAAACACTTCCTATATAAAGATAATTTTAATGTATTCTTTTTGATATCTCTTGAAATGCGGACTAGTCCTGTCGTCCAATGTTTTACCTTGTGTGTAATTTTTGAGTCAAACGCAAACATGACAATTTGTTGTTCGATACGTATATTCGGTCAAATGTTAGGACAATGCGCGTCAGTGTATATATATTTTATTTCTAACAGTAACTTTTACTCAGTTTAACTATTTCGTAGTTCTTCCAATAATAAACATGAAACAGTTTAGTTGTTGACCCCACTTCCTCCAAACCTTTCAGTGGCGGCAAATTCAAAACTGAAAACTATTTCTACTCAAAAGTTAGCAACTGCCTCCGTCAATTGTATCCATCGGCAATGGTAAGTTACTGACCCAAAAATTATGTTCCGATTTTGGTGAGACAATGGGCGGAAGCAATGTAGAATAACTGTGTCGATACGAGCTTAGAGTCGGACATTTTTACATACAAATTCCAAGAAAAAAATGTAAGGCCCACGATTTATAAAAGTTAACTCTCACGTTTATAAGGCGTGACGTCATACTTCTACCATATCTAGCGTATTTAACCTCAATATTTTCAAAACTGTTTAGTGCTTCATACCCAAATTTTAGTGAATTTGGACGCAAAAAATAAAACTCTAGGTGCATTTACTAGTCAAAAGTTTTCGACAGCCTAGACTTCTAGAGACCATCAGTTGCTTTGGGAAAAGCATGAATTATATGCAAGGGCCAGCATTAACTTGGATGGCGGGAGGATTATTTTAGATGCAATAAGCAACGAGTTAGGGATTGCTCGTTTCGAAGCTTTTGAAATGGTTATACCATTACATCATACATACATTGTTACTTTTAAGTATGATATTGTATAAATTATTATAAAGAATTTGATTTTATTGTTACTTATGAATATTTAGCCTCACTCTCATGGGACGTAAATCCACCGGAATCGGATACTGGCTTGAAGAGTTTGCATCTCTGCGGCAAGAATGCAAACTTGTTCAGACTGAATGTTATAACAATCAATTAAACAGGGCTAGTAGCCAGTTAACAGAATGTTCTAAGCATTTTTGAAGACATATTGAAAACCTGAGCAAGTCATGTTCATACTCTTATAGAATGTTCTTGGAGGATGAGCCTGCTGACAGTGGATGTGACGTTGTTAGTCCATTGGGCCTATGCTAGGGACTAACTCTAACTCAGTTACATGTTGATAAGTCCACTGACATCCGCCACTGAAATATCCAAATACCCATATAACTGATGTGTTTAAGTATTACTCAATTAAGATATCCACTTCTCCACATTTTTACAATATTTTCAACTCTCAACTCTGAAAGTGGGGGTTTTCAAAACTTTGGGAAATTAAGCTTTCTTATAGGTAGCTTTCCTATATGTAGGAATGGTCCGGGGGAAGACATAGGTAAGCCCTAGCCCTAGCCCTAAACTATTCTTACCGTTTCCACACTGTCTCTAGACTTAGCTTAAATCGTGGAATTTTTACATTTTTATGTATTAGATTATTGTGCTGTATTAGATATTTGGTTAAATAGTAGAATCTTAGTTTTGTGACACTGCTTTCTTAATTATACTCAAGAGTTTATGCAGAAAAGTGACACGTCGAAGCAGCTGTCTCTTTGCAAGAATAACATTAAACGGGGACTGTTCTCCTGTTCTCCACATCAGACTTTAAATTTTCTCACGGAAAATAGCCAAAGCTACCTAACACAAGAGCGACCTTCGTCTTGATTATGTCCTAAATAATCCTGCTCCACAATTTACTATAACCATCTTAATTTTGAATTTTATGTAGCTTTTGCAAAAAGTAACCTGAAATCACCCGCAAAACTCAAAAATAACAACTTAAAACAACCAAAAATTAATGGACTTCAGAGATTATAGTAATTCTTTGGCATGAGCAAGCTGCTTTCGTCGCCAACAATATCCGAGTCATTCAGCTTAAAAAATGCGCCCTTAAGGACCATAGAGGGACAATGATAATTTTATTAACCGGACGAACAGTAATTTGTTGTCTTCATTGCCAGTTTCACTTTCGATAGTTGCCCAAAGCTTTATAGAAAACACCTGATGAAATATCTAGCCGAAAAAATAACACTACACTTAAAAATCTTATTCCTATGTGAACTTTTAGTACGGATAACTTACTCTTGCACCGTGCGGGCTTCAAAATTCCTAGCAGGCGAACAGACCGAGCCTTCTCACGCGCCATCTGGCAATAGCACGACGAATTCGATGATTCTCGATCGATAAACGAAACAAAAACAACAACGGGACACAAAAGCCGCGGGACCGTAACTTACAAATACGGGCCGCGCAGCTGGCAGATTCTAACTCTAACGCGGATTCGGTTTTTATCAAAGCCACGTTTTGCATTCAAAATTTCAGACAAGGACGAAAATATAAGCGCCTTGCTTCTTTTAAACCGAAAAAAAAAAAAACGATCTAAGCGACTTATATTTTCCCACGTAACTGGGGTAGTTTCCAAGGCACATACTGGTACAAAATTTACACTTGACAACGAGTTCATTTGATCTTCAATGCTCGCGCTCCGAAAACACTTCGAACACTGGGATATATATATATATATATATATATATATATATATATATATATATATATATATATATATATATATATATATATATATATATATAATGAAATTACATTTGCGGAAAATTGCGGTAAGGAATATTAAAAAACTAAAAAATACATTAGCTTCTCTACTTTCATCTGCCCATTCCAATAAGATTTCACTTTAAAAGTTGTGCAAGAGGTTCTAGTCGGAGCTCAAGAAGATTAGTGCAAGAAAAGCCTAACATAAACTGGATATAAATACATAATGTTATGTGTTATGATAGACTGCTTCACTAAATGGGAGGGCGAATATACCAAACCAGAGGAAGCAACTGGCTGTGTTGCCCATGAATGGATTGGATATGCAGATTTGTTGTGACACTGGAGTTGCATTCCTATAATTCAGGAGTCAACCTTTTTCACCTATCTATTAAACATAGTCTCCAACCATCAAAGAGGTTGGAACGACTTTCTACACCTTTTCCAACTGGCATACCAACCAATCAGACGAGCTATTTTTCCGGCACTTCATGATTGAGTCGGGAAGGTGCTACAATTGACAAATGAAACAGAAAACAGAGAGTACCTTTTACCAAACAAGTATATTACCAGAAACCGAGCTATCGTGCTGTGTGAGACAACCCATGTGGGCAGCGTGAGATCCTGTTCTCCGGAACATAATAAATAAATAATTTATTTAAATAACACTACAAAAATAATAATCTGTATGCTAAGATCGTTTGACGAATCTATAACGATAGATCCATAACCGCAAAAGTGATTATCTTAATAACATTTCAAGGTTGTAACTTTTTTGTTTTTAAAGATAAACAAAAAAACAAATAGTAGCCATGTAATGTAATTTAAAGTTGGAAAAAAGTCATGTAAACAGTTAACCTATTCAGTATGTGAGTTGGAAACGTCCCACACAACAAATTAAATTGCACAAAGTTTACTCTATACGATTAAAAAAAAAAAACATAAAGAGGTGTGTTGGTCAAAGATGGTAATAACTCTACTCACCGGCGGCACCACTGGCCGAAACTGGGACGGGCTGCGCCGCGCATCCATGCCTGTTTGGTTTCAATAACCACATAAGCGCAAACTTATCTCTAATTGTTTTCACGGTAATTTAAGAATAAACAAGAACAGCTACTGTCTTGGAAAGGCCAGACAGTTTAAAGCGAGCTGAGAATAGGTACAACAATATATGTTTCCCTGGGAACTGGTGACAAACATATCCAAATTTATTACACAAAAAACAGGGGATTTTAAAATTATAGAACAACTAATCATTTTTGGCTCAGAATAATATATGCCTCAATAATATTAAGAGTTCTAGAGCTAATACAAATTTAAAAGAGAAACCAACCAAACTATTTGTATATAATGTTGAACCAATAAAGAATTTCTTCTCATGTTACCATATGACAGGAAAATTTAGCAAAAATTACCTGTATATTTGCCAACAGTTCCTTAGTTCAATAAGAACGAAAAATATTCAGCATTGGTTTTGAAAGCTTACCTTCATGATTTCCCTAAATTTGCCGATTTCCCTCGTGATCAAATCGCGTTTTTCTTCCTCCACTTCTGCATCAGCCAGAACCCTATTCCACTTCTCCATCACTTCCTCTGGAAATGGATATAGTAAAAAAAATCCTCTTTCTTCCTATATCACTTTACCTTCCTTTTTGACCTCATAGTTGGCCATTTCTTCCTGATAATCAAGGATAATCTGCTTAATTCTCTCTCGAGTAATTGCATCCAAGTGCTGAGTCTCTTCATCCAGTTCCTCCTCTTCTTGCTCATCTTGCAATGGGGAACCTTTCTGCTTTCGACGCCTTTCAACTTTAATATTTCGGCAGATCAGCATGTTTTAGAGGTGAAATGTAGCATGTCAATTTCTCCACAAAATTATGACAAGCAAATTAAGTTAAAACAAAACAATATTATCAGGGTTCTCAGCAATGTGGAAAACGAAGTTCACTAACTTTTAAAATGTTCTTTAAAAAATTAAGAACAAAAGAATATTGAGATTATTTTAATGTGAATTTTTGCATGCCACAGGGTCACCAAATTATGGAATCTTGAGAAGTTAAACCTGAAGTGCAACAAGGTTACTCACAAATTTTAAGGGAAGGAAGAAAGATGGACAACGTTAGGGTATTGCCTGGATGGCTTGGCATAGACACTTGCTGCTTGCATTAGTACAGCAGAATAAGACAATTCAAAATATGACAACAGTGCTTCTCCTTCATTCCAATAGTCTCGTCAAATATTAGCACTGGAGGTTCAACTTGGAATGTTATACCAGATCCCCTAGAGTAACTAACCCAAAATATGTGGCTATTGAAAATAGAAACGACAAAATACTCAGAAAGGGAAGGAATGTTAAAATTGCGCAGGCATATTAAAAAAATTATAAATCAATGAGTTATAACATGAAATTAAAAAAGTAGCGGGTTAAAAATACTCTCTGCTTTTTCCAGCTTGCTGAAAACTCTAAATATGCATTACATATGTGTGGAAAAACCGGACATGTTTGGTAAACTAATCAATAGTGCTATAAAGACTTACATAAACAGCTCGCTGATGATTTAATTTAACTTTTTTTTTGACCTGTGAAAGTTTCAGAACTGTTGTAGCTTTGCCAACTGAAGAGAATAATTTGTTGGTGAGATCACATATGGTTTATTTGTTATAATACATGGCTCCGTAAAGTTTTCTCCAAAAAGAAAAAAAAATGAAGTACAATTTTAACAACATTGTAACTATGTGTGCAGAAATTTAATTAATAAATAAATGAAGGCTTGTATAAAAAAATGAATTAAACAATTAAAATGTTCTAAAATATTTATGTATCCTTGTATGCTACTTTTCTTTCAAACAGCAATATGTGTTCCACACCACAAAAAAAGCAAATCTAGTATCCAATACCCAGTGTTTTAAACAAATGCTTTTACCTTTATATTCATCCAAAACAGCTTGCGTCTTAGCATCCACCTTGGCAACCAAACGTTTATCTCCAACCATCAGATCATGCAATAATCTAACAGCTCTTAGGCCTGCATCAGGCCCCGCAAGTTCACAAAAGCCAAATGCCTTTACTTTTTTCCAACTAATTACATGCCCACATGCTGCTAAAATCTGCCGGATCATCGCGTCAGGAGCTCTTTCTGTTATGTTACCTATAAAGACGTAAAATTTAGCAGATGTTTTGAAAATAATAAAATCTGAGCAATTTACCCACAAATACAGTCACTGCAGGCCCTTCCATTCGTTTTAGTTCATTGCGATTTGGATTAAGTTTGGGAAAGGCCCGAATTGAAGGAGCGCTAGACACTTGTATGGGAACCATCTATGCACAAAACGACAGATAATTAATAAACTCTGTAAATTAAGTGTAGGTATAAGACTTACATGTGGAATGGGCATCACTGGTGGCATTAAAGTTGGTGGAGGCCCACCTATCGGCATCGCATACATTGGAAGACCCTGCATTATGGGGGGTCGGCCCGGATAGGACATTACTCAAAATTTAAAGAACACGGTACAATCCAATCAATATCACAAACTTAAAAAGTTCAAGACTTGAAAGTTGAAGGCGCAACTGTATATTGATAATAAGCAAGTGTTAAAGATCTCTAATAATTTCATTAATTTACACTAAAGATCCGAACCAAAACAAATTTCAATTTACTTTAATTCACAGATATTACGGCCATATTTTTACATCACCATTGACAAGAGGTTGACACCAGCATAGACGACGCACGCGCCCTGAATACCAGCACTAATAAACAAATGATGAATCAATTTCTAAAACCGACCAATTTCTATAACGAAACCTAAAGAAGGGTAGACACGTTGCAACAATTTTTACATGTACCTTTTTCATATAAATATTGCAATTACCAAATTTGGCAGTTAAAATTACCATTTTTTTTTCCCAAATCACAAGGCTTCTGGCGGGAATCGAACCCACAACTTCCAGCAAGTTCGAGTGGCCAGGTCAACGCCTTACCAACCGAGCCATACTCGGTCCCATGCAGAACTTTTCATGGAAGTTTTTTGGTAATCTGACAGATTATGCACTAAGTAGCCAGTAGTTTTATTGTATTTATCAAATGACCGTGAGAAATTTTTTTTTTACTCCCTTCTATAAAATACCCAATTATACACCTATTGACCTTGAAGAGTGTCATGACGTCCTTTTTATAACCTACGGCTGCGAGTCAGTTCGGACATTTCCAGAATATTACCGACGGGTTTGGGAGACATCGAATGTATTCGGAGATATTACCCATGAGTAGTCACGTGTATTTGTGTTGTTTTGCAAAAATGTGCCCAAAAACCAACGATTGCAGAAAAAATATAGTATGCCATAGATTTGGTAAACTTTTTAAGTCACGCGTTTAATAAAGTACTTGTTCCGCTCCGGCCAAATAAACTCGTTACTCAAATGTTTACCACATATGTCGCATAGTATACTAATTGTCTCTACTTTAAGCCTGGATCAGGTGATAACAAAAATTGAGTTCTAGGACATAATTACTGGGTATCTATGAATTACTGCCCGCGACAATAAAGAGCATTCTTTACGTAAATAAAAATAATGAAAAATCACTTTAATAGTCTCAGAAATTTTAAACAGGGGGATACACGTGAGGTTAGATATCCGCCGGTAGTGTTACCACCGAACAAGTCTTTTTAAAATTTGCAAAGCTAGGATTCGGCGTTGTCGTCCAAAAATTTGCGCAAAATATCGTTGGACAGCTGTATAACCAAATACTCGGTGCCGTCGTTGGACGATCTCTTCGTTTTGACCATTTTATGATCCAGGAACTCGTTTAGATGAGCCCTCAACGCCAGATAGCTGCTAATAATGAACCCTTCCCTGCATGACATGTAGAGGTCTTTGAAGGCCATACCCTCGTAATAGGGACCTGAATTTTCAATTTGGTATTTTACGAGTTTGAGAAAGATGGCTTTCGAGTTTGGTGTCAATGATAAAAATACTTTCTTTAAGGAGGAGAGAGCCAATGCTCCAGATTGCTGCTCCATTAATGACTTCTCGAAAGATGTCTCCTCCATGTAGGGCGAGAATGACGTCGCGTCCCACCAGATATAGTTGAATTTGCTCATGGTTTCCTGGTCCCATATGAGTGGCGCATTGATGTGGTCAATGGTCGCTATCAAATGAACGTTCGAAGTGGCCGCGAGCCGCGCGAGGATGTTTTGAGTTTTGCGGTCTCTCAGAGGTTCACCATCAATGTTGTTGATAATTAGATACAAGGGATAAGACGTGTTCTCAAATTCCCGCTCGATAAGGTTACAAGCCTCATAGGGATTACCTGGATTTTCCAACTCCAAAATATCCACAATTATCCCATCCAAGATATCTTTAATGGTCAGTGGGGGGAAAAATCCATTCACCACCAAGACCGGTGGCTTTTGGAGGTGTTCTTTACGAAAAGTGTTCACAATATCTCGCTTCGAACCCAATCCATACAGCAGTAAACTGAAATTCTCTTGAAGCAGATAAAGCCACTTTTGAAAAGGTTTCTTGTTGTTTCTCGACATGCGTTCCATCGCGGCCGCGTGTTCCTTCGTTAGTTTCTTATTGGCCAGCAATTTCTTCAGCTCATAGTGCGGCAGCCTCGGAGTTTTTAGTTTGTCAAGAGTGTTATCTGAGGTTTGGATTTTATTTGACGCGAAATTCGAGAAATATTCCTCGGTCTTAATTGAGTAGTCAGTGCTGACCTTGTTACTATAACCTTTGGTTTTTTTTACGGTGCTGAATTTCGTAGTTCTCTTTTCCTTTACCTTTATTGAAGAATCTGAGGAAGTTGATGCCTCGGAGGAGAAATCTATGTCACTTGAGCTTTCGGACATCCTAGATAACTCCACAGCTTTCCGAATCACATTACCTCTTCTCTTGGGGGTGTGAAACTGGAAAATTGCCTTTCCGGACAGGGTTTCGCGTTTGTGCAATAGTACCGGTTTCACATCACCCCCCTCTTCACCCGAACTTATTTCTTCCTCGCTGCTGGGTGATGCTATTACCACATCTTGTAGTTTCGAAATGGTAATCGATTCTAATGCCTTGAGACTGGGCTTTGGCCGTCTCGTCGTTCTTCGTAGTGGAGTAGGAGTATTGCTATTTTCTTCCATTTTAGAGAATTTGCGTTGTGAAAAGAAAACACATCATAAATGGAAAACTGATCAATAATTAACACCAAACGTCGCTGCTTGCGATACACGTATTTTCAAGTTTAAAGAACAAAATTACAGTAAATGTGCAACAGCCGCTACTTAACCACAGACAGACTTAATCACAAACCACATTCACAAACAAGCGACTTTACAATTCGATAACACTCCTATACAATACAATTTCTATTGGTTCTGTGGTGGAGCATTGCACGCGGCGATTTAACCTGCGTTCACTCCCTACAGAATCCCTTGTAATCGTCCCCAAACATTTTGAAATCGGTTTCCACTGGGTGGATTTAGTGTTTTTAGTGTTTAGTAAATGTTTTAAAGTGATAATTGTCGCCGACTCCATTGTTTTTCCACGTTCACGCCAGTATGGAGGCCGGTTGAGGCCGCTTGGTCCATGGTGGCAGCGGGGGGATGTCGGTTTTTTTTTTGGTATCGGTCAAAATTGTTTTTTGCTAGTTGAGCAAATATTGGTTATATTTCTTCCTTGTACGTGTTGCTCTATAACCAAAAGCGAATACCCTCGACGGAAGCGGGCAATGGGCAAATGATCCAGCAGTCTAGCCCAACAGTTATTGTGAATCCTATTGTACTAATTGTGTTAATCTGCGCAGATTTGTGGTCTATGATGAATTTAAAGTATATGGTTAGGTTTTTATCATAACTATATCCTTTTAAAGGCATCATAATAATGGCTGATCCCGAATTAGAGGCCATTAGGCAGCAGAGGCTATCCGAACTGCAATCGAATTTTAAAGTAGGTATTCTTAAGTCGATCCATTTTTGCGCTAAGGTTTCTCGGTTTTAGACCTCGCAAGGCGATTCTGAGTCGCAGAAGGCGCAAGAGAACAAGGCCAGGGCACAGGAAGATGCGAAAAACTCGATATTATCGCAAATTTTAGATCAAGACGCGCGAGCAAGACTAAACACGCTGATGTTGGGCAAACCGGACAAAGGCCAAATGGTACAAAACATGTTATTAAGGATGGCCCAGATGGGACAGATCGGCGCCAAAATAACGGAGAAAGATCTCATCGGTCTACTGGAAAACGTTAGCGCTCAAACTCAATCAAAAACGTCGGTAAAATTCGATCGGAGACGCGCGGCTTTGGATTCTGACGAAGACGATTTGTAATAATTTTTCAAACGTTTATTCAATAAATTAGGTGCTTAAGTCTAGGAAACGCTCGGTATAATTGTTTTTACACGAAAATAAAAAATCTACCGCTAGTGTGGCTTAATTTCACTCCCGCTTTGCGTGATACTCGTAGTCGTCGTCGTCGTCGTCTGCGTCCAGGATGTCTGCGCAACAAATCGAGTACAGTATCAACGACAAGAACCCGAATGGCAGGCCGAAAATAACGGCCGTCAGTATTGGGTTGCCTTTCCACATATCTCCAAGTGCTGCGCGACCCTCAAAATACGTCCTGTACAACCTTACGGGAATACTGTTTCCTCCATATGCCGGAACGCTCCGGTTAATGATACGCCACAGGAAATGATCGATCGCTTCGGCAGTCATTTCGGTCGGATCATCATCCGGAATATGATGGTGGTACGTTGTTGAATTCAGTACAAGTAAATGGGGTAAGGGTAACTTCTCCATGGCGATGCTGTTGGCCAAATCGGGACTACCAACCCAACCAAACTGGAAATACCTGTGATATTTGCCCCGTTTTTTTCTGACCAACTCCTCGACGGTATCTCGAAACTTCAACATATGAGCCGGGATTCGTTTGATTTTGTCCTCCTCCACCACGACGAGCACTATGTACTTGTTCGTCTGCATTATTTCGTTCATGTTACCTCTCGTTATCTTAGGGAACGTCTCGAACCGCTCCTCATTGACCCACCGATGCAGCGATTGATTTAAATTTTCCGCTTCCTCTACGTTTGTCCCCGAATCCACTGCAACAAATCTTAACTGACTAAAACCATTGATATTCTGCAGCTCATTATGTCAATATCAAAAACGGAAAAGCGAACACAAAAAGGCGAATCAAATTCCATCAATTCAGCTTATTTAGCTACTAGAGATATAGATATTGGTATGGTGGTAATACAGGAACTTATGAAGAAAGTATGAAAAAAATTTTGAAAATTCTATCCAATATGCGCAAGCGCAAGATTTAAAATCTCGTTTTTAGCCAATAACCATGCGGCATTCAACAACCAACATGGCTTCTGACAGATCAGCAATCAGTTTTAATACGCCATTTTCATGGCAGTATTTTCTCGAAATATACCTGGACCTCTGTAAAACAAGTTAATGGTGTGGAAATCACTGTTAAGTCAGTAAGAGTCATGCGCGGAAAATTACTACCTTCCCTCCGAAAATATCGATGCCACCTGCGGCCCATCAATTTTTATCACTCTACCATCTAATGGCTACATGGTTGGACATTATCGTAATTTTTCTGTAACATTGATTTATTTTTATATAAGCGCAATATAAACCTCTGAAATCTGAGAATACTAGCAGTCTCCGCTATTGTTCTCAATTTTGGTGATTACCTCCCTACTTTTTCAGGTTTTTGTTTCTACCCGTGGGAAAGCTAGTATTTGCGGTCAAAATTGTAGGGCTATGTTGTTTAGTTTCAGTTATGCTCTGAAGAAGTCCACAGAATGATTGGCGAAACGTTAGCAAGTTTAATTTATCAACAACCGACGCAGGAGGAATCCAGAAGATTTATAAATTGTACAGGTGTCATTTATTAAGAATAAGATTTTAAATGTCGCCCATGCGCATGTTAAATGGAATTTCTTAAATTTTTGTCATAGTTGCTTCATAAGTAATACTACCTAATGCTACCACAGTAAAAATTGATGCGCCGCAGACAGCACTAATATTATAGAGAAGGTAAAGATTTTCCGCGCATGTCTCTATATGCATGTCATCCACGAACCTGTACTTTGCGCCAGTTTCTATCTAAACAACGATTTCCACAGTTAACTGTTTTTTCCAGAACATTTAATGAGATCTAGGCATATTTTAAGAAAACATTGACGTAAAATGCCGCACCTAAATCATATTGGTTGCTGAAAGCCGCAAGGTCATTGATTAAAAACGAAATTTCAAATATTGCACATGCGCATGTCGAATGGGCCTTCCCAATTTTTTTTTAAATAGTTGCTTCATAAGTTCCTGTATTATTGGCCATAGACAAACAGGGCCCTTATGTCTCTAGTAACTGTGAGGGTTATATGACTACAAAAACTAAGTTGTGGAGTTTGGAGAAAACAAAAATACCAATAAAAGCAGTAAATGTTTCAAATATTGAACTGAGGTGGCTTTTACTTGATCAAAATCCATTTATCAAAATAAATAAGAACTAAAAGCTCAGATTTTCGCGAAATTATATATTATGACATGACAATTGTTTCGACAAATGATTTGATAAAGACACGGTGTTGTCGAAACAATTGTCATGTCATAATATATAATTTCGTGAAAATCTGAACTTTTAGTTCTTATTTATTTTGTTTCAATTATGCTATGGGATGCCTGTTTTGTTTTCATTAAGAGACATCAGAATCTGATTTTACCCGAATAAAAATAATGCAAGCTCTCCTTGTAAACGAAAACGGCCGGCAATTCACCGACATCGAGGTGTTGTTTAGCGATGTCTTCATTGGTTGAATAGAAAAACCCGTGTGGTTGCAATTTGCTGGCCACATCGAAGTACACGTCCCAAAGAGGCCCCTCTCGAGCACCGACATACATAAAAAATAATCGGTTATCTCTTTTAATGCCATTGAAACTTTCTGGGCGTGTGACCTCCTGTACTGGAGGCCCGGACATGCGTATTGCGTAATTCACCAGTTCGTCCCTCGTACGGTCTCCATGATACGTGTGGTCCCCATCCGGTTTCACACTGAAGGCAGAATATCTTATCTACTTTATTTCTGAAGTGCCCTATACTTACAATTTTATGGTTGGATAACCACCGATACGAAACTCCTCAGCTATCGAGGGGAATCTTGTACAATCAACTTTCCCCACCCGCACGTTCCTGCCTGATAGAGCTTGAGCCACTTGAGCCCATATCGGCTCGAGACGCTTGCAATGGCCGCACCATGGTGCATAAAATTTGACTAACCAGAAAGCGCCGTCTTTACGTATTTCAGTAAATTTATCGCTTAATTCTAGGACCCTCGACGGACGACACTGGCGAATTACTGCAAATTATTGAGGCGTCACCTTTCACTACCACCCACAATCTACAAACTTACCTAAATAAAGCAAAAAGATTTTAATAAGTAGGCAATCCATTTTATCTAAAAACGATCATCTAACCATAACGTTACGTTCGCGCTGCTCTGGTGATCGATATCCCCCGTCGGCATAATAATGCCAAATGTATATTTAAAATGGCGATCGATTAATTCCCTGGTTTATACGTCGTTGAAGCGCATAATGGGATTTTGGTTTGCTTACTTTCATTATTTGTTTTATAAATTATAAATTACCTCATGTCAAAATATCGTTCTTGAATTTTTCTAAATAGCAGTAACAATGGGGAGGATTCGAATGAATCACTCGGATCCCGAACGAATCGTTTATTTTAACGTATCGTGTAAAAAAAGTGAGTCTATATTTCCAATAATTTTATTAAAGGCAAATAAATGTTTGTAAAAATAACCACGCATCTAAATTTCTCACAGTAAAAAAATTGTAAACTTTATTCCTAATCTAAAACATTTTAAGACATGGAAATTGCAGTTCGTCTGACGACGGCGCTAAGCAGCTCGTTTTTATCGGGTTGTTCGGTCATAATGCTAACTTTAACCCATTGTCTTGTCTGCGACGATTCCCTAATGGCCGCGAGAACGGCTTGTACATAGAGCCCGTCTTCGAAATTAGCCGCAGAGCATACAGGCTCTTTAATCCATCCTGCCTTTTCATTGACGGGTAAAAATGCTTCACGTAAAGCGGACACCATCTTGCATAGACCTTTGATAAACGTTTTGGGCAGAAAGGAATTAGGCAAAGGACACTTTAAATCTTCCACATCTAAATAAATAACCTCCTCTGCATTTTTGTCTCCTTTCCGACCAAGAAGATCTCCACCGCGCACAACCAAGTGAGCGGTACTGCTACAAATCATGATTTCCTGTTGGAAAGTACTGCCCACTGTGTGACTGTTAATTGTAGTTGTAACAAGGACACCATTTTGAAGTTCCATTTGAAAAGCACAGAAGTCTGGTGCAGTTATCTGCCTGATACCTTTGATTTTGTGGGTATGTTTGGTAAATGCTTTTACTATTCCATGCACCCTAACTGCTTTCTGATTGGTTAAGAATGTTACCAAATCAATTATATGACTACCAATGAGATTCAATGCTCCACCACCCATGGTGTCATCACATTTCCAATCGAATGTGTCAATGTCGCCAAACAGCGATCCACACTGTATCCTAATATCAATTAAAGTCATGGGGGATACTAAATAATTTTCCTCCAACTTTTTCTTCATGTGCAAGAAAGCAGGCAAAAAGCGAAACGAGTGGTTAATTACCGATATCAGTGTGGGGTAATATTGACCCGCTCTGACCATTTTCAGGGCGTCGACCTGATTGAGTCCCGCGGGTTTGTCGCAAACAATATGTTTCCCGATCCCGAGCGCCTTTACGGAAATCTGGGCGTGCAAATTCGGAGAACACAAGACAAATATTAAATCGACGTCTCTCCGAAGCAATACATCGTCGATTTTGTCGGTGAAAAACGGCACGGCCAACTCTTTTGCAGCCGCTTGAGCGTCCTGCAATATCTTGCTCCATATAGCTTCGATTTTGAATCCGTTCTCTCTTAAAATCGGCACCAGCACTTTGACCACGGGGCCCGTTCCAAAAACTCCGATCCCCGGCAACATAATAAACAATGAATTCTAGGTTATGTGGTAGAGTAGTTTCTTCTTTTCGTTCGACGGAATATGGCCCATCTGCTGCCACGACGTCAGACTCGATTCCATAGAAAACGTTTAAAATTAGTGTCGTTGATGTAAAATAGTGTTTTGTACATGTGTATGTTCACACGGTTTCCGGATGTCTTATATTCACGCTGGTAACCAGGCCAGATGGGATGGGATTTCCAATTCTGGAGGATGATGAATTAGTCCAGACCCTTTCATTATGAAGGCATCCTTTAGGGATTTTTATCAATAGTTACCTGTTGTTTCAAGCTGTCCGAATGACCTTATGGAGTTGTGACCATTAGAAGTTAATTAACTAATTAATGACCTAAATTAGCATGTAGTAAAAAAAACACATTTGATTTTGATGCTATATTTTGTACACTAAACGCCGTTTATCGGTAGGGTATAAACGATTTAGACGAGTTAGCAGCTCCAGATACATCGTAAGCAATACTCTTAGCTAATGACTAGAATACTGAAGAGTTTAAGTCTTTTTAAGTTCAGTTAATATCTAAAGGCGCATGCGCGTGTGCGACACGTGAGTTCGTAAGCGTTGCGGTGCTGCACAAATACTCCTGTTACATTGGTCGAATATTGTTACAAATTAGGTATATTTATATAGCTATATCTATTAAGTACGTCATTTTATATAAATATTCCATTTTTTTCGTATATAAAAACACCGAGGTATAAAATATCAGAAGTATATAAAAACTGCTTCCTTATTATAAATACTTATAGAGTATTTTCTAAATTAAATACACAAGTAACAAAGACGCGATCACATTAATACACTTACTATATGAAACAGTGTACGTACTCACTACGTACAAAAATATTCGTAAAAAAATAACTCGAAGATATTTATTTGATTTATATCAATGTAATAAGAGGCCAGAAGCGCCCAAATCCGACTCTGTTTAATAATTAAAATTATGGTATCACTGACGTATATTGGCGAAATAAACCACAGCAATGGCAAAAGGTACTTTAGTTAAAAATCGGGAGTCCGGCACTGGGGGATGGCTGTCGAAAAGCTTAAAAATCAATGGACGAAGACGATATTTACAACGACTTAAAAAATTAGCTATGTACAAAACGGGAGATAAAAGGGCGTCGCGAAAAGTCAGTTGGAAGCACCGCCCTCCGCCTTTAAAGTTTTGCATCGTTCCTTTTCCTGGTTGTTGTCGGGCGGCTCGCAGTCGAAACTTGCGAGCGCCAACGAGTTCTCGTTCAGGACCGGACCGTGCTGGAGTAGCGAAATGACCTTATGGTCTTTCTCGAACGGGCATGTCACTTGTTTCCATGCCATGAATTCCGTCACCTGTTTGGCCAGTTGCCAAAATTTTTCGAAGTTTATGTGGCCGTTGGGCAGTCTGAAACAAAACAATCGTCCGACAAAATATAAACACCAATAGTTAAGAACGAAACAGAAAGTCACTTGTTGGTCGATGCCCGAAGGTTCGATGTAGTTTTCGTTACAATAAGTGGCGAAAAGGCGGTTTTGGAAAATGGAATGGAGATGGATCGGAAAAAGTGTGTTTAACTATTTTTTTAGAGCTTTTGTACACTGTATCTCAAATTAGAGGGTTTCTTGTTAAAAAGCAGAGCTAGAACTAGAAAAAACGTACAAACTGCTGACAACGAATTTTTTAGACAAACAGATAGTATTTTTTAAATAAAGTACCACTACTGATGTAAACTAACCCTTAAAAATGCAATTTTAAAAAAGAAAAGTAAGTTGGCATTGAAATACGGAAAATAACTTTTTAACGTCAGCAATAAGGGTTTAGCATCGCTTGCTTAAATTCTACATTTATAATAGTAACGTAATGCAATGTAATATTTTGTATTTAAGAAACTAAAACTTATTACAAGTTATCCCGACATCCCGACAAGCCCGCTTGTTTCAGGACTGTGGTTAATGCGCTTCTATAAGTGCGACACGGAGACCGACCACTTTTATCTCCCTAAAAAGTAAAGGCGCCCAGCACGGAACCTTATGATAGGTGACAGGCTTGTGCACTGAGTAAAGACTGAGAAATTAAACAAAAATGCTTAACATATATCAAGCAATTTTAAATCAAATATTATAAAAAAAATCTAAATTGTTAGACAAGACAAAAACATAATACGCCAACCAGATTGTCGGTTGTGACTTTATACTGACGTCATCCAATAGTTTACTTTATTGGGGTTTCCACAACAATGTATTCAGCTTATGGCAATATGCTTATCAAAGCATATTGCACTCCTAATTTACTCTTGTGTGAAAGGAATGCTCAATAAATTTACTTTCTGCAAGAACCAAAGGACGGATAGTCACTTGAATTGTAAAGTACAGCTTCATGCATTAATTTACCAAAATCAACGCTGCTGGAAAAAAAATAACATAAATCCCTTCTGAAGCTATCCCAAAAATGGCGACCAATAAGATCTCAATTATATAAAACAGTTAGAAATACTAGACATAAGAAAACTCTCACTCCAGCTTGTGTCATATTGCAATCCAAATAGTAAATCCACCCATTTCTGGGGATGATCTCGTCAAGTAGAGTAACTGAATCTTCTGAGGACCCAGAAGTCACGTTATTAGAAACATTAACGCGAGACTGCACACGATCAAAAAATCCAAAAGTAAAGTCTTTAACGTTAACGCCACGGTAGTGTTCTCTTTAATCAATAAAAAATAATAATAAAACAGACGCACTTAATCAAAACATTATTTCCAAATAAGTGTAAAGGAAATCGTAGATCTCCAGAATGGCCTGTCCAGATATAAATCCACTGAATTACTTATATGAGGGTATTTACAAATTAGTTATATCGTGAGACCCGAATGACATAAATGAACTATGGCTCAATTTAGTTTGAGAAATCAGAGCTATTCGTGGTTGGTTCGTTCAACGTGCAATATTAAAATTGCGAAGGCTTATCGTTTTTATCTTTACAGGTTCAAAGAAATTTTATATATATTTGATTTGCGTGAATAAAATATTTTTTATATCCTTTTAAAAACATCTTTTTTTGCTACTGTAACAATTAATCACCAAAGTAAAATGTAATTAAAACTATACTATTGAACAAATGCGTCAAGTCGGTTTGATATCATAGTGCTTTTGTTTCATGGCTACCCTACTTTTTTTGTTAATTTGGTTCTATTGTCAATTTTAGAGAGTTATTGTTTCGTAGTCATTAAGTGTGATTTGTATTTTTTCTGAATGACAAGCTCATTCAAAATAATAAAAAAAAATGAAGGCCTGTCTCTCATCAACACATAAAACCGAAACGTCATGATTAAAACATAATGTCAATTTGTGGGGGAGAAAAAGTTGCATTAGGAAAGTGTTATTTGATTTATTTTTTTTTAAGGCAAGAAAAAAAGTCGGTTTAGATAGGTTGATCTTCAATATTAAAAACACATTAGAAAGCTTAAGCTGATTTCCAATTTAAAGGTTTAACATCATGACTCTTAAATATTTTCCTAGGAAAGCAGTACAAAATCTTATGTAGATAACTGATAATTGATAATGGAGTGGAGGACAAGATATTTGAGAGAAATCGAAGAAATTCATGCTAAAAACGTCCCCATCATATATTTAGGTAAGACCTGGTTTGATACCCACGATACCATCAAGAAGGGATGGACCGATGGTAACAGCAGGAAATATTAGTTGGATGTGGTAATTTCGCGGGGCAAACGAATTCTTATACTACATGCGGACTCTGAAGCTAGTTGGGTAGGTAATGCTTTGTTGGTTTCTGCAAAAGATGCCAAAGAAGCAAAGGTTGACTACCACAAAAACATGACAGCAGACATCTTTGAAAAATGGTTTTCTGAAAAATTGTTTTTCAATAATCCACCAAACAGTGTTGTAGTGATGGACAACGTCAGCAACAATTCTGCACAAACGGAAAAAATACCGAATTTATAATAGCTTGAACTGAAAAATTCCTTCACAAAGAACAGTTATTGGAAGTTCTTAAGACGGTAACATTCGATAAGAAGTATAATGTGGACAAGTTGTCCATGCAGCGCGAATTCAAAGTTGTCCGTCCGTCTTCCACCCCACTGCAATTTTAATCCGATAGAACTGATATGGGGACAGCTGAAACCCAGTTTAAGAAGAAAGAACACCTCGCTGAAATTTAGTTCTGGAGCAATAGAATTAATTAGAAGTGAAGTAGAAAATATATCTGCTTCTAGTTGCAAAAAACGGGGCAGAACATGTCATCGAAGAAGAAAATGTTTACAGAGGCGACTAGTGCCAGTGACGATAGTCATTATTTTGATGTAGAATATCTTTTTTTATATAAATATTCTAACATTGTTTTATAGCTAAATTTATTCCTTCATTTATATTTATAACAAACATTTTAAAGTAACAATGTATTTTTCACTGCATGGACTAATAATACCATAGTATGATTCTGGAATGTCATTGTGGAATTGCGAATCTATTAATTTAGGGTTACAAAGAGAAACCCAGGCGAGGTAGGCCTGCGGTTAGACCTTCATAAAAATTTGCCAAAGCTAAATACCGGATTTTGTTTTAAAATCGGTATCCGAGATCCCAATAATTCCCGTCAAATTTGGGACAACCTGTACAATCTAGGAACGGGGCTTTCAGGTTCGGTTCTTGTTACCAGTAAGGGAAAGTTAATTATGACTTGAATTTGATCAAAGTCGACTAGACAAAGTGTAGTTTAAAACTAAATTTGCGTTTTCTTTTTCATCAAAAGTCCTCGTTGGTGCTTTGGTCGACCCAAAAAGAGTGACTTTAGGTGGATATCAGTAGTTTTATTCAATTTATAAAATTTCTCGACCAATTTGTGAGCGCTTACTTGCTAGAACAGCCCTGGTTGAGGAAATAGAGGTCCTTGACGAGCAGGCTGAAAAACGGGATGACAATCCTCTGCCTCTGGTCAGTCGCGCCAGCGCTCCTCCACATCGCCGCTTTCAGGGTGCTCCGGTAACTGCTGAAGTTGCTGCTCGGGTCCATTTGGTGTTCCAAAATGGCAAACTTACCCGATTGGATTTTGCTCCACTGCGAACGGAAGCCGAATCAAATGGTGTCACGGCGAACCACGCGAACCCGCTTACCGTCTTTTTCAATCTCGAAATGGGGGACATGTTGAGACCGGCTATGATCGCCATCAGGCTATTAAAGTTGCCGATGTTGAAGCACTCCCGTCCTGCCTCTATCCAATACTCGACCGTTTTTACGCGCTGCTTCTTCTTGTGGTACTTGCACACCTGCGTGGCGACGAAGTAGCTGAGCCGGTTGAACCACTGCACGTACTGCTCCAGGTTTCGGGTCTTTTTCATATCTTTGAACGACGTCTCCAGCTGCGGATTCTCTTTCGCGAACGCCTGAACGAATTCCTCGGGACCGATGAAGGATAATCGTTCGAGTTCGACGTGGGTCAACTGTTGGGCGAGGACCGCGGGACTCGGACATACTTCGGACATGTCCGGGCACGCGTTCTCATCCGCAACACAAGCGTTTGTCTAAATAACATTGCCAAAGTTATTTTTGAAAATATCCAACAATTTTATTGGAAAAGGTTGTTTGTTCTTAAATTTTCAAAAAATGGAAAAAACTTTTTTTCAACCTAACTTTATTTTGGTATATCCTAATATAAACAAATATAAATCAGGAAAATTTTCGAATGTACCAATAGAAATCGTCAAAATTTGTAAAAGTTAATTTGGTTTTAGCATTTTTAAAAGCAAATAACCATTACCACTCAAAGTGGCAACTTAATTTTTTTTATTGTATTTTAAATTGAATTGTAATAAAATTTAACTGAAATTGTAATTACTGACGTTGGCTTCTTCAGAGCTCAATTGAGGTTTCCAAAAAATTTGTAAATAGTATTACAGTAGCCTGTGGAAGTTTCTTTGAAAAAAAACTTTCTTTAGTTTTAAAATGTTAAAACCATATTAATTTTGCGTTTTCTATTGTGCATTTAAAGAAAAAATTGTTCTATGAAATATTTATCTGTGGAATTCGTGAAATATTTGTAAAATCATAAAGTGTTTTCTTGAAGTTTAGAGCACTTTCCATTAATTAAAGCAAATTTAAATAATAAACATAAAATTTTAAAAAAAGCCGATATGTGATTATTAAATAAATGTTTTTAAGTTATTTGTGGATTCGTATCTAAGGTGTAATATTTGGTGGGATCTTTCAGTTGTATTTTTTGGAATATTCCCTGAACTTAACGATTGAAAATTACTAAATGTCGTAAACACGCCCTTCTCTTTAAAGAATCTTACGTAATGAAAGTTATAAAAATATATATTTAATAGAGGAAAAATTGAGTTGTTCAAAATAACTGCCATAACTGATTACAGTATAACGTTAAATGTGACGCGATAATTTTTTTTTTGAAAATGTATAGATTTATGTCTTAGTTTAAGTGTCTATTTAATAATGAATTCATACATTACAATATTACAGTATACCCCCAAATCTTCTAAGTTATGTTAGTTATAGTCGCTATATCAGATCGAAGTTTCTGGTGAGACATCCCGTATGTGATGCGACAATGTTTGTGTGATATATGTAAGGAAATATACACAACATTCTCATAAAAGTTTTCTAAATCTGAAGAAAAAGAAAAGAAACTAGGGGACAATTTTTTAAAATAAAATTTTCATTTCCTATTTAAAAATTTATGGATTTATTAATTTTCTTAATTATCTATTTAATAATTCATTTAATTATTTTTATTTTAATACTGTCATTGAGCCAACTCGTGGCATTTTTTAAAAAGAGGTTTTAAAATGGCCTATGTTTTTATATATTTCTAATTTTCAATAATTTTTAAAATTATAAGCTATTTTTCAAAATTAGTGAAATATGTAAAAACTTCTGGTTGTGTGAAATTTGGTGTAAAGTCTGTTCATAGATATAAGAAAGTGACTAACTGATACGAATTAAGGAAAGATCCGGGCAAGCTGTAAGAATGAAATAGGGCCGAACAGGTCCGTACTTTGCTTAGAATTTAATTATTTGGGGATTTATTAGGAAAGATACTAAACAATATTTATTTATTTATGTATGTATTTTTGTTTAACTCTAAAATAAAATTACAAATTATTTTTATTACCTACTTAAATTACTTAAAATTATTCACATAATGTATCAATATCACTATCGCTATCATCGCCTGTTCTAAATATTATTTGTAATATGGATATACGATTGTTCTGCTTTTTTTATATGTTTAACAGAATTTGCTCAACTTTGTGGAGGGATGTTAAAAACTTCGGTTTCTATAAGTCTGAAGACATTGGAGTTAATACGGGGAAAAACATTGTTACGACGAATGGCAGATTTCGGTTGGTGCCAAACATGTTCAATGGGATTAAATATACAGTGGTAAAACTGTATGCCCTAGATTTTTTGCATAATTATCAGAGACGAATTCCTTTTGTAGATTGAAGCTTTGTAGAACCTCAATTAATTGCTTTTTGGAATAATCTTCGTGAAAATAAATGTGGTTATTATACACGTAGCTTGCTTTTGTGTCATATGAGGAAGGGGTTTTAGTCAACTGTCTACTGTGATAACTTGCATTGTACGCTATTAGGAGGAATGTTTGGAACTAGTTTGTTTTTAAACCAACTTTCAAATAAATCAGCGGTGGTGTCTTCATAGTAATCCAGAGAAGAATCTTTAATTTTTCGCAGACAGAGAAAGTCCATTTGAAATCCAACCATCTTTAGTGCCAGCATGCAAAATAGTTGTTCTTTTACCTCTTTTGGATGGAGCGTTTGTTTTACACTTATCAGTTGAGTCAACTCAACTCTTTTCATCCAAGTAAATAAATGGCCTTTTTTGTTCTCTGTAAATATTTTTTTCTAGATATTCCAGTCGCCAATTACGAATTCTAAAAGATTCCATTAAAACTTGCCTTTTGTCAATTTTTTAAAATCTAAAACCCATGTGCTGAAATGGGATTATTCACAATTTTTCATACAGTTGATGTTGGAATTTTCGTCAATGCAGCCGTTTCTTCTGAAGGTGCTTGCTTGCTGACACCACGTTCAATGAGAGTTAAATAAACATTGTTTATAACTTCCTTAGTCTCAATAGAATACTGTTTTCTGCATTTGGGCGGGAGCATCTCCTGAGATACACTAGACTCGCACATATTTTGCATAATTCGCACACGATTCAACACACGCTGTATTACACACGCAATAATAATGATTACTAATAAACTTAAACTAAGTAGTATACCAAACCAAAGAATATTAAACACAGGTAGGTATAAAATTATTTTCTATTAGGGACCACAATTTTACCTGAATTTAAATTCCGAAACTTTAGGTAATAATCATGTTGCATTGTATGTTAATGACCACCTTTGGATAATCCTATTCAAAAGCAATTGGTCACTTTCTTATATCTATGAACAGACCATGCCCGTTTTGCATGGTGATTTGACCCCCCCTCCCAAAAAAAAAACGTTTTATTAAAGTATTCAGTATTCAACAAAGTTGCAAAAAAATGTGAAAAACAAAGTTTGACCGATTTTTTTTTCAAAATCGGTACCGTCGTAGAAAACTGAAAAATACATCTTTTTCCAATAAAAGTTTTCCATATTTTCAAAAATAACCTAATTTTTTTAAGATTTTTTATAAAAAATGTCAACTTTGACAGGTAAAGCAAAACTTCCGTAAATTTATTTATTTATTATTTTTGATGCACAAAATATCCCAAGAATCAAAATTTTATAAAACTCATTAATAAAAAATTTATTATTTACATTATGAACTTTAGTTGTGACACTTCATAAACTAAACTTTTATTAATGGATTGGAATGGTGTGTCTTGCAATAATTTTATTGGGCTTATTACGAACTTTTCAAAAATTCAGAGATACAAAGCATATATCTTAAAAAAATTTTTTGAGTAGACGAAGGAAAAAGGTATCCGCTTTCATATAAAATATTGATTCTACTACAGTGTTTTATGAAACGCTAATTAACAAGCCTAATAAAATTTGTGAGTTTAAGAAAAAATCTGACTACACCACTAGATCCTACGTAAAAAACTCTATCCTGACCAGGTTTTCCCTTTTTAGATAAATTATCACGCAGCCGAACTACAGAGTGTCTAAACATGCAAAATTTTCAAATTTACCATGTTTAAAAATTAAAGATAACTAGATGACATTTCGTTTTCTGAAAAAAAAAACACGCCACGAAAGCCGCAACACGTTAGCTTTATTAATAGGTACGCCGTAAAACCATCAAAAGTGGGACACGCCGTAGATATAATAGGTATTTGTATTTGATATTTGTTTAGGTGGCACCATTATTTAATTTTTCAATTATTGTAAGGTTCCGTCCTATGACTACTAACGAAAACTAGCCGACCAACAAGAACCAACCATTAATATATTTGTTTAGTTTACAACGGAAAACTTTTGTTGTTATAATCCCTATAAACTAGGTCATTACTTTACTTTTCAGTTAGTTAGTTAATAGAACTTTCGCGACATTCGAGAGGATATATTTTTTGTTTGTTTGTTTTATATTTTACATTTTTGAAATGATTAATTTAACTGTCGCTCACGATAGCGCTGCTGAATACGGTTCCGATATTAAGTCAGATTCGCCAGTGTAAGTGAACTGGTTACTTAAAAATTTGGGAATTTTCTTCCAGTGATAAAAAGCAACTGCTAATAGAAGTCGATAAATAACACATAATCTAATCTAATAATTTAATACGTCTTACTTTTAAGCCACATAGCTCTGATGATCGTATTATAAGTAGGGCCGTAGAATTGCCCAGGAAATTTATATTTATTTATTTATATTTATGAGAACCAAATGGATTCGATATTATTATCAGGATTTCCTGAATCGCTAAATTGGACATCACAAACGCATAATAATTTATTATAAAATACACATTATTATTAAATAATCATAGATAACACTCTGCAATTGTAAGATGTTATTTAAAACATTTTTTGACTAGTCAATTAAGAAGTGGTCAATTGACCACGGTCAATTAGCCAGTCCCAACACTAATTATAAGGTCCATTCTTAAGCGAAAACAATCACCACCCAAACCATAATTCTTATTAAACTTCTTCAGCTCGTTGTTATTCATATGATGTTAAGAATTTTTTCTCGTCCACCTTTTTAGAGACACAGAGCATTGTATTATGCAAAAAATCAAACACTAAGGTTAGAGAATAAAAATAAAATTCGCTTTGCGATCGATCAGCTGACTAATCAAAAATGTGAAAATTTCGATTCACTTAACGATTTCAACCGCTCACTTATCGCAGCCTTACCAGGTAATCTGCAACTCTCTTTATTATTAATTTTTTTTCTATGGTAAACAGTCCTGTGCCTTTACCTGATTTTCGAGCGACTGCTCGTATTCCTCAAGAGCCGTGAGCCGCGGGTGGAGGTTGTGGAGCATCGAAGACACGCTCGACCTCAAACTGGGGTTAATCGCGTAACACTGTTGCGTAATCTTCCTCACATGTTCCATCATTCGCTCGTCCCTGAAATCGTAGGGAAACGTCTCGGTCCATTCGGCGAGGAGCTGGACTAATCGATCCGCAAACTTCATCTGACCCTGGAGGCCTGTGGCGTTGGGCGCGACGGGATTCCCCAATCCCTGTTGTCGCTCGCCGAGAGCCCGAACGCGTGCCAGGAGGTCGTGAGGTTTGATGAATAACCGAGCGGAGAGGAGGAATGCGAACAAGTAGGCCCTGTCCGGATAGTAGGAGTCGGTAGGCACCATGTGCTGGATCAGCGCCTCCAGCGGCCCGCTCAGAAGGTTACCATCGCGATAGACCAATGCCTGGGTACGGGGAACGCGCGTTTAGCGCCACACAAATAAATTTTAAGCAAATATTTACTGGTGGGCGTGTTCGCCCATTCGATAAGCGACTGATAGATATATGTAGGGCGCCGAAATACCTGTCGCCGAAAATATTTACACAAATATATCGGGTGTCAACGAGATACGTCATTAGGGAAACGGATTTAAAATAAATATTAAACAAACAAACAATAGTGAAATTATTTTAGAATTCCCGAAATGTCTAGTGTTTTCATAGTCAATTTTTGCAAATATCTCTTGTTTTAATGATAGTTCGAGTAAGTATTAAGTAAGTATTCGAAACTTTTTGTTTAATGCGTTTTGATCTATATCTGAAAGGTGAGCGGTACAGCGAATAAATGTTGATAACTCTAAAAAGACTTAACGAGGACTTAAGGAGTAGTTAAAGAGGGCTTTTCCTGGGTTACGAGTGGTACGATTGCGATCGCCACTTTGCCACCAGATGACATTTTCAAAAAATATATTTTTCTGAAAAGAAAAATAAATGCAAAAGCAAAATGATTTATAGCTCAGGAAAAGCATTTTTGGGGTGTCGATATTTATTTCGAAAAATTTTCTACTACTTTCTAGGCCTGGAATTTTGAGTGGGTTTGTAAAAACTTTGCAAATTAAACAAAGCTGCCTTTTTATTTTTTAAATAAATTAAATTTTTAAAAAAACCTTCGCTAAACAACTTTTTAATGGCGAATACAACATGCGTTACTGATATAACATTAATATTTTCTCATCAGTTCTTTACATAAATATGAGCATGACGTCTGGGAAGCAATTAAAAATTTGAATTTTTTCTCATAGACAGTAATTTAAGCTTAGCTAAATATTGATTTATATTTAAATAAAAGTTAAGTTATAGTTTACGAGCTTACTGGGCCTCTTTTATTACCTAATATTAATATTGTCACTACCCACTCGTCCATATTACCACGTTAACCTTAAATTATCTCTTAAAAATTTACAGAATTTTTTTATTTATTAATATTATTTTTTCAGCGTTATCTGTAAAACTAAAATTAGATTTTACAAACATATACAGTGTAGTCTCATTTTAGTGTGCAACATTTGGGATCTTTTTTTTTTACTAACTGCCCAAATAAAATACTATAAAAATACTATTGCTAAAAGTTGGTGCATGTTCCACAATCATATTGACATTTGACATTTGCAAGTCAAAGAGCATAGGGGATAGAACATAAAATACAGAAATTGCACAGGAGTAAATTAATTTTTAAAAAATTGAGCAAAATGTTATTAAGAAAAGTTGTTTAGAAATAAAGGTTGTCTTTTAATATCAAAATGGCCTGCTAAAATAAAAAAAAATAAATCCACTGCAAATTCTTGTTCCAATTCGATCTTATTTGTAAATTTAACTAAGATTTTTAATTTTTTGGCGAAACACAAATTTTATTTGTTGCAACGACATTTAATACCACCTCAAAATTTTATAAAAATTCCTTTTAACTAGTCAATGCACTACTTATTATAACAGACATATTAAGAAATCGCCATTCAAATAGCAATATTAATTACCTAATTACTTAATAATTATTATTAATTGACAAACATAAAATCCTACTTAAATAATCGCAGATATCCATGATATAAAGAGATGAGACTTTGAAGTAAACATTATGACAGTCTGAAGGCATTTATTGTTATTGTCACATAATAATTGCTTAATTATCAAGAAATATTATTTCAACTGGCTAATCCAAGACAGTTAACACTATCTGAGAAAGCAGAGTTAGTTTTAATATATGAAATTAATTATAAACCAGTGCGTGAAACAGCAGATACCTTAAACGGGCGACATGCAGACAAACAAATTCATTATTCAACTATAAGATTTTAACGCATTGCAAAAAGTGACTTCAGAGTGAAAATGCATTAAGAATGATTGTCTTCAAACTGTATGTAATGAAGAAAATCAGTGCTTGAGGCAGTTATCGAAAATCCCAGACGATTCACTCAAGAAATTTCGGATTATTCTCAGATTATACTCAAATATTCTCAGAAAAACTAAATATCACAAAAACATATTCTTTGTTGAGATGAATCTGAGGAAATTGTAATTGGTAGTCTAATAAATATCCGAATAAAAACCAATATTATCAAAAAAAATGTGAGGTGCGGTATTATTAACAACAAATTAATAGTACTTAATTTTTTTTAAAAACGAATTATCGGAATTTTTGAAGAATTTGTTTTCGGAAAGATGTCATAAACTATAATTTGTACATGATCCGCATTCTTCTAGAATTGTTACTGAATTGTTAAATACAGAATTTGGTAACAAATGATTAGGACGAAATACCTACCACGGTGGCTTTCCGCTCACTAGATATCATTCCAAAAAGTTTGTAGCGATTGACCGTTTAATAATCGTGAAGAATTTTAAATATTACACCGAATGTACTGAGAGCAGCCGTCAGCGGATTTTATGATCTTACCATTAATTACATACAAGGTGGGTATACAAACGCATCGATAATTTATTTTGAACTATTTGTTGTTTCATTCTGCAGATAAAAATTGGTTAAAATTAGTACATAATATTAATATTATTTATTTTCGGAAGTCTTTTATTTGCGATTATATGTTTCTCTTCATTAGCAGATTTTCGTAATAATTATGATTTTAAATAAAAAAATGTACTATTTAAATGATAATTTCTTAATATGTCTATGATAATTACCAATGCTTGACCACTTAAAAATAATTGTGGTACTTCATTTTGTCAACTGCACTTTAAAACTTAAATTACAATTTATATCTGAGCAGCAGCAACAGGAAATAGAATTTATTCAGTAAATGTGGTGGCAAATGTTAGTGATTGAAAAGAAGACAAAATTTAATGTTCAAAAAATGACAATAATTTCCAAGAGGAAAAATTAGTGTTGAAGATGAGAAACGCGAATTTGGCATTGGTTTTGAATTATTTTGTTTAGAATTTTTGCCTTTGTACTAGAATAACAAAAGAGCAGTTCATTCTACCTAAAAACATATGGATATGCCAAGCCATTTTCGAAAGAATTGTTTTTGCTTTCAGAGATCGAGCAAAGAGCAAAGGGCCAAAAAAAATGATTTCAATTTGTCTCAGCTTTAAATCACGACTAATTCTAACTATGGTTAATACAAGAAAATTTTGCAAGCTTTGGAACTTTTCAGAAACTTGAAAATAAGTTCTAGGGCATTTTCTGTTCGACAACATGGTTAAACAAAAAATTTCAAAGTTTTTCTTATGAGTCCGCCCGGTATATACGAAAAATGTAATCAAGGTGCGATGGTATCGACGGTACAGTTTTTGACCTTGAATAGTTTTTCCACATGTACGCGCGACACCAGGTGTTTGTTGTTGCAAGAAAACTAACCTTTTTTAGATAAACGCGCAATTCAGGAACAATTATAGAAAAACGATGGGAATGATTGTAATCGTAATTGAATTAATTGCGCAGGACAATCCACAGCGCGCGATATATACAGGGTGGTCCGTTCGGAAATTAGTCTCTGTGTATTGCTCAGACTACAGCTACCAAAAATTAAAAGGTCTAACAATTCGTGGCTTATTTTAATTATGGAATATTTCATTTTCCTGCAGCTAATTTTATAGGTTATCACAATATTTTAAAAATTTTTCTATACTTAAAACTTCAATTGCATACATTGAAGTTGATGAAAAAATTACAAATTTAAAAAATCTTCCAAGAGTTTTTTTTAGAAATAGAAACCACTTTTTAGCTTTAAGGTACCTGAGTCAATTAATCACATGTAGTTTCAAAGTCATCCGCTTGATGAGACTAGTTTTGGTCAGTTTCTGTGAAAAAATATTTATTTTAAACAATCTGCGGTACAAAAAGTTAGTGAAAGGTATACAGGAAACAGTTTTTGTTAGTCCATGCCCAAGTATTCATTACAATTATTTGTTTAACGCAATGTTGGAGCACCCACCACTTTTTTTAGAGTTAGAGTAAACACCATCTAAAAAAAAAGATTTGAATTGGTCTCACCTTTACTACAGTGTTCACTCTAAGTATCATTCGTATAACGATTTTTTTTAGAAAACGCATTTTAAAATTCAAGATGGCAATTACGCCCTCTGGTGGTCATTTCGGAACATCTGTTTCCTCAATGCTGTACCTACTGGCCCTTACACCTACACCCGGTATATTTAGAATAATTTACACCATATCAAATATTGCCCTGCAACTAAACCTCGCAGCTTTTGCGATCGAGAGAAGTGTAAGAGATGTCAAATTTTTAATAGCCTGTACATACGAGCTGCGTTCGATTGATCTCAATTAGATTCCACTTCGCCTAAATTCAATTACAGATTCGACCGTCTTATCGGGCGTCTTTCTGGCTTAAAGTATATCGAACTTAACTCGATATTAATAACAATGCTGCCCCACCCATTGATATAATGGGTGCGTTGTTTTTTCAACCAAGTTGTTGGAATTAAATTGGCAATTAATTGTCTATGAGTAGGTAAAAATCATTACAAGAACAGAACCTCAAAATTCACATCCATACTATTCTATCAATTCAATACTAATAAAAAAAAAATATATATGGAAAATAAAAATTCCAATTTAGCAATAGTGAGCAATGTAGTACACACTTGTGTCATACGCCCGCAATTGGCCACAAGAAGCGCGCATTGCCAGGCGACGTTATAAACAAAATAATACAAACCGGAACACCGGGTCACCTACCAACTGTACCTTTCTTTATGCAATTGGACTTCAAAAACGTTGTTCGAAAAAAAAAACAATTATTTTTCTTTTAAATAGTATAAGGTAACGGTTTTACTTTCTATACCTATTATTTGAACCCTATGGACCAGTGAAAACACAGTGCGGTAATATGCAACCAACTATACGCTTCACTTTTTCTCCGTAACTGTTTTGTGTTGAAATTTAATCAATTCTACAAAGGATTTAGGGCAAAAAGTACCTTCTTGCTTACCGTTTCACATTATCTTAAATTCAATGGGTCTTGTTTCGACATTTTGCTTCGCCACGTAAGCCGATGCGCAAATCAGAAATTATGTAATCAGTAGTTCGCCGTTGGAACTATAGTCATAAAAACGCCCACGGACAGCCTCTTTTAGGTACCGATAAATACTAAGTAAATGAGAGAGGACAAACGCACCGCCTCCATAAAAATTATTAATAATTGAAAAATCGTTCGCCTGCCCACACTTTTGGCGATAAAATGTCTTTAGAGACTGGGAGAGATACCAGAACGTAGTAAGGCGAAAGACCTTTGAAAGAACTTTGACAATTTCACCTATCAAGACTCTAAAAGTAGAAATTAAAAAGCATCAATCTTTATAACCTTAAATTCTCGATATATCTAGTTGCCTATGCGCGCGAAAGATTTATCAAAACTTGACCTACATTGTCGTGATGTATTCCCGAATCCGCCGACGATTCCTGATTCGAGTCGCCCGAGAATATCGTCGAGAAGCTCTTGATTTGCGGCGTCTGTGGTAAACTCTGCGAACAAATAAAATCATGGTGTCGTAAAATTAAAATAAAACTAACAACAGCAGAGTGATGGATAAAACATTGTGTCTGTAGCGCAACGCGTACTGAATTTGGACAATTGAGTTACAACTTATGTACGCGTAGCATGTAGCATCTGTAGTAGGTGAAAGAAGACATAGACGTTGGGTATTTTTCCTTAGAATACATTCGTGGTGGACACAGAAAACCGAAAAACTACCCAATTTTAAAACAAAATAGGCATTTCTTAAAATATTGTTTTTATTTGTGTACCTATTTAGTTAAATTGTTCAAATGAAAACGTAAACGGTAGTAATTGGTTTATTTAGTGAGTGGTTCAATAGTTTTGAGTGGTTCAGTATTTAAATTATTTAATATGGAAATAGAAGATGAATTCTTTTTACAAATCTTCTGGATTCCTCCTGCGTAGGTTGTTGATAAATCAAACTTGCTGACCTTTCGCCAATCATCTTGTTGTTACCAATTATGTCAAAACCTCATTCGCCTATAAAATTCTTCGTAAAACTAGTTTTGCTTCACTTCAAGAAAGGATTCACCATACCAATAAAGACATAGACCAAATCAATAACACTCTTCTGTCTCTACATCTTGAAATTGCTTCCATGTTGTCCCAATCTGAGTTCGATACCCTTTCAAATATGATTCATAACAAAGTTGTTTATCCTGTATTCAGAATAACATTCAAAAATTTGAAAAACTAACGTCAACACTAGCGAAACTTTTCTCAACTACCAAACATGAGGCAAATGTGTCATCGGAACAACTTTCGGAAACGGAAAAATCAGTTCTTGCAAATTATTTGAAATGTCGAATCTATTCTAGCTGATGAAATTTCGATTTGAACGCAAAAATCCTTAAAAAATCGAAACCTTCGAAATCTAATTTTTCAAACCCTGAAAACGTAGCTCTAAAATCTAATCCCGAAATTCTAAAAGCAAATAAAGGAAAAAAATGGAAGATATTCTTAAAGACGGATCTTGTCGTCCACTTAACTACAGCCTCTATGGACAAAGCATATCACCCCTCATGAAATTCCTCGTCTCTACGGGATCCCTAAGATTGACAAACCAGGATTACCCCTTCGACCTATTGTCAGCGCCAACACACTCTCTAGCAAAATATCTAGCTGATAGTTTCCTACATAACTCACATTCTGATTAAATTCGACGTAGAATTCTTTACTAAAGTCCATATTGCGGAAACTCCCACATTATTTCTGATATGTGAAAATCGGAGAATGTAGAACTAAATCTTGTACCGCCAAATTTATGAACAAACGTCAAGAAAAGCTATGTGTTATCCATTATTACCAATTATATAAAATGTATTTATAGTTATAGAAACTTTTGCGAAGAAACCAAAATTGTGGAAACGCTATGTTGACGACACTTTTGTTAGCCATTTAGACTATATACACCCCAACCATCGAATTTGAAACTAATAATAAATTTCAATTCTTTAATAATATAAAATAATAAAATAACATTGAGCCATTCTGATACCAAAAATCATCGGTTATAACTCTCTTTCTTACAGAGCTGTCAAACTATCTCTGAAGAAGCCAACACGATGTATCGCGAAACGTCAGCAAGTTTCATTTATAAACAACGGACATAGAAGGAATCCAGAAGATTTGTAAAAAGTATTACAGTACCCTGCGGGAGTTTCTTTGAAAAATTAAGGATATGATTTAGATATTCTGGAAATTATAGACTTTGGTTTTTTAAGGCATTTAATGAGATGTACTTTCTATGGGTTCAGAGAGTTCAGAAATTCTGATACTTTTAACTAAAACTTCGCAAGCAAAAATTGATCACCAATTAAAAATATTCATTGATTACGATTCGGTCAGTACATACTTTCCCATTTTCTCAATAGTGCTTTCACTACAATTGCTGCAATTGGCCAAATTTCTAATATTGTCATATCTATTTCAAAAACTACCTGATCCTTGAAACAGGAGAAGCGGAGAATATGAAATGAAAGGGTTAGGATTATAAAAAATTATAAAAAATTAATATAAACAAACCGCTATCCCCAACCCTACCAAACCGCCAGTTCTATATTTGACAGGTTAAAATAATATTATGACGTCATCAGTACTGATCCAAATTGCGAAATCTACATTTTGATAGTCCTTGAAAAAAATCATGAGAGGGAGGGAGAAAACTCCCCAACTCTTTCATTTAAAAAACGAAAACGAATCCTAAGATTCCAACTAATTGATATTAGATTTGTCCATTTTTTTTGGAGTTAATAAAAGTTTTCGTTTTTGTTTACTATTTGTTTAGCTGTGATTTATTTATTATGAATTATTTATAATTTGAAGTAAAATATTCCATGTATCAGTACATAACAGTACAAAAATAATAATTTGACTTAATAGGCACTAGTTCTCCTTGTAATCCACGTAGTCGCTAGTGTCACATGACGTCAAACGATATGACAATAAATAACATGGAAGGAGTCTCTCTTTTTTTAATTTGCCTGTGTCTTACACGCGCCGGCCATACAGCAGCCGTTACGCGTATTTACGTTTTAAAAATAGGTTTCATTAAAAATTAATAGCGGCCATTCACTAGCGTTCCTTTAATTATCGCGTCTCCGTGTTCGGACCGCGGAGTTATTTGGGTCAAAGTAATAGCCGAGCGCTAATAGAATTTACGAGACCCATTCAGCCCTCCCAAGAATATTTTGATTTTGCGACAATGGCGTGCTTTTATGCAAAAATAGATATTTACTTAGATATTAAAATTAGATAAGTGTATCTAATAAAATATTCGAATGCCTTTCAAATACATTCTTCACCAAGAAAGAATGTAATTGTCAATTGAGTTACTTGTAAATACTTTTATCACGCTTCATTTTTTGAGTTTACTCTCGTTTTAATTAATTAATAAAACTTAAATTATTGTAAAATAATGTACGATCCATTTTTGGTATGTAAATTCTATTACATACCTCTTTCTCGAACATAACCGATAAGATTATTAAAAAATGGAGTGTGTTCATTTTTTGGAAAACTAAACAATTTCCTTCACCTTTATTTGACGTCTCAAAATGTCATTTAACCGTTTAACTAACTCATAGCATTTAGAGGTTAAGTTTGAATGTTTTTATTGTTTTCGAACAGAGTTAATTCATACTAGTCTTTAGTTGGATATTTAGGGGACAGTCTGTTCTACAAAAAAATACTCAAGAATTAGCAAATGCAATGTTACCCTTGTGCTTGTTTTTATTGCTAATAACTTTTTGCAGATTTTAAAAAGGGTCTTGAACAATTTAAACAGTTTTTGAGGATTTTAAATGAAAATTTTAAATTCAGACCTTTATGAAAGCTCAACTAGAGACAAAGAATACACTCCTTCGAGATGCGATAGGTACAGAAGATGGTATTGGTTGTCTTAGCTAATCTAATTCATTATTTTCACCAAAAGTTTGTAGACAGTTTTAACGAACTTTTTCTACAAGTTTAAAAAAAGTTGTCTTTTCATTGTTTCATTAGGCTTTATGGAATAACGTAAAACGTTGATTATATTGTTTTATAATACTAACAGAACCATTATTTTTGATTTATTTTAACGTTTGGGATTACCGCATTGACGCAAAAATTTCCGAAAGATTTCGTTAATTTGTTCATTCGTTTCGTTAATTTGTTTGAGTACTATTTGAGATAAAAGTGGGTCCGTTTTAGGGGCTCTGCGTTTGCTCGTAGTGGCACATCTGCATTTTCGTTCTAAATGTGACAAAATTTAAGTTACAATAATTTATTTTTATGAAAATAACGCAGATTTAATATATTCTCTTCATTTACCTAACAGCTAAAAAAATATACTATTATAATCCATAATTTTGATAACAACAAACAATAAAAGGGCAACACGCTTAGTTTAACAAAAGTGTCAAGCCCCACAGCAGGCAGGAGCTTGTTCGAAATGGGAATAGAAAAGAAAATCATGTGAGTATTGATTCGTTGATTACCTGTATTATACATGGATTATTTCATACAGATTATTTTCTTTCGTTAGGGGCAAGGTAAGGTTTAAAGGAGAGCGATCTAATAAAGAACTGTATTTTTTTTTAAAGAATCTTTGATCGGAAAAGTGCGTCAATGAAATTATTGATGATGCACGACAACTAGCTGAGAAAATCAACGTCGAAGTTAATTTCGAATCAACAATAGCACGATATCATGTTCATGCAAGAAGAAAAAAAATTCTCATATGAAGCACGAGACGAGGCAATCGAAGCTCGAATAGAACAATACAAAAGATTTTTCATATACGGGGTGTTTCACGGTTGATGGTACCTTACACGTTTATGGCGCACGGTACATTCGATTGTTCGGGAAATTTGTTTAGTTCCATGCTCTGGGTCGAAAATATTTTTAACGCTGGGACCTTGCCGCTTCTTCGAAAAAACAACCTCAACAATGATATTTTAAATGAAACATCGTAATACTTTATGATTTTTTCTTAATAATACGTTCCTTCAGCGGTTTTCGCGAAAATAATTATTTTCTTCATTTTTCCAACCAAAATGTAGCTTTAATTAAATTTTTATTACTGTTACAATGGAACCAAGAGAGGTATAGAACAGAATTTCTTTATATTAAAATTAGTTCTACACTATACAGGGTTGGTCAAAACATTTTTCTTACAGATACAAATACGGTGAAAAGTACATTTTTTGAATGCATATTATGCATATTATCAGATGTTCTAAGAGCAAATTAAATTCTTTTTTGAATGATGCATCATGTCCCTATACCTAAATAAAATGTTTTCTGAAATAAAAGCAAGTTTCTCTAAAAACTGAATTACTTTATCATAATTTTAGAACTTTAAATGATTTTCTCGAGAATCTTAGCCTACAGGGATTTCGCACCAACTAGATGAAGCCCAGACTCACTGCACGGGAAAGGTGTCACAAGAATTATACCAATTATTTAATGACCATTAGTATCGATGTTTCGAAGATCGTCCGATCTCACTCCATTAGATTTTTACGTAATTGTCGGTACTTAATATTTTGTTAATGTAAATAGTTTTTAAAACGTTTTTCGCAAAAAGGTTTGTAAAGCTTCTCTTAGTTCTGGCAACTTTTTCTTTTTTGTTCATGTTTTGGTCGAAAAATATAGAAAACAATTAATTTCATGAAAAGCACTAAAGATAGGTACAGGAACGAATTATTAAAAAATAATCAAAGTATTATCGGAAAATACAATAATATACATGCTGTAAAATTTAAAATTTCAATTTTGATGCTACTTTTTCTAAGAAGCAACAACGTCGCAGCGTTAAAAATATTTTAGATCGATAGTACATAGTCAACACTGTAAGAACTTATAAGTAAATTAATTGACGGTAGCCGAGGACTTTTTTTTAAATATCGGGGCTTTTGGATAACAAATAAAGCCCAAGCAGTGTACTAAAAATAATAACAACGTTAAATTTTGCCTCAAATCTTAGTGTTGCCTCAAGAATACTACACCAATAAAAGTGAGGCAAGAAGTTTTTTTATGTTAAAACTAATTAAGAACTTTTTACTTTCTACGTCAACACAACGGCAATTGAGCACGAGGGCGATTTGTGCACCTCTTGACAGTTACTTACTAAAGTTTCAGCCGCAGTACGACGCGTCGTTTTTAGTTGAAACTCGTTTGAGTGAATCGATATGAGCGTCTTCGTGAAAATGTAAAAAATTGAATATAGAGCTATTATAAAATATTTGTTTTTGAAAGGCAATACGCCTACCTAAACAAATTAAAATTGTGATTTACTGGGTGTATGCACTGTCATTTACCACAGTTCCACGTTACCAAGTTTCCAACACTCTGTTAGGGCATTAATTACTGTAGATGAAACTTTAGTACACCATTGTATGCTCGAATCAAAAATACAGTTGAAGGGCGAACCAACTCCGAAAAAAAGGAAAAACTGTTTTTTCGGATGGAAAAGTGATGGCGACTGTTTTTTGGGGTAACTATGGAGTTATCTTAATCGATTTCCTTCGAAAAGGAAAAAGCATTACAGGGACATACTACGTATTGACAAGCTGAGGGCAGAAATTGCGGGAAAACGGTCAAATTTGCAAAAAAAAAATCCTGTTTCACCAAAACATACAGCGGTTGCCATAGCGAAAATTCACGAACTACGGATTGAACTGCTTGACCATTCGCCTTACTTAGCAGATCTGAAAACGGCGCTCAGAGGACAAAGGTTTTCGTGAAACGAACAACTATTTTGCGGAAAAAAATGCTGGGTACTGTTTGGATGGGTTAGAGAGATGGGAGCATCGCTGGGAGAAGTGTACATGTTACATGGAAACTACGTAGAAAAATAAAAAAAAGAGAAAAAATGTTTTGTATCATTGTTAGGTCGGAAAATTTTTAAGAAACCCTCGCATATGATAATTAAACCATATGATTTTTAAGTAGACTAGAGCAGGCATTGGTTGCAATCGTGAAATTGGTTCGCTAACCAAGTTCACGAATAAGTTCACGATGGAATTGTCAGTGTATAAGTCTAGTGCTATATAGAAAATGTTTAAAACGAGTTATGAAATTAAAAGTTTCCCAACCTCATAAAGCTATTCTTAGGAGAGCAGCGTCTTGCTGCGTGTTATTTCCGCGAAAGCGGTCGCCTCGCACTTACCCTCCTGTTCGAGCAGTCCTTGGGTGTTAGATCCGATGCCACTGTCCCGAAAATGGTAGGCTATAAATAAAAAAAAACAACCGTTGGGTGTTAACAACCTCTCGCCGAAACGTTAAAAATAAAACGGAAAATCGAACGGGGGTGGGTAATTATCTGTTGCCGAAGACGCGGTGTTCCCGTTTTACCGCAATGGCGGACGGTGATTTTTCGACCGGGAAAAACCGAAACAACCTTTGCACATTGCCGTTACTTATTATTAGCCGCCTATTAGGTGCGGCCATGCTCACGGCCGCGTCCGTACCGAGTGTCCAAAATTCGATTTTGGGTACTTTGGGTAAACTCCTTCCAAAAATGACATAGACTAATAAAAGCGCTAATACTATAAAACTGACATAATTGCTTACTAAACCATTGGGCAAGCCAATATTCACTTTGTATTGAACTTAAAATATTTTTTTTAATTTTAATTGTGCAAATAGGCTGCTGTGTAGAAATGGGATTTAGAAAAATTGTATTCGTGTACACACATTGTTTTTTTTTAAGATTTTTCAGAGCAGGATATCATCCAACACTTTGAGCAAAGTCGTAGCCGTAGTGTACCCGTATTGTACGTATTTATTGTAATTCTAACTAACTCGGAGAAATAAACGTTAAAATGTTGCCAATGAAAATGTTTAGGAAGCAGGTAATTCATATTTATAAATATTTCCAGAACGGCCATCAAATATTTAGTAATAAATGTTTTCTACTCCCTTAGGCTTATAGCTACAGAGTTTTCGCAGAACATGCGGAATAAAAGTTTTATTGTCGCTTGCTGCCTTTGGAATTTGAAAATGTTAGAAAATTTATTTTTTCTACGACCTTTTGTAAAATACCTAATTATACACCGATCTAACGCGTAGAAAGTGTTATTTTACCACGTTAGTTTCATTTCCTGTGGCTGCGAGCCACTTCGGACATTTCCGAGATATTACCGCACGGGTTTGGAAGCAATCGGATGTTTCCGGAAATATTACCTACGGCTTGAATTTTCACATTCGTCAATTCTGACAGTAATTTCAGTTGAATGTAGTCATGTTATTTTGAAAAAATATATCCAAAAACTTATGGTGGTAGAAAAAATAAAGTATGGAACACGTTCGGTTAGATTTTTTTTTAGGTCACTCGTTTATTAATAAATACTTCCATAAGAAAAACAACAAATTCGTGCAATATTCTTCAAAAACTAAAAGTGTCTTAAAATGCATCCTAGCAAACGTTGTTCCTATGGGCTGAGTACCGCCCTGTACTGAAACACGATCTTCTAATATTCTTATAATGGGGTGCGACTTGCAGTTCCAACAAAGAAGGGCTAAGAATTAGAAAATTGCCTTGTTAACAAAAACTGGCCAGAAATTCTTCTCCTAAATGCCTTATTTAACTGTGCCAACAAATTATGGTGTACAGGGTGGTTCGGAAACGCATTTTCTGAACCAGACAGAGTAAAATCAAGTTAGATGATGACACGGGCTCGATTTTTGGGATATGGTAAAAACCGCATGACAAGATCTCTATTTACTATTATAAATAGAGGTTTTTTTAAAACATTCCAGTTACGACAATCCTGTACAATGCGTCTAAATTTGACCTAAAAATGGCTGGCAAATTTTGATATGTTTAGACGGTCACCGCTTAAGTCCGTGACCCGCAAAAATTTTATTTAGAAAACTATAATATGGAAAATTCCGTTCAGTTCCGCTCAATTTCGCCGTAGGCCATAAGAGTAAGTAAATGTTTCCGCAATAAAATTATTTTTGATCCCTATTGTAAATCCTATACTAATAAATAAGCTTTATTGTCATTTTGACCACTTACCACTTACCATATTGCCTGTTATTATTCCCTTATAGCGGAGTAAAAGCAGACGAATGACACTGGACACATGATAGTTATTCAGAAGACGAAAAATACTATGATTTTTTATAAATTAATTTCTTTATAATGTTTAATGGCTTAATGGCTTGCCTGACCCTGTACCCTCTATAGAATAAAGCAATAAAAAGCCGATTTAAATGCGTTTATCAGTGCAGGGAGCTATTTTTATGTTAGTTCTGTGGGCACCTCAGAAATTTTAAAATCATTTGCGCATGCGAAGAGAATAACTATCAAAAAAGTGTCATTTGAATATATCCTGTAAGAGTATCGTTTTACGAGTATATGAAGATAACATTTACATAATACTTATATTTTTTATATTTTGTAATGCAAAATTTGTTTGCATGGAGGCTGCCATTGGGAGGACAATCCCAGGGTCCACCTTGCGTCGATTCCTTAATAAAGATTTACTAGAAAGGAACGCACGATGTGACAAAAGAATAATTCAAGATTCGTAGAGAAGTGTATGCGATAGATGAGAGTAATCGGATTCCGTCACTTTGCAACAGAAATTAAAAGAAAATGGTTGACTTATTTACTGGCAGCCGTGAAACATTGCGCCGATTTCTGCATAAAATCGGATTTAGATTTAAAAATATGGACAAGCACGGTTGCATTAAAGAGATCCAACGATTGGTGGAATGGAGAGAATAAATATTAATTCAAATTCATCAATTGCGCGTAGAAAAACGAAACATATATTATTCAGACGAGACTGGAATCGAAAGGAAGGGTGGCATCATTCTTCATCGAAATGCATTTTCAAATGTACCTGGTAGAGGAAAAAGAATGTCCATGCTAGGGTGCCAAATGCTTTGCTATTTTCAGCAAAAAATATTAAAGACTGCTCATTAGGCTACTACTAGGATATGAGAAGTGATTTTTTTAAAATTGGATAAAAAATTCTCTTCTTTCAAATATCCCACCAGGCAGAGTAATATTTTATGATACTGATTCCTTAGTCAGCATGACTTTTATTTTGAAAATACTTATTGATGATACGATCGTATGATAAAACTTATTTCCCAGACGGGTAGACAAAGTTGGACGCAGTAATATAAACCAAAAAATGTCATACCATATAATTGAAGTAATTAAAACCCAGAGCGAATTAGTACCAGATAACAGTTGTACTTAAAATTGGAAATAATTATAACAAAACTTGGGATACTGTAAAACCATTAATTATATCTTTGAATGATAGTGATAGCAAAGATTCAAATTATTCTAAAATGCTTAATAATAATCATTTATCGTGTGTCGGACTATACCTATTACTACGTACATAATTAATAATTTTTAGTCCCCTAAAATAAACCTCTTTCCATTTTACGAGTATACTACCGGTGCGCCTCTGGCAAACCATTTGAAATCGTTGCCCAACAATGAAAGTGTAGTTCATCTGCATACCTAATAAAGTTTTATTACTCTAAACTTTTCTGAACTTACTATAGTCAAAATCGAGCCGAGGCCCCCCTACGCCCCTCAAACCGTTTGCGCCAACTATAAATCGAAAACACGAACTACACGCAAAGTAGAGATGTAAATTGAAATTTACGACGTTATCCTTCTTTTAAGCACTCAGTAATTTACCCTTACCAGATATCCGTTAACGTATCCGTCGCCTACGAACGAAACGCACTTGCTCAGCTGATCACTGACAAAATCCGTCTCGTCGAACGAGCTGAGCGAGTCGATGGAGCTCTGAGTAAAGTCGACCTTGTCGGTGGTGACGCCCGAACTGCTCAGGTGACCCGAGTCTTTGCTCAGGCACTGCTTGGAGCCGGCCAATAGTTCCTCGCCTGCCGGTTCCTCCGATTCGTAACTGGACGCGCTCGAACTGCTACCGAATTTTGGCCACCCGTCACCAGCGCCGCCGTCGTCGTCGTAACGGCCGTTTGTAAGTGCCGCGGCGCTAGGCACTAGCCTCACCGGTTCGAAGATTTCCGTCATGGCGCTCGTGTAGAACGTTCGGTCTTTGGTTTCGCGGCTCCTCTCGTCTACCACTTTGCCGCCCCGCGACACCGTCACCTCCTCTTTAGTCACGGTCGTGCTCGTCACACTTAGCGACGTGTCTAGCTTGACAGGTGTCTTCAGGATCCCCGTGTCGATCAGTAGTTTGTTGAGGAGGTCGCAAGGCGGCACCTGACCTGTTATCAGCGCCTGCTTGATCGCCATGCCGTCCCTACCCTCGAGGGTCACCGGGATACCGTTGATGTAGAGCACCTCCTCTTCCTTGATAGACGACTTCTTTTCGCAATCCACCACTTTGGCGCCCTTGCCCAGGATCGCCTCGACGGTCTCCTGGATCTCGGGATCGTCCATTGGCGGGACGAGGGCTACGGGCTAAAGGGACCAGGAGGAATCGAGCGTAAGCGTCGTGTTTTTCGCAGAAGCGGAAACAACGGCCTGATCGTTTCGACGATATATATTCGGTCCAGCGCAGCCACGAATTAGGGGTGCCGAGTGGAGAAATTTTGTTGAGACCAATTTTTTGAGGAGCGATTATGGAATATGTGGACCGGATAATTATGGAAAAGCTAGTTCAATCCCGTCCTGAATATTGTATAAAGCAAAAATGTAAAAGAACGCGTTGTTACTTACCACAACAAAAGACAGTTAACTAATTGCTGGATTCACTCAAACTCTATAACAAATCTGCAGATATTTTTTTATTGAATCAAAATACTTAATGAGATTTAAAAAGTACTTCCTCTAAATAAGTGATACCCTATAAGGGGCATATTAACGTTGTAGTAAACAATTTAATTTGAACTGAACACTTTCCCACTACCACATAATGTAGACATTTTCTCATGAGTTGTCAGTTCTTTTTGAGTTTACCTTTATTGTATCATATCTTCGTAACATTTATTAAATTACCTATTCCAAGGAAACATGGCTAAAACCCATTAGACGCCAACCTAGAAATATTCCACTAAATAGCCACATTTACCTTTGTGAAGATCATTTTAGCGGAAGAATTATATTTATTATTTATTTAAAAATTTAAGGTAATTTAAAAAAACACTCTCCGATTCATTAAAAAAAAAGATAGTAGCCTAACCTCACTTTTGTTTGTTATTGTGTTTATATTCTCTATTTGCAGTTGAAACTCTATCGAATGGGCGATCAAAAAAGAATGA